GTCAAAGCAAAGTACTTCCGTTCCACTCGCCCTTCCAAGAAGCTCTTGGAAAAGAACTTAGGTCCTTTTGACATTATATCCCATCCCGGATTGCATTCCTTCACCATCCAACTCCCAGATTCCATGTGTTCAGTACATCCAGTCTTCCATGTCTCCCAACTGGAACCCACAGTTCCAAACACCATCCCTAATCATATCCAACCACCCCCACCTCCAATAGAAGTCAACAGAGAACCAGAATATGAGGTATCCGAGATCCTAGACTCTAAGTTGGACTGCCAGAGACAACAATGTCAGCTTCTCTACCTCGTCCAGTGGTCCAGATATGAAGGGACAGACAAAGAGATGTCCTGGTTACTAGCCATGGAACTTGGAAATGCATCAGACCTAGTTTCAGTATTTCACTCTTCATATCCAGACAAACCCAGTCCAATTGCGTTACAATGAGTACAAAATCAGATACAAGTACATTAGGGGCAGAAGCGGAAATCCAGAGCTCCTCATCCATCAGTCTCCATGTCCCCTCTGGATCCTCCAGCCTCCTCCTCAACATCTTTGTCAGCATCATCCAGAGTAGAGACGTCCACAATCTGGAATCTGTTCTGGATCCCCTCCAGGAGGATGGACTGGAAGTCCCTCTGCTGCTGGATGAAGTCCTCCATGTTAGTATTCATCTGCTCCATCACCAACCTACTCCCTTCCACAGCTCCAATACTCTCCTAGAGAAGTCCATTGGTCTGGGCCAATTCCACTACTATGCTGTTGGCAGTAGCAACCCAGGCCTGGTCATCATACTCCACACTCCCCTCATCCGTCTCTATTCTGGTCCATGGATTGGAGGCTTCCTCCACTTCCAGTTCCTCAGGGGTAGGGCTCCCCTGATGTCTCTTACCCTTGGATGTTGGAGACAGAGTCACCACAGCATGCTGCCTCTTCCACCTCAGTTCCCTGGGCTTGTCCACACTTCTGGGACAGGAGGCCCTATTGATCCTGCAGACATTGCATGACTTGATCTATCCAGACATCAGTACACCCAGTTCCAGATGTCTGAGACAAGGAATATCTCACCAGTGCATTAGACTTAGCATCCTCCCAGGAGCACACCTTACTCTTATTGACACAATGAGTGCAGGGTGCATCCTGAGCTCCGGACATAGAAGTGGACTGGAACTAGCATACCCCTCAGTTCCAGATCTGATAGAGGTAGCATCACTCACCCTCCTGGCCACCTCAGCCCTCCACCTCTTCTCTTCCTGTGCTACCTGGAGCTCAGACTGCTCTATCCGCTTCCTCTCCTCCTCATGTTTCTGTTTCACTTCCTGACACATCTGCTCCACTTCCTGACGCTTCTGCTCCTCTTCCTCTTCCTCTCTCTGAGCTGCAGCCTCCATGAGTGCCATCTGGCGCTGAAGCTCTGCAAGAGTCTCCCTAGTGGATTTCTGACCACTGGATTTGTTGCCAGACATGATATTTCAAAAGCTAGTATATGTGGGTGAAGAAGGGAAAGGAAGGAAGACCTAGGATGCTTTGGCATCCATATATCTGTGGAAACCCAAACTCACAAACTCCATCCATCAGCTTCTCCATCAATTCTCACCCTCATATCGTCCAGTCCAGATCATCAGATCTTGTGCCTCTAGGGATCAGCCCTAAAGGGGGGATACTGTCATATCCACATATCCGGATCTCAGATCCAATCCTTATCTCATCTCAGATCCAATCCACATCTTATCTCCCTCCAACATCTCATCATCCATCCTGTCCACTTGTCCAGTCCAGTCCACAATTCATCTGAATCCACAACCAACACTTGTCTCTTGTCAGTAAATCCCCTAACTCTGGTATATTGGCTATCTGTATATCCGTCCTGCTCCCTGACCCATTACCTATGTTTCATTTCCATTTCATGATTTGTGATCCATTTCTACTTACCAATAGACCATCCATATGCTTCATACATAGCCTCGGACTCTGCTGATTGATCATTCCGTTAGATACCTATAGTATATAACCTCCTGTAACTTTCTGTAGTACCTCAGTTCAAATATCATCTTAGTTCTACTCATTCCCGTCCTCCAGACTTGAGTATCTCTGCTCTCATCACCCTCCAAGACTTAGGATTGATTCCTATAGTCTATCCATATCCGCCTCTGTCTCTGACAGTCCACTACCATTAGTTTCTAGTCTGGACTTGTCCATATTAGCCCTATGATACTTATCCCTCATCTGGAAGTCATCTGGATCTGCTATGCTACTTGTCCAACCTTCCAGATGCATTAGTCTTGCCTTCCTGAAATAAGGGGCAATACTCAGGTAAGGGGCACAGTGCACGAGCTGAGGCTGAAGCCCCTCAGATCCAGTTATCCCTTGAGTATGACCTTAACAGCTTCACATTGCAAGAGACTGTCGGTGGTGATGGGATATAGTATTCTGGCCTTCTGGTCTTCATCAGTGCCTGAAAACCATGATCATTAACAGTTTCGAATGGTCACAAGCTCTCCACAACCCATTGAATGATTGCAGCACAGGCCTCTGTCTTTGAGTGCTGCCTGTGGGAGTAGGTTACCTTCCCTTTACCTTTTCTCTCAAATGCTGAAGTTATTGAGCCTGTTTGGAGTATGCTTTGCACTACAGTTTTGCATGCTGACTCTGCAGTCCCAGAACCCTGTGCAGCTTGATATGCAGCCTCACCCCAACAGTTTTTAGCATGCTTGGCCATGTTACTCATGGACTTGGTGTCTCCCTTATCAAGGTAGCAGCAGACATGCTGCTTGCACCCTTTGGCCATACACTTGAACACATGTGAACAGCAGCCACCAGTATACTTGATACTCAGAATGGGTTTGAAAAAGGCATACACAGGTGAGGACCATCCTTTTTTCAGCCGCTCTGCATCAAATAATGATTATTTTAGTTAATATGGTAATTCACCATGCACCAAGCTCTGTGTCTAATGAGTTGGCTTGTGATTCTGCACCACTGTGCTTTGAGTTTACTGACTCAATGTCCAAGTCAATGACAATAGTGTCCTCATGCAATGATTGCTCTTCCTCTTTGGTATAAACACTGGCTCAATGGTGAAGTTTTAGCTGACCATTGGGAGCATCAGGTGGGGGACTCAGAGATAAGGTGATGATAGATTCATTTAATGTTGAAGGTGCCTTCTTGGATTTCTTTGGTTGTTCCTTATGGCTGAAACTGCTGGCCTTCCTAGGCTTTTCAGCTTTGTGCTTCTATCTGCAATGGCCTGGGCTGCTTTCTCTGTGAGCTTGGTGATACGCTTGCCAAACATGGCTGTTGAGGGAGGTAGTGTGTGAGATTCCAGAGGTTCTATTAGTTGTGATTGGTTTGATATCTAAGATTGGCTACTGTACAGCTATATTACAGCAGTGTGCAAAACTAATGGCAATTGCAGAAATTTTGCCACTTCCTTGACCAAAAAGGAAATTGATACAACAATGCGTCATGACACTCACAAGTATTTATAAACTTTTCAGACAATGTTGGTGACACCAGCTAGCTATGTAAATGCTATGGTTAACTGAAGAATCAGCAATGATCTCAAGGAGTGTGCACTTCAACTGTGGGACCATGGATGGGAATTGGAAGATATCTGTGAAGCATTTGGTGTTAGTCAGAGGAGCTGCTACCGCTGGTGACAGATCTTTGAGGAGTGTGGTACTGCCACAAAGCCCCCTTCTCCACTCATGGGAATGTACTCAAACAATAACATGAGCCCTGCTGATGGCTGTTAAGGATCTCTTCACTGAGGACTCTGACCTTTTTCTTGACAAGGTCTGTACATGGCTCACAATCAAGCATAATATCACTGTCAGCACTTCCACCCTGTCATGCAATCTCAAGGATGCTGGTCTCACTCAAAAAATCCTTCAAAAACTAGCTTCTGAATGTGATGAGGTCCATCATGAGGAATTCAAAGCTAGTCTTCATGAGGACTTTATCAGAGATGGCTCTGAATTCATTGTCATTGATGAAACAAGCAAGAATAACCGGACATATGCATGACATTATGGATGAGCACTGAGTGGAGATTGTGCACAGCTTACAGATGTTTTTGTTCAAGGCGATCATTACTCATTGTGTGCTGCCATGACCATGCAAGGATACATTGCTGCTCAAGTAGTCAAAGGCTCATTTAATGCACAGGAATTCTATGACTTCATCACTGAGGATGTGGTGATTATGTATCCTTTCTGTGCCTGTTTAGCTTGAAGATATGAATTTTTCTAGCTTCCACATATGCATCCCTTCCCTGGAGAGCATTCCATCATTGTCCTTGATAATTGCAGGATCCATCATAATGAAGATCTTGTTGACCTTGTTGAAAGTGCTGGTTCATTTTTGTGACTATTTCTCCCTTCATAAAACTAACATTGGATAGGTTGTCTGATACTCTACCTACCTCCGTACTCACCTGATTTGACACCAATCAAGGAGTCATTCAGTGCCTGTAAGTTACAAAAATTCATGTTATCTCTGTATCTAATCCATCACGGTTGACAGTCAAAGCTCATCTTTGATGTCATGGTCATCAGTTGCACTATCTTGAAGATCTGGTTGAGGCCCTTCTCAAAGCAACAAGTTGTATTACAGCAGAGAAGGCATATGGATGGTTCAAGAATGCAGGGTACATTGTCACATGATCAAGAATGCTCATAATTGTACAATTTTGAATGTTTTACATGATAAAACTGGGTGCAAATGAATGCCATTTGAATGTCCAAAAAGTCTACAAGAGTGTGATCAAGAATGCTTGTGATTGTACAAGTTTGAATGCCTCTATGTGATACAACTGGGTGCAAATGAATGCTATTTGAACATCTGCAAGAGGTGATGTGAGAAATACAGAATCATTTTACCCATGTGCCAGACTTTATCACTCTGCAAAATTTCTTGTGTGCATCAAGAAAGGCCTGCCAGCTGAGTCTCATAAATTAACCCACATCCCACCATTCCTTGTCATCAAGTGTCTTAACTGCTCAATTTCCTGGCTGGTATTTGAGTGCTGCAAGCTTTGCTTGATCATTGTCCAAAATGTGATACTTGACACAAAACTCAGACAGAGATATGTCATGGGAAGTTGTCAAACCAGGTGATGATGATGCTGAGGGTACCTCACCAGTAAGTTGCCCATGACCTTGCGCAGCTGGATGATAAGGTAGTGGGTATGGGTATCTGCCAATGTATGGTGGTAGCATATACTGGGATGGATGAAAAAATTGATGCGAAGGACCAGGCAAATGAAGTGGGCCAGGAAACAGAGGACCATACTGTCCATGTGGATGTAGAGGCATAAGAGGAGGAATGACATGCCCATGTGTGGGTTGAGGAGGCACTGGTTCCTGGCCAGCACCCTCAAGAGTTTGTTCCCATTGACGATGATGATAGAATTCACCAAATGTCAAAATTGGGGCATCTGGTGGGGGACGTGGCACCTTCAGCTTCTGCACAAAGTGGTTTGTTGTAGGAGGAGCTGACATGTCAGCTCTTCCTGCTGCCTAAAGCATTGTTTTTTTAGCTTCATGCGCCAATGAAAATAAGAGATGTACAATGGAATTTGCCCAAACCTTCACACACATCTTGGTCAACTCAAAATATGTGTCCATCCTCTTGTCATGCCAAACACACATATTGGGAAAAAGCAGGTATCTGCCGACTGGATACAGTGAATGAAGTTCAGCCTCAGCCTTCCTTCATTTGGTAGACATATCATCCTTCAAAGTGTTTATCAGATGTGAGAGCAACATCTAGTACAAACATCACATACAATCAATGACTTCATAGTACGTGATGCAACACCAGTTTCTTCTTCAAAGTTGAATGGATGCTCGACATAGTCTGGGTCACCTGTATCCCAATCCTTATGTTATGTTAGCCTGAAGAAGCCAAAATACCTTGAACATAGTACTTACTTGTTCATCTTTAGCAGGCTTTGGGGTGAATAACCATACAATAATGTTCTCAGCTGCTCACTTCACCTTGACAGCATCAAGAAGTGCTTCATAACCTGCTTCATCCGCTATCTTCTTGCATGGAGCACTCTGAGCCTGGTTTTCAAACTTCCACTCGAACTTGCTGACAAGAAGCATAGTGAGTCAACAGGGTAAAACATTTGCAATGTCCTGTTTGAATGATTGGAAGGTGCGGGTTGTATCCATTTTGAATGGGCCCCAGGAAACAATTGTAGTTGATGCTTTGGCACCCTTGACCAATTTTTTTTCTGCCAGTGCAATCTTGCACCACACTTGGACATATACAGTGAACCTTCTTGGTGCATCACTCTCCTCATCTTCACTAGTATCACTCACTGCAACACTAGCCTTTGTTGACTTTCCCTTTCCTTTGGCAGTCACAGATGATTTCTTCTTGCCAGTCAGCATTCGATTGATGGCTTCATCAGTGAGGCAGCCCTGTGGTACAAATTTATTGTATTTGTATTTGTTCAGAGATGGCCCTAACAAACTTTCACCAGCAGCTGAGACAAGGTCAGCCTGGTCAGGAGAGTCCCACTTCCGCTTATGAGGAGCATTGAAAGACATTGAATCCACATTGATGAATGTGAGTGCAGGACCTGAGGCTGTGAGTGATGTGATTTTCAGTGATCAAGTGAGAAAAAGATAAGCTTCAATATAGTACCTGAGGCAATGGCATCCACATCAGTAATTTCTATAGACTGATCACTTCCACACTCTTCTTCAGGCCTGGGCTCAGCCTCCAGCTGATCAAGTTCTTCCTTGCCATCTTCTTCTTCTTCTAGCACTTTTTCTTCTGCCCAGTCAGCCTTGGATAGCTGCCCAACCCTCTCTGCATTACCACTCATAGAGGGTGCAGGCAATTCTGGAAACTCCAGCAGTTCATCACAATCAGTGCTCTCGTCAATAGGCATGGCTGCCATCTTGCATGCTGGTCTGGCTGGGATCTTGATTGTGGGCTTTTTCCAAACTGGGGCAAGTTTCTTTCTTTTTTCCATGGCAGATAAATTGGTATGACACATAGTAAAGGTAGTAGTAAGGGCTAAAAGCATCTGGAAAATGTGTACAAGGTGCAGAAAGCCTACTACACACGTCCAGGACATGTTGTTGTATTGATTTCCTTTTTGGTCAAGGAAGTGGCGAAATTTCTGCGATTGCCACTAGTTTCGCACACTGCTGTAACTCAAAGTTTCGTCAAAATATAGGCTCGTTACCCATTTTGGATTGGACAGGTACTGGGTACCTCGCAGCTGTACCCGTACCTGTACCCATGACCCATGCAGGTTACCCGTACCCGTGCTGATGCCTAGGCCCACATGGGCTGGCCTGTGTGGAACAGGGATTTTTCAACCTTGGCTGTATGTATTAATCAAGGGTAAAGTGACTGCAGTATGTGAGATATCGCATGAATGAACTTGACTAATTCATGCTTTTGCCTGGGTTAGTTGTGTGAGCGATAAAGCGATCAGACTCACATTTGTAATCGCTCTGCCTACCCAAAGGCAATGGAGTCTACAATGGCATGCACAAGCGTCCGGTCATTCAATTCTGTCATCAGGCGTCTTTTGCCTGCTTTGCTTATTCGCCGACGTTCGTTGACCACATCAACGTGATCAAGTCTCTTCCTCTCCAACAAAGGCACGTACTTTGCACTGTGCTTGTACGTCCCTGCACCGAATGGAACACCAAGGACAGGTTCTCGCACTGAGTTCGAATGAGGGAGCGTGCGAGGTGTCAGACCTGTCTGACTGAAAGGGAAGTATTGAGACAGGTAGTGAATGATATTGGGCGGCAGCTGTGAGAAAGTGCTCGTCTAGGGTAGTGTAAATGAGGGAGCAGTTGATGGATGGAATGAAGTTGGTAATAGAGGTCTGAGGCGGTGATGCTCCCTGTACCGTCGTCATCTGTTTGCCATGTGACATCCGAGTCTGTGTGTGCACAGTCCCAGAGCACTGAGAAAGAAAGCATCTGCCATCTGACACTCGGGTTTGCAATCCACCAGTGGCAACTGAGTCTCAGGTAATGAAGTTGATCCTGCATGAAAGACGTCTATGAGAGCTGATATAATGGACAGTTCCTCTAGTCCTGTTCCGACGAGGAAAAGAACAGCCATGACATGTCGAACTTGATGGTATGGGAAAGCTGATCCTACAAGATCGAATGCGTATACTCGCTATGGTGTCCGTATCGTACATAAAGAACGGTTCGAAATACATCAGAGGGAGTGATAGAGCATATCAACGGGCGTCGAGATATGTAAAGGTATGCGAGTCGTGAAGGATAACAAGATCTAATGATGATCGTCCATATATTCAGGAGAGAGACAGCCGAGAAAGAGCCAGAAGCGAGTCCAGAGTCCAGCATCTTTTATCGTTGCATGACGGCGTGACGGCGGTGTTGAAGTTGTAGCTGTGGCATCACCGGCAGCAGGTGTGGTAGATGATGAGGAGTCAGGTGCCTGTGATTGCGAAGATGGCTGGGCGACATTGGGCTTGGGAGGCTGTGAGCTGCCCGCAGTAGAATTCTTCGAGTGCAATGCTTTTGTTTTTTGTTTTTGTTTCTGTTTCGCTAATGCAACCTCCCTCTTTGAAGCATTTCTCTACGTGATATCAGGTCGAGTTGAACGTCTGAGAAACATAAATAACATACACGTTTGCCCTTCGCATATGGGACCTCAATAGCTGCGGAGCTGCGCCCTTGCAACTCAATTTCTTTACCACTTTGTCCGCGCCATTTGAAGAGATTTCGAGCCCAGTCAAGAGGGGAGGGTGATGACGTATCCTGGGTACCGGAGGGGCTGCGATGGAATAAGCGGCCAAAAAGTGTGGTCTCTTGTGGCACTGAGGTCTGAAATCGTGGAGGTCAAAATGATACTTGAAGTGATAGCAATGACGTACATGAGCTGGTGGGACTCCATCGAAGAAACCATGGGGTACGCGATGAACAGGCAGACGTTGCTGGATCGGACGCCATGTAGCACTAGCCTAGAGTGTATATGTTGAATAAAATGAGATTTTTGAATGAAGGTGTGTGCACGTACATAGAGTGCCGACTTGTTGGCCTGGTAGAGCGAGTTCAGTTGGGAGGATGTAATACAATGAGACTATCAACTTACCTTTAAATCTGATGGAAGTTCATCGAGGCCGGCTTCTCTAACAATCGCAACAATATCCCATGAGTATGCATATTTGTCGCAGCAGCCAGTTGCTAGTAGCTTTCCACCCGCGGAAAAGGACACACACCGGACTGACTGTGCGTGCTGGAGGGGCGAACCAATGGGTTGTCCATTGTCGAGGTTCCACAATCGCGCTGTATTGTCCATCGATGCACTTGCGAGGATGCGGTCATTCGGTGATATTGCAAGGGCCATGACATAGCTGGTGTGCTCATCCAGAACCACGGTTTGCTCCCACTTGGTTGTATTCCACGTCCTAATGGAGTGATCATATGACCCGGAGACGAGCGTTTTCTCCGTCATTGGTCCAAGCCAGGCAACGCACTTCCGCCGTGTGCCCTTTGAGAGTTGCGACAAGCTTGCCTGTCTTTGCGTCCCAGATTTGAATTGAGTATTCAGGTAGTCCACCTTGTCCACCAGTCGCAATCAAGGACATGTCTGGTGAATAGACGACTGCCCACACGGCATTGTGTCCTGTTTTGATCGATGCAATTATGGTTTCTTTGCTTTCCTCGTCCCGCATCTCTCCACTTTCCACATCCCATTGCCTTGCAGTTCCATCCTCAGATCCGCTTAACACTCTTCGACCATCTCGACTCCAGCAGACCGACACCACTCCCCTTGTGTGCTCCGTCCATTTAGCAATGACCTTGCATGTGTCGATGTCCCACAACCTTACTGCATCATCCACACCCCCACTAACCACTTTCTTCCCGTCCGGAGACAACGCTATACTGCACACTGCAGTGTCTTCGTATCGCCAGCCTTCTCCTATCTGCTTCCTGCTAACCACTTTCTTCCTGTCTGGAGACAACGCTATACTCTTCACTTTACTTTCTCTGTCTCTCCAGTCTTCTCCGATCTGTTTCCCGCTCTTTAAGTTCCATACCCACAGCGAGTCGCCGCCTGAACAAGTAATGATCTGCTGTCCACCTGGCAGGTGTATGACACCCCAGACATGATCAATGTGTCCTTCAAATTTCTGGCGAGGCGTTATCGCTGGTGTTTCCCTCGTTTTAGCGGTTGGTGAAGTCATGCCTCAGAATTCTGACTACAGAGTACAACGCCATCTCAGCTTTGCATCTGTCAAATTTCAAAACCATCACTTACGAGGAGGTCTCTCAGAAGCAATAGGCAGGCAACAGGGAATGATGGTTATTTGGGTCAAGTCAGAGTCGAATGCACTGCTTCCTGGTACGTTATCGTACATGCTGTATCCTCATGTTCATTTCATAGCTTATACAGCATAGGCTGTGCAGCTGAAGCGCCCAAGCTTCACAGGGTTACATTCCATGTGGCCTCCATCTATGATCACCTAGTTCTCAACCACTAGGGAAGATGAGAGCCAGTTCGCTGCGAAGCGCTCTCATGCATTCTCAATATCAACTGCTAGTTGTGTGAAGATGAAATAGCGTTGCAGTGAGTTGCGTTGCCTATATGCTAGTAGCACCTGGTAATAATCGGCCCTGGAACATTCTGTCAAGCTTACCGGTTAGAGTCATCTTCTGCCTCCAACAAGCACATGCATCAGATCAATGACAGTTTACGAAAAAAAGATGGCCAAGGAACAATCCCTACCACTCACTTCATTCTTCTCTCCCAACTGCATCATATTCCGCCTGGTGATCAAGATGAGGTACTGGTCACTGCGATTCTGAACAGACAGGTTCTGTTTCGTACATCAAGAATTGGGCATGAGTAATGGTACCTGATTACTGATCGCCACCCTGCAGACGAGATGAAGGAAACATGTACCGTGTTCTTGAATTCGTTTCCGCCGTCTGAGGTATTCTGTTTCACGCTGGAGATGATGTCGAGTGTCCATCCCCCTGGATAGCAATTGAGATTGGGCAATGGGATTGGGTTGACTTATTGGATGCGAGGGACAAGCATCTAGATCGGTGTCAATACTGCGTTCTGCAGAACCCCGTTGTTCTCTGAGTCTCAGGTTCTGATGGAATTATGCCATAGGTATTTGAGAAAGTTTTGGAGCTTGGACAATATGGAAGTCTTCAAGGCGTCGCAGGGGGAGGACTTCGGTGTCACGCGTACTGTTATCAAGTCCTTGGAGCTTGGAAGCCCAGCCTTCAAGTACAACAACATTCAAAGCCCTCGGTTCATTCTCACAATACCATCATCACACCTTACAGTTTGCAGTTCCTAATGACGAGGTTTGATGCTATTTTGTTGTGGAATGTGCACGGTATCTAATGTGCAACTCAGTGCTGTTGCATTCTGGGTTGTGCATCGACAGTGGAATCACCAATCACCATACAGATTAGCATGTGTAGCAACAGGGCATGTGTTTACCAGCTTGATGCAACATATTCATCGAAAGTTCGTAGATGCATACCTTCATCATAACATGCAGATAATAGTCTGTTGGAGTCAGAGGAGACAAAACGAAAGTGGCGCACTTTATAAGATCGTCAAGGGCCATCTTAGCTGCCCACTAGTCCGAGCAACTTGATGACCTGAGGACCAGCTTAGGCTTTTAAAATATAATGACAGCTCAGCCCTGGTTTGACTCTGCCTGAGCAGCGCCATGAGTGGGGAAACTCTAGTTAGTGGTGTATTATGAACTGTACTTGAAAAATGAAGTCGGACGTTCCCTCTTTGTCACCATCACGAAGTGTCCCCGACACATGTCAGTGAAGCTGACAGTATTGTGCATGGGGACTGTAGGCCAAACGCTTTTTGATTAGTATCTGGTGTGAAGTGCATCAGGAAATGTACACTTTACTTAATTCAGCTTGACACTTGAAAATTTGCACTAAGTCAGCTAAGACGACTTCAAGTTACTTTGTTTTTACTTAACACTACTTACTAGTCTGACCGAGAAAAAATGCAAGGCTATCAAGTAATTAAGTGACAAAGTTTGCAAATAATGTATTCAAGACGCTATTTCAAAAGAATGATGATCTGCAAATTTGTTAACATAGAACCCACAGTAAGTATCTAGAGTCTCGTGGAATGTGGCTTTCTCTGGGACAAATTCCTCGCCAAAGATGGACAGCAAGTGAGCTGCATATTGTAATGATGATTGAGAGCTCCCGAGTGTTGAGCTCTAAGTCAAGAAAGGATGGCTTGACCATCCACATTCCATTTCCAGGATCAGGCTTGTCAGAGACAAGCTTAAACCAGTGTACCAGAGCACACGGAAAAGTCTCTAAATCACATAATGGAAGGGAAAAAAACATAGCACATGGACAACTTCCATACTGTGTATTCCATCCTCACTTCCAGTGTTCACAAATACAGTGTCATAGCATCCTGGACCTCTGTGCCATGAAGGGACAGAATGGATATGTTTGTGTTGCATTCCCCCAATACCACTGGGATCACTCGGTGCAAAGAAAGTAGATACTGCAGAGCCAAAGACCTTGATGTGACCTTCAAATCTGGGGCAAGCACTAAGCGGGATGGTGTCAGATGTATGTTCATCATCTGCGAGGAGTTGGTCATAGAGAAAAAGGTGGACCAGTCAGGGCAAGTTCAGTACATTGAGTTCTTCTGCCAGCACATGAATGGTGCGTGCTTGTTTGTGTTCTTTTGTTGGGTCAGATAATAATATATATGAAAGAAAAGATAATGCATGAGGTACGCATGCCAGTTTCACATCACATTGCACTTGGGCTCCCTCCACTGCACCATCATCTTCCTCATTGCTTTCATCTTCCTTGCCCCTCTCATCTGCCTCACCACTGTTGTCCACTTCACCACCATCGTCCATTTCACCATTGTCATCCACTTCACCACTATTGTTTGCCTTGCCACTATCCTCCACATCTCTGTTGTTGTGTGATGGGTCTTGTTGGCTTATATCTATTCAATTTTTTATTCAGTACCAATATTATATACAATAAGAGATATACATACCAGGATGTGGACCTAACATTCCATGTGCCATGAAGTCTGTACGTGCAGCAGCAAGTTTATCAAGGTGCTGATTTGTTAGTAACATCTGTCCCAGTGTGTTAAATTTACTTGATTATCGCCATGGTTCTTTAATGGCCTTGATGTGTTTTGACTCTGTTATGGATGAACACACACCATTTGGTGCGCCAAACATGCAGATAAGCATAACATAATGCATCAGGGAATGCTGATGTGGTAGTGAGAATCCAGTCAAAATAAACACCAGTCTCTTGAAAAATCTTGCAATAACAGTGAAACCGGTCAAGGGCCTCCTTGATTTCCTCAAGTGTGTTCTCTGTGATAATATCCTGTCATATGAGGTAGCAAAATTCAAGGAAGGCAGTGAAAGCACTGGACAATGTCATTGGGGACATGTCCCTCAATTGCAGGCAAGTAGACCTTCATTAAGGCCTTTGAATTGTTGCTGGTCCATTGAGTGAATCCACTGGCCTTGAGGAAACCAGCAAAGGCCTGCAAATGATGGTGCTGCAGCAATTCTAGAGAAACAAGTCTGTGGGTTAGCAAGAGTCGCTGAAGAAATATTGTAAGGGTACCTTCTATCTATGTCATCCATTACCACCTTAGCATGAGTTTTTCCATGTATGCATTCTAAGTACTTCTCGACCCAGATGACAAGGTGGTCTTTGAAGGTACCCTTGATAAGTTGATGCAGGATATTGGGGGACAGAAGTTTGTGAATGTCAGCATGTGGATAATTGTTCGTAAACAGCTACTGTTGTTAGAAAGCTTTGAGCAGTTGGATCAAAATGAAACTTACTACAATGTCAGCATCAACACCCCACTGATACCACAGTGTACTGAAGTCAACATTATCACAAAGGATGTTTGTGACTATTTGAGCATGAAGTTGGACATCTTTGCCATCTAGGTCTGCTGGCAAAGCAAAACATCTTAGGAATACATTAGATTTAGACAAGTTCATGCAAAAAGAACACTTACTTAGCACACCAATTTGATACAATACAAGAAAGTACGACCTGTTCTGGATAATCTGTGATGTATGGTCCTAAGCCATAAATGACACGTCGAAAGTGACTGTCCCCAAAGTGCACAACCTCAGGAACAGTCATGAAGGTCTTGAAAGACCATAATATTCATGAGAGAGACAAATGAAATAATTGTTTCTTAAATTTTCTAAATTGCACATCCTCAGAATATTGTTTTACAGCTGTAGAAACATTATACAGGGGGCACCACAGAAAATAAAAACACTACATACTCTTTGGTATGGCTAAAAAGCCAACAACAGTGACAGCATTGCAATGAGTGCAGTGAACATTATTCTTCACATTGCCGATTGATGCATAGAGTGGATAATAATCATTTTGTCTGGTTGTGACCGAGACCGTTGTCTTGTCACTTCCAAGAAGGATGGGTATGAAAGTTGAACCATGTGTTGCTGGATCTTTGGCGATTTCATCCTAAGATTATTTAGATCAGTGTCATGTCAAATATCAAGTAGTTAAGAACTTACAGCTTGATTCCATGCCCAGTCTCCCAACATGACATTGTGCCACTGCCGTTTTGCATCACCTCCCTCTCCCTTCCATTCATGATAAGGCATGTACTCCATCTTGTCCTTGAAGTCTGGATTGGCAAGCATGTTGTGGACCACAGCATGTGGATCTTGGAACCATGCAGTGTAAGGAGTATCCATCCATGGGGTGCGAGCCTCTGAGTCAGAATCACTGGGAACTAAGCCTTCTCCATTAAACTTCATTGTGAAGTTCTCCCATGTGACTTCTCCAAGGGGTATTACATTGATGGTTGAATACAAGTCTTTGTGGTCAGTGAATGGTGGGGTGTCTCTGTGATGCACAAGGGTTCATCCCCACAGGTACATAAGCTTGTCAACATCACTGCCAGACATTTGATTTTTCATATATAAAAACTCCGCAGTTTCAAACTCTGTGCAATCACAAAACAGTGTCCAGTCACCATGCTCTCTTGATGTGAATGGAGGTGGCAGGAGCATCTGGGTGGATGAACTGACCATGTTCATCGCAGATTTGCCCTGTATTGATAGAAAAATAAGAAACACATCAGTGATAAAATAGTCAGATATGCACCATTGAGCTCTAAGTGATAATCTCAGTAGGTCTCCTCAGGATTTAGGACTGGAATTGGAATGTTTGTGTTTTCAGCCTCAAAGTCAAATTCTCTCACCCCAATGTTCTCTTCCCCGGCCTTGCAGTTGAATTCTCCCACCTCAAGGCCTAATTCTCCCACCTCACAGTCAAATTCTCCTGCCTCAAGGCCTTCTCTGGTCTCAAGGTTTGGTTCTTCAGAATGTTCTCAGGCTCCCTGCTGATTTGGGATGTCGAAAGAAGAGTTGTGCATGGCATGGCAATGTTGCATGAGTCCAGATCAGTTTCTGAAAGAACATGTGCAGCCAGCATGAGGACAAGGAATTAGATTAGCCTGAAATATCTTGCATGAATGAGTGTTCTTTCAGGACTGGCAACGAGGGCATGCAGACATTGTGGGAGGGACTTAATCATAAAATTACTGCAGAGAAATTGAGTTTTGTAATGATAGTGCATGTCATGAAAACATGACGTACTAATACATGTAAAACACCCTTCAACAACTCTGAGTCCTACTAGTAGCGAGTTGACCTTATTGTCACCTTTTGGGTGTCTTCACTTCCATCTTGCTTGAGTCTTGCTGGTCATGGTTCACACATGTCCAACTAATGCATCAAAGAGGCCTGCTCAGGTAGTTTTGGACATGAAACAGAAGAGGTAGACTACAGCTCAGGTTAAAAAAGATTGGGCACACACTGAGAAGGAGCAAGAGGAACAAGACCAGAAGGCAAAGCAAGCCATCACGCAAGTGGCTGCTGCTCAGCAGAAAGCCACCATCCAGCAGGAGAACACAGTATCTTCAAAGAAGCCACAACCCCACCCAACTGGCAAAGGTGCTGCAGCAACATCTTCTCACACTCATGTTGTTGCAGTTGATGACAATGAAGATAAAGACTCTCAAGTCCTGGGATGGAGGAAATGCATCCAGAAGACTGATCACTGCAATGCTATCAATGCAGTCCAAACCACAATGCAGCCATCTCACCCACATGCACCAGACACTGCCAGGAATGGAAACAAGCTGATGTGGGTGTTTTTCAACTGCCCATCATGCTTTTACTTACTGAAACAACATTATTTTACTGGAATCTACTCCATGAATTTACCAGCAACCTAAAAAAAATATCTTCAGTTTCAGGTTGGGCTCAATGAGTCAATACAAAGATTGAGTCTACCCCATTCAAGGCACCATTGTACTTAGAAAGTGCCTCTTCTCTTTCTTGTCCCACTGGATCTGCACTATCTCAAGTCACTCATGCAATGACTAATGCAATGACTACTGCTACAGCTCCCCCTGTGACACCCAAAAGCTCTGTGTTCAATGATGATGTTGAAATTGAAGATCGCACACCAGACTCAGCTGATGGGCCCAAGTGCTTAGCAGTGTATACTCTCACAAAGATGGGTAAACCAAAGCACATCCAGAATCAATGGTAGCTAAGTTTTTACCTAGTTTTAAATTTGTTCAATACTAACTTACTTTTAGGACATGATTGAAGTCAAGGATGTTTCCTGACCTCCAACTCCACCAATTCCTTCGCAAATGAGGCTCCTTCAACATGGTTTGGGTAGCACCCATCCCCATATCACTTGGTCTGAACCAAAGGATGTTGCAGTGGACCCTGAGGGCCAGGAGGACTCTATCATGATTGCGGATGATGCTGGTGATTTTGATCTTGAAGACTACAATGCCAGCACTGCAACAAGGAACACAGGTGGGAATAAATGAGTCACCACATTGGTAGGTTATGCTGATTATGTAAGACTTCACTACTAACAAGATTCATATTCCAGACCAACATGGAAGTTGTGGATAACACTCCTCCACCCAAGCATATCAAACAAGAGGCAGAAGGTGACGTGATTGCTGGAGAGGCCTTGAGGGCAAAATACAAGAACAGCGACCTTCCTCCTGGCTGCTTGGACCAAAATTTATGGTGCGGGGTGTTTATCCCCACAGTGGCACATGCAGCTGGTGGCAAGAATGTCCACCCTTGGTTGATTGAGGATGATGTACTCATCCCAATTCTTACTAAGGCATGGAACATCGTTTATGCAGACAATCCATCCCTGATGAAATACCAAATTGTACCTGGTGGTGCTGTCTATCATGTGGTATGTCAATGGTGTCTTCAATTTCATACCAACACTTCACAAATGGTAGGTTAAACAATGCCTCAGTGAATGGCACGGAGGGTTTGGATCTGCCGCTGTCATGATCATTATGAGTCTCATGGCTTCTGACACTACATATGAAACTGACCAAGAGCATACCGAGTTTGCCAAGTTCTGGCTCGAAGACAACTGCTTCCTTTTCTCAGATGTTAGCTCTGATGACCCAGAGGTTCATGTAGTTTCTGTATTGCTTTGTGCTAACACAATTTTATAATTCAGGCATGGTCAGGGATGTGGCAGTCTACATTTATGTTGCAGACTTTCGCTGCACACCTAAACTATACTCAAGGCCAGATGGAAATTCCAGCACTCAACAGCAAAGATGAAATCATGTGGGCATCACTTGCTTTGTCAGCAGGGGCAGTAACTATCCTACCTTTATGTTTCACTTTTCCTTACTCGTTTTAATTTTTCAACAGGTAAAACGCACTCTGTACCTCCTTTCTGTAGGATTGATGAGTTTTACCATCACAGTGGCTACTGGGAAGGGAAAGAAGAAAGCTGCTAATACTACACACAAGGGTAAGGCATCTGCTTCTAATGGAAACATCTGGGAGGCTGTGATTGGGGAGAATGAGAGCTTCTCTGAGCCACTCTGGGGTTACAATACATGAAAGCTACCCCTCATGGAGGACAGTCCAAGGGTGCTGACGAGCCTGTGGAGGAAGAGATTGATGAAGAATATGTCAATTTACTTGCTTTCCACTAAAGGTAAGTTCATTTCACTGCATGTATTAACTGTTGGCATTCACTCATCATCCTAATTTCCAGATCACTGTTCCCTGGATCCTTGCTGGTACATCACTTCTTGGTTGCATTCTCTCAAGCTTAGTATGATGTTCTGGTATCACTGCTTGCTTCTATACCATCTTTTCCACATCTCGTTGATTGTGACTTCCATCTGAGCCGCATGCTGCTTGATTTTTTCCACCACAATTTTCTGTTGCTACATCTTTCATCCTGCTTGACATGTTTTTGACCTGCACTTTACACATTTCTGACTTCATCTTAATTGCATCTTGTTACACACTTACCATTTTGGATAATCTCGACATTTGTTTTGCAAAGCACATTAAGACAACTCTAAGCTCAAACATAAGAAAATGGATCTAATTTTTTTAAGTGCGGTGTTCTTACTTGTTCTGGACTTGAATTGGACTTTGTTCATGATTTCAGCGACTCTGACCTTATTAAGGGAACATTAAGTAATATGTAGTTTTCCTGATGTGTAAGTATTGATAGAAAACAAAACAATGACAGTGCGCACCATCAACGGATGCCTTCGATGAGTACCTGGCACTTGCGTGACAATCACTTGAGCAACATATGAATCATCAGAAAAAAGCAAGCCTATACAGGACAGCACCCTAGGGCAAAAACACTCACGTTGACTGAATAAGTTGCAAATCCCAGACCCGTCAGATATCAATCTGATATGCAGGCAAAGGTGCACAAATCGTTGTTTTGTTAAGCAGGTCAGCATCGCGTAATGGCTGCATATTGTATCTCAATAACTGTGACGCACACGTTTCGCATGTCGCATGGAGGACAAACAACTTTCCCTCCATGAATGATGATTTGGACAGTGCTATCTGTACGATCTCACCAAGAGTCTCTGAAGTCTGACGTGAGCTTTGCAACAGAGTTCCTCTACTTCTGATGTCGGAGAAGAGGATTTAATGCACGATCGCTGAATTTGTTTCTGGAAGCCTAAGGTGTTCGACTGAACAACTCCAGTGCTTGTGCGAAGAAGGCACTTGAGTGTATACATACGGACGGGGAGGAAAATCAGAACGCGCTGGATTCTAGGAGAGCGGCAGAGTACGAGTTCGGAGTGTGGCACTAGTCAATGACGGCGAGGATCGGTAACCGGTTTCGACGGCTGGTATCACGCTACTTGCGACACGTTCGTCCGATGGCAGGTTTTCAGTTGCAAAAAATTGTATGAGCAGTATACAGTGTAGACGAAGATGACGAGGCGTTTAATATCGGTATCGTAGATGTGGACGATTCGAAATACATCAGAGGGAGTGGGACGAGTAGGTAGAGCACATCAACAAGAGTTCATCGAGAGATATAGAGGCATGCGACTCGTGAAGAATGGGAGGATCTAATGATGACCGTCCGTATATTCAGGAGAAAGACAACCAATGAAGAGCCAGAAGCGAGTCCAGAGTCCAGCCTGTCTTATCGTTGCATCTGGGCGTGACGGTGTTGTTGAAGTTGGAGCTGCGGTAGCATCACTGGCAGCTGGTGTGGTAGACAATAAAGAGTCAGCTGCTTGCGCTTGCGAAGATGGCTGGATGACATTGGGCTTTGAGCTACTTGCCGCAGTGGGGTTCTTCGAGGGCAATAGTATCTTTTTGCGTTTCTCCCTTGCGCAAGCGTTTCTCTACGTAGAATTAGGTGGAGATGAACGTCCGAGAAGGAGAAATAACTTACACGTTTGCCTTTCGCATACGGAACGTCGACAACTGCAGAGCTGCGCTCTTGTAACTCGTTACCTTCACCGCTGTGTCTGCGCCATTTCAAAAGGTTTCGAGCCCAGTCGAGAGGAGAGGACGGTGACGTATCATGAGCACTGGAGGGGCTGCAGTTGCGGTGGAATAACCGCCTAAGAAGTGTGCTTCCTTGTGGTGCTGAGGAGTAGGAACGGCTTCGTGCAGAGGACTGAGAACACGGAGGTCAGCAAAACAAAATCGAAGTGATAGCGATAACGTACATGAGCTGGTGAGACTCCGTCGAAAAAACCTTGGCGTACCCGATAAGCAGGCGGACATTGTTGGACCGAAGGTCGTGTAGCATTAGCCTAGAGTATGTATGTTGAGCACAACGAGATCTTTGAATGAAGGTGTTACATACATGGAGTGCCAATTTGTTAGCCTAGTAGAGCGAGTTCAGTTGTGAGAATGTAATACAATGAGACTATCAACTCACCTTTGAATCTGATAGAAGTTCATCGAGGCCGGCTTCTCTAACAATCGCAACAACATCCCATGAGTACGCATTTTTGTCATTGCAGCCAGCTGCTAGTAACTTTCCACCCGTGGAAAATGACACCCACTGCACTGGCTGTGTGTGCTGGAGGGGCGAACTGATGGGTTGCCCATTATCGAGGTTCCACAATCGCACTGTGTTGTCGGACGATGCGCTTGCGAGGATGCGGCCATTCGGTGATATCGCAAGGGCCAAGACAAGGTTGGTATGCTCAACCAGAACCGAGGTCTGCTCCCACTTGGTTGTATTCCATGTCCTAATGGATGTATCCCATGACCCAGAGATAAGCGTTTTTCCGTCCTTGGTCCAAGTCAGGGAACACACACAGTTCGTGTGTCCTTTAAGAGTTGCGACAAGCTTGCCTGTCTTTGTGTCCCAGATTTGGATTGAGCACTCGATGCGTTCTCCAGTATAGGGCCCATCACGTCCACCAGTCGCAATCAAGGACATGTCTGGTGAATAGACGACTGCCCACACGCCATCGTGTCCTGTCTTGATCGATGCAAGTATGGTTTCTCCGCTTTCTATGTCCGCTGTCTCCCCACTTTCCATGACCCATTGTCTTGCAGTCCCATCCTCGGATCCGCTTAACACTCTCCGACCATTTCGACTCCAGCAGACAGACACCACTGCCCTTGTATGCTCCGTCCACTTAGTGATGACCTCACACGTGTCGATGTCCCACACCTTCACTGCACCATCCTCACTTCCGCTAACCACTTTCTTCCCGTCCGGAGACAACGCTATCCTGTACACTGCACTTTCTCCGTCTCTCCAGTCTTCTCCTATCTGTTTTCCGCTCTTCAAGTTCCACACTCGCATCGAGTGGTCCATTGAACAAGTGATAATCCGCTGTCCGCCTGGCAGGTGTATAACGCCCCAGACATCACCAGTGTGTCCTTCAAATTTCTGGCGAGGCATTTTTGCTGATATCTCTTTCGTTTTAGTGACGGGTGAAGTCATACTCCAGAATTCCTACTACAGAGTGCAACGCCATCTCAGCTTTCATGGATCAAATTTCAAAATCATCACTTACGAAGACGACAACGACAGGCAGACAGGAGGGCAGAATGGACGTTTTGATCAAGTTAGAGTTGAATCTACTGCTGCCTGGTACGTTGTATATGCGTGTTCGCTTCGCAGCTTACACACAGCATAGGCTGTGCAACTGAAGCGCCCAAGAATCATCCGCCTTGGGTCACCGTGACTCTCTCAGCCGACATTTCCACTACACGACATGCTCATCACATCCATTTCCTGCATTCAGGTCTACATTCTTCATCTCGTTATAATATCTTCTGCCTTCGTCGTTTGCCTATACGGGCCATCCTCAGCATTTTCAGTTACCCCATTCAAATCCCCCAGGTACGTCTATTCATCCACCACTCTCTCTTACGTCTCCTCTGAAAACGACCTCTGATAATGCCTATCGCATCTTTCCCCTGATGGCTGGACAGAAATAAGTGTACATGTCACCTTGGGAGATACTAGTGTATTCACTTCCTTAATATTTTATTTGATCTGGACTGATAATCATCTGTAGTTGGCTCCGCAACGATAGAAATACTGATATTCGGAAGGACCGTTTTGTCGCCCACAATCCGCATAACACCCATCACCCCCGCCACTCGCGGCACCCCGCCTAGGCGATCCCACATCCCGAAAACTGCCTCAGTATCTTCTCACACGCATACAATCTATTGGAGAACTTACAGCACACATGAGGATCATCGTTATGGGAGATGATTCAGAGAAAGTGAGACGGGCAAGAGATGTGATACTTCATTTATCGAATTCGAAACTACGAGGACAGAACGAGGAAAGACCCAGCACTATCTCCAAGGCACCCGCGCTTTCAGCGGACAGGGCCAGCAACGCACCAGACGCATACGTTTTCGGACCCGTAAGCGACGTTAAAGGTGGAGTGCGTGCAGTGGACGAAGGAGTTGGTGATATAGACAAATCCGCCTTTCCAACTCTCTTTCTTCATGTCGTTCTGTTGCGCTCACACATCACATTCCACAGATCATAAAGAAATCCATAATGAGACACTTTGATGTAGTTGACATGTCCAAGAAGCATCCAGATTTAAGGAAGTCTTTGGATTCGTGTACCGGGGACAGCGTTCATTCTTGTGCGTAAATGCTCTTCATAATTACGTGCTTATATTTCTGGTCTCAGAGCCACAGTACAGAAACCTCCTGTTGGTGCGAGAGTTCTGGAGACGCTTGTAGGAGCACATATTAAACTTTCTGTTACATTACCCACTCGAGAGGAAGAGCATCTCGCGAGGGCGGCCTGGAGCGAAAATCTGGTTCCCGCATGATATACTTCGCATCTGGCTACAAGCAAGATGGTGGTTGTTTGTCAGTGCACTAATGCAACCTCCACAGAATCGGTATGTATTTACACTCAATAAGTTCAATCGATTAAATGTCATATTCCACATGGCACCCACTGCAGACCTACGCACAACGCCACTGGTGTGGACATCATAGTGCAAAACTTGCTTCTATGTTGCGGCATATCTTCGAGTTTTAGCTTCTTCGAACCGTTTCCAGTCGACAAGTCCAGAACCTGCTAGTTCACAAGAATGTTCGAACATAGAAACAGCTGAGACACGTCAGACATGTCAGTTTGAGGAGAACAGTGCAAAAAGAGACAAAAATGTAGCGCACAATGCGACAGCAACGACAAGCTCTTGAAATAGTCAAGTAGTGCGCAAAATGTACGTGTGATGAAAGGAGATGGAGTGCTCGTATATGGTATCGTACAAAAGAATTGTTTCAAACCATCGTTTATGCAGCAATGAGCATGAATTGGTAGAGCACATAGATTATGTCCAAATCAAACTAGCAAAATTATGTGCCATGAAGGAAATCATATATTAATGATGACCATCAGTATGTTCAATAGACGTACAGCAGATAAGGAGCCAGAAGCGAGTCCAGAGTCCAGCCTGTCTTATCATTATATCAGGGCGCGAGGGCGTTAAAGTTGTACTGGTAGCTATGGTAGCATCGCCGATGGCAGGTGTGGTGGACGACGGGGTCAGCTGCCTGTGGTTGCAAACATGGCTTAACGACATTGGACTGGGGAGGCTGTGAGCGGCCTGCAGTAGAGTTCTCGGAGTGCAATAGTTTCGCTTTCTGTTTCTGTTTCGCTAACACGACTTCCCTCGCTGAAGCGTTTCTCTATATAATATCAGGTCGAGTTGAACGTCCAAGAAGTAGAAATAACATACACGTTTGCCCTTCGCATATGGGACCTCAATAACTGCGGGTCTGTGCCCTTGCAATTTCAAGCCCAGTCGAGAGGGGAGGATGGTGATGTATCCTGGGCACTGGAGGGGCAGCGGTGGAATAAGCGGCGAAGAAACATGCTGCCTGGCGGCGAGGAGGAGAGGGGACGGCTCGTGCAGAGGACTGAGAACAAGGAGGTCAGGAAAACCAAATCGAAGTTATAGTGGTGACGTACATGAACTCGTGGGACTCCCATTTGATTGTATTCCATATTCTGATGGAGTAGTTGACTGACCCGGAGATGAGCGTTTTTCCGTCCTTGGTCCAAGCTAGGCAACGCACTATGTATCTGTGTCCTTTGAGAGTTGCAACAAGCTTGCCTGTCTTTGCGGCCCAGATTTGAACTGAGGACTCAGGCTTTCCAGTCAAGGACCCATCAAGCTCAAGTCCACCAGTCGCAAACTTGGTTGTGTCTGGTAAATAGACGACTACCCACACTTGACCACGATCGGCTCGAGGATTGTCTTTCCGCTTTCCACGTTCCATTGCTTTGCTGTTCCATCGGAAGATCTACTTAACACTCTCCGACCATCTCCACTCCAGCAGACAGATACCACCTCCTTCAAGTGTCTCGTCCATTTCGTGATGACTTTGCATGTGTCAATGTCCCACAACCTTACAACACCATCCTCACTCACGCTAGCCATTGTCTTCCCGTCCGGAGACAACGCTATAGTCCATGTTTGACTTTCTCCATCCCGTCACTCTTTTCCTGTCTGTTTCCCGCTCTTCAAGTTCCACACTCGGAGTGAGCCATTCAACGAAGAAGTGATGATCCGCTATCTGTCGGGCAGGTGTATGACACCCCAGACACCAGCAGTGTGTCCTTCAAATTTCTGACGAGGTGTTATCGCTAATGTTTCTTTTGTTTTAGCGGTTGATGAAGTCATACTCCAAAATTCCTACTACCGAGTGCAGCGCCTTCTCAGCTTTCATCCGTCGAACTTCAAAAGCCATCACTTACAAGGAGATCTCTCAACGGCGATGGACGGCAAGGAATAATGGTTATTTTGGTCAAGTCAGAGTTGAATACACTGCTTCCAGGTACGTTTTTCATCGTGTTCGCTCCATAGGCTGTGCAGTTGAAGTGCCCAAGCATCGATCGCATTCCGTTCAGCTTCAGTCCATGATTGGCTGGTTCTCAACAACTAGGGAAGACGATGGACTGTTTGCTGGAAAGCGTTCTCGACGAGCATATGGGTGGTGTCAGTGAAAGAGTCAGAACACGTGACCTTATGCCCTTCGGGGGAAATGTCGAATTGACTGTCGGACTTGTCCAAGTCCACGAACGAACGAATCAATCTCTCATGATCCTAGGCTAACTAACAGTACGTTGTGTTTATATTCAATTTGATAACAGCGCCTCGACCTCGAGCCTGACTTTATGGGGCGAGGGATGAAGAGTTTGAGGATGTCGTCAGGTGAGTCTTTTTTTCTGCTCCTGTATATATGGATCGCTGAAAGTTGGTGATTTGTTTTCCTGGATTTAGGTTGTACGATTTTTGGAAGTCGTACTCGCCGACAAGACTGTTTGCAGCTGATTGCATTAGGGATATGTCGAGTCTGTGAGAGGTGAAGAAGTATTTGTAGTATCTGTGTTTGCTGTTGGAGCGGGCGGAGAAGTCGGGAGAGATGGGGAACCAGACGAGGACGCGGATTGTTGAGGGGAGTACCCGATTTAAATTTAGGATAGATACGTAGCGGAGCTCGTGTTTTGGGGTGTGTCCTCCATGGATAGATCCTCATCGGACGATGATGATATTACTTTGTAGGTGAATCCGAATCTTCCAAAGCGCATGGGAATGCAACAACCTCGATGCTGACACGGAATATTCGGCCGAACCAACTTCTGACAGAAGAGGTGGAGCTTGAGTAAGTTACGGCAGCTCTGTCTCTGAACTTGAGCCTGAATCTATTGTGCTCAAGGATACCGTACTTCCACTGCCCATCGTGCGAAGCTGAACCGATCACCATTTGGTATGGGACACACATTCCTCGCAGAGATAATCTCTAGGGATTCCTACGCGAGCTAACCGAATAGTTTTGGCCTTGCGGTGAATTCGAGCGATGCGGTTTGGGAATTGTAACGGTACATATGGTCGGAATGGAATTTACCACACACCACAGTGCTAGTGATATCGGACGATTGGCTTGTCTGATAATGCACTTTTGGTAAAGGTGACGTTATTAATGTGATTGCATATGACCTTTATTGATTCTGCTTCTGAAGAGCCTCCTCGTGTACTAGCGCTAGAGTAAGTACTAGTACAAGTAAAGGCACGTCCATTTCTGAACTTGAACGTTAACCTGGATCTTAGACTGTTTTTAAGGTTCGCATCCTCCACCTGTCCGTCGTGCGATGCTCCCCATCGTGCGAAGTGAACCGATCAGATTCACAATGTGGTCGGCTCTCGAGTCCTTCAGAAAGTTCAGATAAGCAAAGTAATTTAGGTAAGTCGCTTGTGCCACAATCATTTGCCTAGACCCTGATGATGGAAGGCTCAAAGCGAGGCTCAATGGGCCAATTAATTTAGCGTCTCCAGAATCACGCCTGATTTCAACCAAACCATAGAAGCCAACCTTGTTTTTTTTTTTTCATTGATAACTTGGACGAAATTTCTGAGTTTGGTTGTTGTTCGCGACTTTCACGCATGACTGCACTCGATCTGCATAATGCACTTTTCACATCAGACAAAGGACTCCATGCTACGCCTACGCCCGCTCCCATGACACGTACGCACACACGTATTCTTTCACTCACGACAGTCCAAGAACAATCACACGATCCCACATCTCCAACTTACAACTCCCCCACCTACCACGACCTACTCTCACGCCAACCACTCCACCCAGACGGTCCACGACATTGGGACCTCGGTCTTGACCTCACAGGAGACCCAATAACAGCAGCAGAATGTAAAAGCCTCGAAGACCGGTTCATAAAAGCAAAACTGCGTCGTTTAAAGTGGATATGTGGAGTTTTTGAAATTGTTTTTGGTATACCCCATCCTTAATCTGTGCGTCTCAGGCCAATGCTGATGGCCTTTTGGTTTAACAGGTACATGGGCTATATATTGCACGATTCGCTATTCCCTCGCATTCCAAACGGCTTTTACGAGCGATGTACCCATACGCACGCTTGCGCTCGTGCTATGCGTTGTTTCTGGGATTACTGTCGCGGGAGTGGTTGTAACACTGTTTATGCCGCTTCTTCCTGATGGTGGAGATGGACTCGTTCGTTCTGCGAGGATAGTCTTCAGAGGGTGTTTTGTTGTGTTGATACTTGCGACGGCGATCGTGAATCTTGTGTTTGTTTTGGTGTGGAGACCCGTGGATAGATGTGGGTGGGATATGGATATTTCGTGGTCGGCGACGGTTGCGATCGCTGGAGATTCGACAGCGAGCCAATGTCGTACTGCGAGTCTTGCAGCTTGGACGATCGTTGCGTCCTTAAGGCTTATTGCTACTTTGATCATGGTGGTAAGTCTCGCTGTCGAGTTTCGATGGTGTTTCTAATTGACGAGCGTTCTTTTCATGTAGTTGTTGTACCTTTACTTCCTCAGAGCGTATTCTGAAGCGAGGCACCCTTCGAGATATACCAGGGACATGTACTACCCTCCATTAATGGCCTCGGATGATGTTGTAAACTCGCCTGTATCCACTATCGACTCACCTATATCGACTCTCGACCCATCACCATCGAGGATGTACTTCAACAAGCTAATACAGCCTCAAGCTGCACTAGGAAGGTCTAACTCAACGTTAGCACTCACTAATTCAAGTGTCACCCTTGCGTCTTCCATCTCCCCTTCCCCCTCCCATTGTCACTCTCACTCCTACTCCCATCTAAGCACCCAAGCCATGCACACACAATCCTCCAACCCCGCACCCCGAACTTCCAACCCGATATGGCGAAATTGGACAAATCTGCGGCTATCAATACAAGACCATCAAAGGCACAATAGTCTTTCCGAGACACCCACACCCCGCATGCTCCGCCGCAAGAACCGCATTACTATCCCGAGTGAACTTATCTTGCTGAATGCGAATACTATTACCCGGTGCCTGGGAGGAGTGCACGAAAGTGTGTGCCGCCGGTCTTGGTCTTGGTCCTGATGCCTCGTCGCGGGTTATTTCAGGGTCGGACCACTCTGTGGGCGTCACTGAAGGTCAGGGTGTGTGTCCGGTGGAGGGCCGCGGGATCAGGACTGATTCTGTGGGTCCACTGGCGATGGACTCGGAGCTAGGTGGCCGAGATTCTGACTCTAACTTTGCCTATTCTTACGGATATGGGGCCTCGGAACCAGCATACCCCTACCTGGAAATCTACAACCCTGCGCCGCCGGCTAATGCTAACGCTAATAACATCCTTACCCAACAACCCCGATCGTCCGCGGCAGTCATAGCACGGGCAGACACCATCGAGTCCAGAACATCGCCAACGACCATAGAATCAGGTGACAGCGAAGAAGACGAGCTGATACCCATAATGGGCGGTTTCGTACAGCGGATGCCTACCATCGAGTCATTCGGGTCTCGAGAAGCTGCACTGTCGATGGCTCGCTCGCGCTTCTCGAGAGTTTCAGTTTCCGAGAGGCATGCACCTGCATCTCCGCGTTCGTCTATTGAATGGGCGCCGTCTATGGCGTCTACATTGAGCAAGAATAACTCGCTTGGGACTGCTTCTGCTTATTTTTCTGTGTCGAGTGATATGGGGATAGGTAGTTCTGGACCTTGATGTCGGAGTCAATGAGCGGGGCGAGTTGGAGGCGAGGATGACGAGTCCGCCTTCGTTCAGTCGATATCACTATACCCGAGAAGCTAACCGCACTACATTATCACCCTAGCGCACATGTGGATACGTGCATCATACCATTACCGGATCATCATTATCTCAATCTGTCACAATCTACCATCGCTATCTGCATCTCATCTACAAAAGTACGAACAGCACAAATATAACGAGGTCTCGACGATGATATTAATGCTGTTGATCTATTTTTGAACGTAATCCTATGATGAGCAATGGACATCTGGACACTGGAGCTCGGAGTCTGGTATAAAGCGCCCTGAACCAATCACGAGCATGAGATAAGCTATACCGCATCGAGCCATCTCGTACAACCACTCGACCGATATGAAACGGGACGTAGGCTCAAGATAGCAGATGACAAGGTTCCGGTTCCGGGAATGCCATACGGTGGATCATCGATAATTTCCCGGCACCGACGACGGCGGAAGGAATAGAAGCCAAGTATAAACGAGCGGGGTTACTGAGACTGGATCGTACCATACGAGTGTGTACACGTAGGATCTGGGAGCGGCATATCCACCCGCTGCTATTTCTGTGTTCGAGTCTGGCGCGACTTGATAATAATATTAACCGGTCCTGTTTCCCGGTAGCACTAGAAGTTACTTCGAGTTTAGTTGATGTAAACGTACTTGCCGCATCGCGCAGGCGACGACCGGAAGCAACTGGACTGACACTTTCTGCCATACCGTTACGCCGCGGAGGGATTACTGTCCAAAATCAGAAATCTACCCGTGACTCGAGCAAAGGAAGTCACGAATGAAACAATTCAATCCAGCTTGCGTCCCTGGCCCGCAGGGGAGCCAAGTGCAGGGCTTCTCACGTCTTACCTTTCTCAGCAATCGAGAGTATTCTCAAACCCAAGGCACTGTTCCACGTCCACGTGGTTCTGCAACATGTAGCATGTCGAGTCTCATCAGATGAGCCATCTCACATATGAAAATTTCCTCACCCATTCATTCCTAAGCTCCCGAACTTATCTGATTGGTGATTGATCATGTCGGCATCGTGCAGTAAGACATCGCTCCAGCAATGCAATTCGCATGCGATAAGAATTTTTTATAAGTAGGCATGACAATAACCACATTCCGAATCTAGTATTGAAAGCGTGGAACATCGAGCAAATATGGTGCTGATTGATATCGATATTCTGAGAGAACATACGATGGTGGTGACTTGTGCATATACTCTGTGGATAGCCACATAGACCGGGAGTTCATGCGGACTAATTGCGTCCAGGAGTGGCAGCAAAGCAAAGCGTGCGCGAGTGCCAAGGAGGCGATCATGACATACACGTACTTCCAACGGTCCGATCACTGGACGAACGATACTGTTTTTTTCTTCTTCAGTCCCATGGTCTCGACTTCTGCGTTATCCTGCTCCTGTCTTCTCTTCCCCTTTCGTGCGAAAGAGGCAGAAGCTAAAGTTGAGGGTGCAACCCTACTCGAAGGAGAAGGATCATCCACGCCAGCGGGCTTCATGAACGCGTTACTGCCACTAGAACTGATTGACTTCGGTGCTGATGCAGGTGACGTGCGGTTTGAAGATAAGGAGCCTGAGCGAAGGTCAACGCCAACGTTGTTGTTGTCGTATATCACCCGACTCGCCGGATCCTTGAGCTTCTTTGATGGCTTGGCGGATGTGACACTGTTAGTTGAGCTGGATATCGATTTGATCTTGATTTTCCGCGTCTCATCAGGTTGGACGTCTGTAACAACTGCGGACCGCACTTCTGGAGGTTTGGATGACTAACGATAAGGGACATTTCAATGAACAAGGTTCTGTATGCTTCAAGGGGATATAACCCTGGGGGTATCGCGGATATGTACTCACCTCTTCCCCGTTTTTATTAAATTTGCGACGGCCGTGGGGTTTGACGCTGCCAAGAGACGTCGATGATGAAGTTCCGTTTTCTTCCTCAGGGCCAGGGGTTTCAGAAACAGAAGGAAAGAGGAAAGGCATATACGATCTCTCATACAGATCGTCATTTCTGTACATTGCAAAAAAGTTCGCTAAAGTCACAAGGACACGAAATCCAACTACGCGCAACTCACGAATCTGAGTTAGACCCTCGAACACCATCTGCCAATCCCCAGGCTTTACGAATTTCAGGCGCCACTTCCCATTCGGCCTCATCTTTCACGTGCGCTTTCTCGAGCTCGACATCGACACCGGATAACTGCTGTGCCCTCCGAGCATTTTGCATGAAACGCAGATTCAAAGTCCCTGTGCTAAGCGTTTTCTGAGTCTCGACGACCATGGTGGTTGGTTATAAGCTTGGTTGGTTTTGGTAAACTTTGGTTCCTTGAGAAAATCTTACGTAATAGAGAAAGAAGCTGGCCTGAGGGATCGGACTTTGATGCAACTCAATACTGCCCCCTCAAACTTAGAACTTCGAAGCATGCCAGCGAACTATAGAAGCCAGGCTGCTAGCGGAACTGAGAATGACATCGGCACCCTGGACCCTGGTGTCTGGATGGTAGATCTTAAACCTTGCTTAGGAGTGACCTGCTGAGAAGGTAACGATAAGTGACGCATGATGAAGAAACAAAGAAGAACCTTGGCCAAGCTCGGGAGGTTACTTTAACTCACAGTCGCCCATTAAGGAAGCCATTAATAATGACGCCGACTTCACGTATGATTCAGGACTTGGACTCTCGCGTTCATCTGGATGAAACCCTTTCCACTACAGAGTGTTATATCCGACGGTGGACTCCACAGATAACGACTCATTCCCCCCACGCCTGCGCAGAAGTCGAACCTCCTGAGTACTCGCTGAGGTCTTGGCGCTTGTGAAGGGGGTCCTGACAACTGCGGTCGCGCCTCAGTCCGCATCCATTTCGGATACAGTTCCTTACTTTTCGTAGCGCCACATGTTGTTCCCACCTGTGCAAGAATGATATGTATGTCGTTACGGTTAGCCGCAAACACTGCCTACGACTCCGAGCACGCATCAAAACCCTGAACCCGATGATCGTGCCATCGATAAAGCTAGTAGGATGCTAGACAAACCCCGGTTGGACTAGGTGCCTGCAGGAGTTGTGACGATGAGCATGCAAGTGCTCCCGACCGCTTGCGAATACAGCGTCAAAGAAGACAATCCTGGGAGTGGATTGGAAAGCAACGGTTAACGGTCGCCTGCGCACGTAAAGGATAGCAGGGCTTCGGTATCTACGGTGAGATTTTTATCTCTTAAAGTTCATTTTTGAACGCTACGGTTATCAGATTCGCCGACATCACAGGCTACATTGAGTTCTCATAGGTCCGGATATCCAATAAGACGTGCTCTTTAGGTACGCAATAGACCGCCGATCAACGACCCAGAGATGTGGTTGTAACATGGTATCGAGGTGGGGCCCAGGCACTGTATGAGTGTATGGTGGACCCTCGTGGACACTGGTTTTTTTTCGAAGGATGCGGGAGATATGCTATACGGACATGAATGCTGCCTTTTGTGTCAGTCGGAGAGAGGAAATTGACATGTCGGGTTAAAACGAGTTGTTTTCATGAAATTGGAAGAATAAATAACCACGACAAGCTGCGAACAGTGATTCCCAGCATCATAGAAGAATCATAGTTTCGCACGATCATTAGTGTGCTAGGGGGGAAATTCATTGTAACTTTTGGCCATAACGACCTGCACTGCTGTAGGGGGGGAAAAGAAAAAAAAAAGGAAGAAATTAAATGTATGGGGACAGGATACCGACGGTGAGATAAAGTCTAGGTAGGGTGTGAGGATCGTGTGATACCATTTCAGGTATAAAAAACGAGGTAAACTTCGACGTTGTATGGTCCGGAATTACATCAAGATATCATCAATCTAAGATTACTTGAAAAGAGAAAAATTTAATGAAATATCGTGTTAGTGACGTTTTGTACTCGTTTAGAATTTATTACATCGTACCCGGAATCAAATATTGAAAGTTTCTGGGGATGGACTTGATCCTTCCAATTAAGTTCCTCCGCGTTCCTTCTTCCTTCAAGTTAGAGAGGACGATCAATTACGGCCACCATATCTCTTCGGTTCGTCAACCTATATAAGATCCTTCTTCTTCCATTTTTCCCTTCATCTCAACCTGTCCACGCAATGTCTTCTTTCCATCTTCGTCCCGTCGCAGAGCACTCTCCCTCCCCACCATCAAGCGCCTCAACAACAACAGCAGGAGATCATAGTCCCCTTCACAAATCATCAATAATTCATACTTCACCACAATCAGGCGCACCAAGGCGTCCTCTCTCGCCAAGTTCACTTCGCGGTAAGTCCAACTTCAACCTCCAGTACTTCGTCATCTGATATGCATCAAGATGTCAACCTAAGTCAGGATGGTAGTTCTACACCCAGAAAGTACCCTGCACCACCGACTGGTCATGAACTTATGGCCCTTTTCCCTCCTGCACCACCAGCAAACTTTGCAGAAATGAGACCTGGCCCTACCAGTGGATTCTTTCAACGACAAGAGCGCGCATTCTTCGCTCAAGCCGGAAGGGAGATCGTCCGTGTTCGCGTAGAAATCGATGTACCGCAGCAAGACGATACTCATAATAGCGCAAAATCTAGGGAGCCGCCACAAAGTGGCGCACCGCGGTCCTGGCCACAGCTTCCGCCACATCCTCAGCATCACTCACCGATTGATTCACCGATGGGTCCCTATCCCCACCATCCAAAGCAACCCCGGTCTTCTCGTTCGATGCCGACACCCACCCAACCACCATCCATGTTTCCCGTGGCACCTCACAGCCAACCACCTCAACCACCTCTCAATCTCCACTCACAGTCACATCATGGTGGCGTCGGATTACGTAGTCCACCTCATGATGTACATCCCATCCCTGGTGCAAAAGTAGAAATTCCTCCTACAGAGGATTACCGAGAAGACTCAGATGATGCGTGGCGGAGGCCGACTCCTTATGCAGATCGCCGGCGAGCAGGAAAGCATACTAAGCGTATCGTCGTTCGGAATTGATGGGTAAGACTTATCCGTGCCTAGCATATCCGTTCCAGGCTAACGTTTCAGTCTTCAGATCGTGACATGGGTTCTTCGGTTGATCCGATAATAGTTCCTATTATATGACTGGACTCTTTGCCATCTTCCGCCGGCTCAACATGGTCGCACCATACCATAGTCACGACATACTGAGAGGTTATACGAAGTATAACCCCTTCTATTCTCGGCGACGTTTCGCAAACCCACGGTCTATCTGTCCTGTAATTATTTACGAGCCAAATCCGGCCCTTCCCGATGTCAAGTAGGCTTCTTACAGTGAGTATAAGTACGCAGGTATACACCTCGGTTTGCGATGATTGCCGGAAAGCATACACATACGTACACATATACATAATCAAAGCAGGTACCGGACAATCGTCAGAGATCCGGAGAACGCCCCAACCGAAACGTTTCACACTTCTGCCAAATATCCGACACTTCCCTCGGGGATCCGTTAGGAACAAAGCCAAGGCCATGCCCATGACTTCTATTAATCTCATCCGTTCAGATCTAGGTTCGCGATCTGACATTTGGTTGCAATGAGATCATGGCATGCTTGTTTCGGACATGACTCTTTTTATTTAACTTGAGATGGATATCTGTGGCTCATCACGTTCCCCGCTTTGTGAAATGGGGACGAATTACATATGCGGCTTGCACCCGATATCGGTCCGATTTCCGATCCCAAGTTTCAACTGTTCAAATATCCAGGATACAAAGCTATGACTGGCTGTCGTAGACGTGTCCAGGCCTCGCCACCATCAATGCATCACCTGCGCTTTATCAGACACACCAAGGGAAGAAGACAACAATAGAATATCAATTGAGATCCGCACGTGCCTGTCTTCTTCTCACGATATTCTTGAGAAAATTCCGTGAGTGATTGACCCGTTCGAAACGGGATTGTGGGGAACCCGACCCCCCGTCATTGTCCGTGAAAATTCAGACATGGGCCGAAAGAGCGTGCATTTGACATGGATTTGTAGTACTTCCGATGTTTCTTTATTCGAACAGAAGCGCGGCAAAGCTACGTACGATGATGTCTGTCTCCGCCAACACATGTTCGTCGATCGATAAAGAAGAGCTCTAAAAGGGGTGGAGGAATGGAAGTAGTGTCAAATGACACTTTAACCGAACCAGCCTGAGCCCAATGATTCATTTAATACTTATTTATGATCCGCCAAGATGGATGTGTACATACATTACAATGAGATGGCTCGCTGATAAGCGCTGGGAAAGCCACGAGGCACCTGGAATGGGAACAAGAGAGATAAGTGACAGGGAACTAGTAAGCAGGCGAGTGACAAGGCGATATCATTTCACAAACGTCACCTACTAATGGAGGTGAAGTAGTGAATGCGGGAGATAGAAAGGCTGTCATGAGGCAGGATTCCCCTGGACTAGGCTGGCGGTGATGCATGAGGAGTGGCTCGTTGAGGATATACTTGGGGGTGGGAAACAGTTTGAAATAGTACGTTTCATGGACCCACTTGCCAGCTGGCAGGGATGCATGCCAGAGGCCACATGAGTGACATCGTACTTGCGATGAACGGCGGATATGATGGCAAGACCTCGAATGCTGTGCAATGCGGGGAAAGAAATCATGACGTCTACTTGACGTTTACCATTCTAGGGTACTTCTAGAGTTAGGAGGTAACGGAACTACTCGCCTCGATTGCAACTTGACTGAATACGTCTTTGCATGGGCGGCGGCGCCCTGGAAGGGCTAATTAATGAGTTGACGGCCACCTGACTGAACGGGGAGTATGTACGATTGCAGGGGTGGACCAAATGAGATTATCATCATTCGCCCGGGACCTCATTCCATTCGTCCGATCAAATGGAAGAAGATGTATACATTCCCTGACTCGTATCGAGGCGAACTGTAGTACTGCCAGCTGTAATTGATTTGGACGCAATATGACCAAATATTTGCACGTAGATGTCTCGGAGGACCGGTGTGATCGGTAACGTTGGGCGCGTTGCTTGAGCCTAGTGGCTAATAAAAGAGAAATGGAAATGTTGACCGTGACGGCCGTTATCTTCTTATGATGCCTTCGGGTGTGCCGCGGCAGACGGGACACCTGCCTGCCACTCTCAAGCGTTGCTTTCGTAAGTGAACTCAGCGGCCCGGCAAACGCCGCTTATCTCCAACCGCGAACGAACACCACGATCTTTCCGAGTTCTGTGGAATCGAAATTACACCTCGAGTGGAATTCGGTACGATCGATAGGACCGCGATACGCAGAACTGCTGTCACTCCTTGCGAGTACTGGGTCTACAATGGTCAGTGTTCAACCATGCTGGATCAATTCAGATTACCATGATATAGCAGTGAATCTGATCATATGCGTTGGCTGTACTTCTAGTCTAAAGCGTCAAAGGATGCTCTTCTGTCTGAATTCTGCTCTATCACAGGTGCATCGTGAGTTTTGTGTCTATCCGATCGATCGAATTTTTTGGTGGCCGAACCACCTCCCGATGTTGATCTTCTTCTGCGCAGTCCGAAGGATGCTAGACGGTATCTTGACAAGCACCAGAGACGGCTTGACGCGGCAATCGATGCCTATTATCAAGAGGGCGGCAGTAGAACTACTGTTGCTTCAACAAGCAAGTTGAATGCCCTTTTCGAGAAATACAAGGGCGAGTACTGCCTATATATGCCGCTACTGGGCTATCACTGAATACACAGGTCTGTGCGGCAGATCCCACTGGAGACGAAATCTCAATAGACGGAACTATTCAGCTGTGTCAGGATCTCAAAGTAGATCCAGAGAATGTCGTTTTGCTCGCAGTCGCCTACGAACTGAAATCCCCAAGAGTTGGGGAATGGAACAAGAAAGGTTGGGTAGAGGGATGGTCACGACTTGGGTCAGTATACCTGCATTCAACAGCAGGACACCAATTGACAGCCAAAATAATTTTACTGTGCAGTTGTGAGACAGTGGATGACATGAAGGATACTCTGACACGGTTGCGTGCAAAGTTGGGATCTGACTCGACCTATTTCCATAAGGTGTACGATCACACGTTCGGTTTTGCTCGAACAGAAGGGCAACGGAGTCTAGGTACGCACGGATCAGATTGCTGAACGGTAGAGAAAGTCATTATTATTTTAGCGATCGACACGGCACTGGCGTTTTGGAATCTATTAATTCCAACAGGTCTGACAGGCGGTGCGCTAAAACACGACTTGACAGGTGAAGATGTAGATATGGATGGCGGGGAAAGTTCCGGGTGGACAGATGAGCACACGCAATGGTGGTTCCAGTTCTTGACGGAGAAGGGAGGTAAGGGTGTGAGCAAAGATACGTGGATGATGGTGAGAGGTCAAACAAAACTATCCAGGCTTTGACTGATCAAAAACAGCTGTTTGATTTTATCCGCTCGATTGATTCTCAATTTTTGACACATGATGCAGAGGGTGGGAATGGTCATTCTGTCCTTGAGTGTTAACGCTGACATACGTATGCAGCTGCATGGCCGTCGACGATAGACGATTTCGTAGCTTGGGCAAGGTTAGTGGGGAAAGTTCCGACCCCGGAGGCAACATGACCGTTAATTAGGGAGATGAGAGACTGGTGGGTCTTTGTAAACTGTAGAGTATCATTTCCTGTGCAAAGTACGCCATATATACCGATGGGAAAGAAAGGGCTGTACCGTTGCATCGGTCCGTTGACGCGCGTTGCAATGAAAAGCAAAAAGAGATTCATTGCGGGCAACAGGCCGCGGGACTTGAGAATTTGATCGCGATCATGTAAACCTCTCTTTTGACAGCGTTAAGGATGGGAGGAAATTTGTTTGTTTGATCGCCGAAAGCCTTGGAGAGGCAGGTGTTATAACCACGGCTGCCATCAGTTTCGGAGCATCCCTGATGTCAAATTCCGTTACCGAGAGAAATAAATGTTATGCTCGTGACTGACTCTTCGGAGAGGCGTATGACGACCTCTGAGCCACTTTCAGCAATCCAGAGGATATCAAGATAGGTGCCAGAGGCTGTGACGCCAAAAGTCTCCGTCAAACCATCCTGCATCGCTTTCCTGAGTTTTAAAGCATCTGCACATGGTGGATTGACGGAAAGAAGAATATAGAATTGTTTTTTCGAGAACGGATGGCGCGTCATGATGGTGGCGTGGTGTGGTGTGGTGTGGGTGTGCGGCGTGCGCACTCCAACTCCCAGATTAATAGATTGGGATGACGACAAGATAAAGCATGTATGAACGTTCAGAACCTGCAGAGGCTGATCAAGGGCAAGTAAGTCTTCAGCCAAAGATTACGTCATCCAGTATTCTTGGCCTGAACGTTCAACCACGCAGGGGCCAGTCCAAGCCCCTCGGATCTCTTCTGATTCTACTCCATTGGTTTGATCAATCCTTACCATGTCAAGCTCGGACCGAACATGTTGTGGCGTCGTAGAAGAGGCACGCTTGCGAGCACACCACCGAAGAACCCACAAACCACAGCCTTGGATCGTTCTCAAGTTCGCCGTTGGGCTGACATTAGCTCTAATTGCGTATACAAGTTATGTGTATGTCGGTATATTCTGTAAGGATATGATTGTAAAGAATGAGAGTGCATTGGGAAGTCCAACTACCGGCAGTATGTACATCCTTACCTTTCCATCCCATCAGCGCTGAGTATATGTTTTAGTCGTGTTTCTGGTAGTATTCTGCCTCCTTCTGTTGATGGTTTTATGGTCGTATTTTGCGGTTGGTTGGCAGATTTCAATGGTATTGGCTTCGTTAAACCTTTGCGTTTCCTCAGGTCGTGACCACATCACCAGGGTATGCAGCGAACGTATGCAGTGTCCAGTCTTTCGTTATACATCTTCACCAATTATTTCTTCTCAAGTTTGTAGAAAAGACAGAGCTTGAGCGGCCGGAACATCTGCCAGCGCATGGGCAACAGCCCGCTACTATCAGTGACACTCGTGGAATGTCTTTTGAGCTTATGCCCCCTGCGGCCGACCTATCTAATAATGCCACAGCATTGTCAAATTCAGGAAATACTATACCTGTGATGCCTCCCGCTGTTCCAGCAGCAACGAATCAAGACAAGACTCTTCGCCACCACGGTACATCTACCCCTGGTGAAGCACACATCGTGGACGTACCCACTGATCCTGAATCCATGCACGTCCCGGGTCCTGCACCACTCTCATCCCACGAAAACTTCTACGACCCCAGCTTAGATGCGTCCACATCACCGTTCTCGCGCCGGCCATCAACGACACCTGTCCTTGCCCCCGAGTATCGTTTTTGTACTAAAGACAAAATCATCAAGCCTCCTCGCACACATCACTGCCGAGCTTGCGGCACAGTAAGTGGAACGATTTATTCACGACAACGTATTCTCACGTTTTGCGGTGCTAGTGCGTCCTAAAGTATGATCACCACTGTCCATGTCAGCAAGAGTTATTTTTTGTATTCGATAGCTAATCACATCGGAACTCAGGGGTTGGACATTGCGTCGGTGCTTACAATCACAAGGTGATACTTAACAGGACTGTCAACTCCCAGTCATTCACTGACATATTTCATCGGAGTTTTTTGTTAATTTTGTACAGTGGGCAGCGATACTCTCCTTTTGGATGTTCGCAACTGTCTTAGGTCTCAACATCAAGTCACGGACGAGATCCTCGGCTCCGGCAATCAACCCACAACATATTGTTTTATTAGCCCTGTCTGTCCCAGTCAGATAGTGTCGGCATCGTCACTGACATGTTTTTTCATAGAACAGCTCTCTTCGGCCTTTTCTGTTTCCTCATGTTCCTGACACATGTGCAACTAATTATGTTGAACCAAACAACGGTAGAATCCCTTGGATTCAGATCAATGCAGGAGCGTGAGCAGGATAATCTGGCACGTATGCACCATTGGTATGATTGTGGGTGCGTAATTGATCTGTATCCGTTTACCGTTTTACGTGACAACTTTTTGGTCATTTCCTGCTTACTCGTTATGCACTCTGAACTGAATACCCAGAGCTAAGAGACGAACGCGGAGACGTTGGGATAAGGAATGGGGTAGGGTCGGCAAAGAGGGTAACCTCTGGTGGCTGGGAAGCCGTCGGGCAAACTGGGAAAGTGTAATGGGCAAGAACGTGTGGTGGTGGTTCTGTGAGTTTAAATTATGATTCATCCCGCATGTTTCCGTCCCTGATAAGCGGTATGGTTCTTCAGTGCCAGTTGGTCGTGGACTCGAGGATGGAGTGAACTTTCCCACAAACCCACGATTTGACAAGCAAGGGAGATGGAGAAGAAGACGAGAGTGGCCTTCTGACCTACGATGATGTACATCCATTTTTTCTGCAGATTTACGCACACACACTACACGCTATGATATACCACAGCTACAAAATTAGACCTTAGGACCTGCTTAGGTTGCCGGTTTCTCTTGGACATGCGGGTTCCTGGATATCTTCTATGCAGCAATATCTTGTTGTACAATACATGTCAATGCTCTGTTGTTCTCGTCATCTGTCGCTGGTGGTTCGAATTTTGCCTACGGCATCGCGAAGAATTTCAACATGACTTCGATGAACGAGGGTGCGAGAGTGTACGTAGCATTTTGGAGTCTTTGCAATTGCCAGCGACAATTAGTCACGCGGGCAACAACGGCACGGCCGCACGGACCGCACAACAGGCTTCTCTAGTCGTAGCCCCTCTTCTGATGTCTAGCCAGCAGGAATGTTAATACGCCGTGACTTGTGACAACGTAAAGCTAATCAGTGCTTAGGAAAACTTCGAGTCGTGGATATATGTGCGTTGACTATTCCTGCTACAGGGAGTGTCTTATCTACAGATTTCGAATAATCTGTGCCAATTACTCGTTTAGGCTCGATCTTGAGCCAAATGGCAAGTCGGCAACTATCATCGTTCTTGGTTGTCGACTTCAAAGTTCAGTGATCTTGTACGATCGTCTGCCCCGCCTATATTGAGGGTGCTAAATATACTGACACCTGGCAAAAATATGATGTCGGCTTGGCAGGGACTTGCAAATGAGTGTACGGCTCCATCTTATCAAGATAAGACTGTGGACAGTAACATTATTATTTAATTGAGCGTCGCTATGGTACGGGACTGGGATGTATCTGGGGTGTATACAAGGGCGTTCGGACTGAGAATGACAGGACAAAAGTTTAAATACTCACAAATCGAGGGTTAAAATACATCAAGGTCACCAGGTGCACTACCTTAGTGTGTGCCGATTGGAGTCAATCAATACGGTAATCTTCGGGGAGACGCGGAAACTGAAGGAAAGGAGCGGGTGGTAAGGCACTGGTACGAATGTTGCGAGGATGACATCGAGTAACTGTAGAAAGAATAAGCTAATGAGTGTAGTCAGGGGTTAGACGTGAGTGGGAACGAATAAGTCAAAAGTTAATCATATGGATGGTCATAGGCTGTCGAACAGCGCCACCATTACAACGCACGGACAGGCTAAATGCATCTATGACCGAGTTGACGGCTCAGACTCGTTACTTGGAGTTGTGGAATTGGATGACAGAATGAAATCCACACATCTGCAGCTGGGATTCCACATTGTAGATCTGTTCGGAGGCTCGGGCCTCGAAATGGAGGCCTCGAAATGAGGCGCTACCGACGGGGATGGAGTATGTGCAATTATTGATGGGAGTAATGGGTCAAGAATGATTTCAATTCAAAGACGAAGTGTCGGCTACATACAAGCTTGATCGCAGGGACCGACCGGGGTCCCGTCTCGGGCGGACCAAAATGACATGACTCATGCGTCGGGCTCCTTCTTCCTACCCACACACATCTCAAGTACTGTTGTCAGGTTTTCTTCCCGCAAACAAGTACTAAATCACATCTTACAATGTCTCCAACTGCTGTCGATAACGGACATTCTCACCAAGCGACGACTCACAAGGTCATAAAGCAGCACAATGGGAATGGTGTCCACGCCTCCAATGGGAATGGCGTTCATACCTCCAGTGCTACCAATGGCCAAGTGACTTCAGCAACGCTTATCAGTATGGAACACGAATACGGCGCTCACAAGTAAGTCTTGCTCGCTTCCCTAGCGAACGAGCGCCTTCCTCGATCCATGGTCAAAATCACATCGAGTCGGCCTAAGCCGAACTCGATGACGATTTCATTTGTTGAAGCGCCACGAATACATACTGATGGGCCAATGCTTAATTCTTATAGCTACCATCCCTTACCGGTAGTGTTTGATTCCGCGCAAGGGGCAAAGTGAGGGACTTGTGCCATTCGGATCGGGTGTTTTTAGCTCATTGCTGACTACAGGGTATGGGATCCGGAAGGCAAGGAATATATCGACATGTTGTCCGCATACTCGTAGGCGCTCTGTTGCTTTTCATAGGCATTCTGATTTACTCATCTTAATCAGGGCTGTTAATCAGGTTTGTCACCCGCAAAAAGGCGATGCATTGGGGGGATGGGCTGACTGGAACATGGTCGAATTTTTAGGGTCATTGTCACCCAAAGATAGTTGCTACACTAGTAGAGCAGGCACAGAAACTCACTCTGTCATCTCGTGCCTTCTACAATTCTGTCTTTGGGAGGTTTGCGCAGCAGATTACACAAATGTTTTCATACGAAAGTGTCCTCCCGATGAATACCGGGGCCGAGGCCGTCGAGACAGCCGTCAAGCTTGCTAGGAAGTGGGCATACCTAAAGAAGGGTGTGCCGGACGGCAAAGCTATTGTGCTCAGCGTTGAAGGAAATTTCCACGGAAGAACCCTGGGGGTCATTAGGTGTGTTTGGCGCTTAAGCGTCCTTGCAGTCCGTTCAGGAGCCTAATCTATTCATAATTCGCGGCCAGTATGAGCACCGATCCGGAGAGCCGCGGCGGCTTCGGCCCTTACCTCAAGGGTGTCGGACCAACTTACCTGGATAATAACGAAATCCGTGTCATCCGCTATGGAGAGATTTCGGATCTGGAACGCGCTCTCGAACTCCATGGAAAACACGTGGCAGCGTTCTTGGTGGAGCCAATTCAAGGGGAGGCAGGGTGCGTTCTCCAGCGAGTTCACTTTGAAAATATATCTCAATCTCTGCATCGCATCTAGAATTGTCATACCACCCAGTGGCTACTTTGCTCAAGTTCGGGAACTCTGTACCAAGCATAATGTCCTCCTTATCTGCGACGAAATCCAGACGGTTTGTTTCCTTATACGGGTTTCATGAGAATTATGACTCATATACACATTGACGCTTTAGGGACTGTGCAGGACGGGCAAGATGCTGTGTTGTGAGCATGAAGGCATTCGACCGGATATGGTCCTACTTGGAAAGGCACTGTCAGGCGGAAGTGAGTCAGTCTTGGTATCGTTCCTTACGAGTTTTCACACGCTACCCTGATACTCCAGTGTACCCCGTCTCAGCGGTTCTCGCGGACCGCGAGGTCATGTATTGTATTCAGCCTGGAGAACATGGCAGTACATACGGCGGGTGCGTCATCCTGATGGTTTACTCGGATGCATATATACGTCGTCATTTAGGAACCCCCTGGGGTGTGCTGTCGCTATGACATCCTTGCGCGTCCTTGTAGACGAGAAGCTCGCCGATCGTGCCCAGAATCTCGGTGAAATATTCCGCGCGGGAATTCTGGCGTTCAATTCTCCTCTTGTCAGGGAAGTTCGGGGCAGAGGCCTTCTTAATGCTGTGGTTATCGACGAAGAGAAGAGCCTCAAAGGCCGCACCGCATGGCAATTCTGCTTGCTACTGAAGAGCCGAGGTGTTCTGGCGAAGCCAACTCATTGCAACATGTACGTGACTTGATGTCTTCTCCTTCTATTTGCTGCAACTTTTTCCGGTGCAGCGTTCGTTTTGCCCCTCCGTTGGTGATACTCGAGGAGGACCTTCGAAAGGCCATCAACATCATCGGGCAATGTCTTGTTGAGCTTGACCAAGTAAGTGCCTCTAACTGGGAGTCAATAACATAACGATGAGACTTGCTTGATTCCAGCTCGATGACATCCCAGGAGAAGTCGAGAGTGAGAGGGGTTTCAAAGAGATGCTTGACAACTGATCAATGGCGCTTTTGGTTAGAAAGATGAGAGGCAACACTAGCACTGTGGTACATGGTACCGTGATAGGTTTCCTGCAATTGCTTTTTTGTTTCTTCTTCGGTCCCTCTAAACCAGTCAGCGCGTGAACCTGTCAGGTCATTAAGTCTATGAAGAACCTTCCAATGGATGTTGCGGTATTTCAGCTCAAGGATCTCGTTCCGCGGGAATAGTGAAGTGCGATTTGGGTGGAGAACACGGGTCGCGTGCCATGTTGGTGCTATTCAAGGTGTCCCTGAGGGGGACATCGACGTGCAATCGGCGGGGATCCGTAATCAAACAAGTCACGTTATGCACGGTGACCTCGTACCCGAAGTACAACATTGGCTAAACGTCATGCACCCATACGATGGCATTCACGGTAGCAGTACAAGTACAGTTTCATATGACGAGAAACATTGGTTCTTGATAATCAAGGAAGAATATACGCAGGGCCGCGTAAGTACGGACCGTCCAGAAATCAATCGTGAAGGTGGTAGACAGTATATCATAGATAAAATGCAAAAATGTGAGACACCTCGTAGGGTCAACTTCTATTCAAACCTAGAAGTCAACCGAAAAAAATGCCCCGGTCCGATATTATGGACACCTTCATTCTTCCCTGACATTAGCAACTCAACGCTCGATGGGAAAAGTTCGAGCATCAAGTGAATAAAAAGGGATATACACTTCAGATGACGTGCACGACCTGCAAAAAATTTCATCGAGCTATGATGTGATGCATGTAGTACACGAAGCCTGAGGCCTGAAAGTTTGTCAATTGGGCCAGTTTGCTGGAGGTTGCAGGTTTATTGGAACATGAAGGGTTCAAAACTCGACCAGGGTCACCAGCAGAGGACTTGTCGCGAGAGTAGATGCCAACATTGAAGAAAAAAAGAGAAAGCCGCTTATATATATAATATTGGGTTGTTCAAGGAACTCGCTAAAGAAAAAATTACATAAAATCGAAAAAAAAGCAGTATGTAAATGATCGCGGACTTTAACTCACTTCCTTCTGTTGGTCTGTACGGGAGACTATCTCAGCTTCATTCTAGGTTCTTGTCGTTTGGTTGAATTCTTGAGATGGCCCTCTCGAGTCCCCAAGGACTCCGCCAACGAAAGGCTGCCAACGATGAGTCGGGAGATTCAGGAGCCCGATTTAAAGGTGAAAGTGGCCAATCAGAGAAGACGCGTCGACAGGCACATGAGGAGGTGGTTTGGGGCCAGACACCAGACGGTGAAGGTAGGCGCTAGTGAACAAGCTTTCAGAATTGGATTTGATAAAAATATGCTACTAGTTTTTAGGGTTCCAACCACGCACGATGTACTAACCGGGCTTTTCCATCCGCGTTACCCAAAGAGTCATCTGGACATCCTCAATCTTTCATTGCTTGGATTACAGCTTGTTCTGTTCTATATATTACCACGTCCGACGGCCAAAGTTTTCTTTCTCTTTTATTTTGCATTCTGGAGGGCAGCCTATGATGCTGGGTTGGGATGGGTCCTCACTAAACAGAGCAAGAGAAAGTGGATGGTTCGCGAAATACAACGTCTCGGATGGCTCGATGAGAAGCGTAACCCAGCTGCTAGAGACTGGATTCGTGCTCAGTTACAAGGGAAAATGGGAAAGGACTATTCATTCGATGTGAGCAGCCTACTGATGCCAGCCAATGCATCGCTCACGAGTGTATTTTAATCGATCAGGAACTTCCATTGGAATATAACACATGGCTGTTGTTTAGACAGCTTGTGGATGTGATTCTTCTGAAGTCAGCTCTATCAAGTATGTCAGCGTTCGGTAACTAATATGACTGCATATCAGCGACTTCTTGGCGTACTGCATGTTTGCCTTTACTTGTTTCAGAGTGCCCGAAGGACTTTCTTTTCCCGTCCATGCTATGAGGCAAGTATTTCTCCTCAAAGCACCTGATATCTTCCTTATCGTTTCGTAGATGGATCGGTGGTGTTGCGTTGGTCGTATTCAACCTTTGGGTGAAAACCGAGGCACACAATGTTGTCAAGGATTATGGTTGGTACTGGGGTGATGTATTTTTCCAGCGCGGTGCGCTTGTATTTGATGGCGTCTTCGAGTTGGCTCCTCATCCAATGTACTCTGTCGGTAAGTCGTGCTGCCTCCTCTTGTTAACGAGCATAAATCAATGAGTCAGGTTATGCTGGATACTACGGTCTTTCCCTGATAATCGGAAGCTATCCTGTCCTTTATGTCAGCCTGGCAGCTCATGCAGCTCAATTCGCATTCCTAGTTTTGTTCGAAAACCCTCGTAAGTAATCTCCGACCTACAACCTACAGCTTCCTGATGTACGGTAGATATCGAACGGATGTATGGGGAACGCAAGCCTATCGCGCTGCGTAAGCCTATATCTGTGTCTGAAACCAAGAAGATTCAGAAAGTGAACCGTTCTTCCCAATTCCTATCCTCAGTTGAGGACAATGCAGATCAATTGTCCACACCCGCCGCCACTGAAGGCGAGAGTGCCACGGATACCGAAACTGAGACGGAATGCGAAGGCAAGGCTTCGGGGACCCTCAGCTCCTACCGCTCCACGCAGCCCATACTGTTGGAGAGTACTATCTCTCAACATGATCTGCATCACAAGTATTTCAGACGAGACGTGGTCATTCTTCACAACATCGATTTACTCCGGCAAGTACACCTCCTGGTGGGTGAATATTTATCCTAACACCCTTTCAGTTCCTCAGATGCCATGCTTGCACTTCTGTTGATCTATGTCGTATTGGGGTCGTCTCTGCCTGTACTATCGTATCATGCGACACTCGCGTTACACTTCGCACATGCTTGTGCTTGGTGTATGTTCCACAGCTTTGGTCTTGGGCTTCTCCTTCGTGCCCAGAGCAAATCGAAATACCTCGTCCGGCACTTCTTAAAGCACTACCACTATCCGTCTCGTGATCATGGTGATGGCGCAGTGCAGGAAGCATTTACCAACTGGAAGGCTTTGTACAATATTAGCTTGTGCATGACATATAGTGTGTGCCCGAGGTTTATGCATGGCAAGCTGCTGATCAGAAAATTGCGTGCCAGCTTCACTGACGAGTTTGGCGTGGCAGTCATACACAGCGCCCGTTGCCTGGTTTGAGGGTGATGCCCTTCTCTGTCATACGCTAGGAGCAGTCCGTATTTTTGCTCATTCTCTTTCATGCGCTCAGATTCGCTTTTAGCTCTTGATCGCACTCCATGTGTGGGCAGCTATGGAGTCATTTGAAGTATTGGGCGTTTTCGGTATGTTTAATGTCACTATTCTTGTTTATTTTATTTACTCAAGGCAATTCTGAATGCAAGGTTGGTTTTACGGTGACTTTTTCATGGAGGATTTTCCAGCACATCTGGAGTATACTGGTATCTTCAGGTGCGACTGGACGAAACGCCTTATATCTAACGTCTACTCATTGCATTCTTCCTAGGTACCTTAACAACCCCGAACTTATGAGTGGTGCCTCCTTTCTGGGCCTTGCTTTAATTAGCGGTAGCAAGCTCGTTGGCATGCTTGCAGTGATCAAGTTTATGTCCCACTGGTGGTTCCTCCAGACTGTCGAAAAGTAAGCGTCGATCGAAATACCAATACTCCACAGAAAAGCTGACTACCAGTCGCATCGCGACAGCCCCCACATGCGGAAATTATACGGCGACAGTCTTCGCAAGGACGCCGGCTTCGTCAAAGTTATCAAAAGTGTTGCTAGCAAGAATGCTCGCCTTTTAGAATCACGTGCGGGTCGGCATGCACCCGAGATCAGGAGAGTTGCGAAAGAAGTTAAAGGCACTTTCGACAAGGTTTTTGAAGAAACTGCTGATGTGGTAGAAGAGTTCCTTGCGAGATGTAAGTGTGAAGTGATTGGGCGTGGTGTTACACGGCACTTATGACTCTGTTGCAGCGAAACCCAGGATATCGGAGGTGATGCAGGAGACCAAGGTTCTTCTCCAGCAATCACGGGAAAGACTGGTTATCACGTCAGTATGAAGTTTTCAATATTAACTGTCTTATAACATTCTATGGTTTCAGTCGCGTCGCCCGTGACTTATCATCGTATGACACGACGAAATACAAGATCTCGATTGTCCCTAGTCAATCCGGCGACAAGCGCTTCCATATAGGCGAGCCTATCAAAGTCAACTGGCAAGCTCCTGCCCGGCACTCTCGTCGTGACTGGATCGGAATATACAAAGTAAGTGATTTTTGTCCTCTATTACAAGATCACTCATCATGAATTCCGGTAGGTCGGTGCCAACAAGTCTACGTTGGTGACAAAGATATCATCTGTCGGACTGTGGGTTCCGGTTCATGGCGAAGAATGGGATCAGGATACGCCTATCGATGAAACCAGTCGCATTACCACTTTGGGAAAAGAGCCAGAGCTTGGTGTCGTTTCGTTTGAAGGTTCCACGCTTCCATGGACTATTGGTCAATACGAGGTGAGTCGCGGCCTACATTGTCATTATGCGATATCAACTTATATTGAACAAAGGTCCGTTACCATCACGATGGCAAGTACAATGTGCTAAGTCTTGATGGACCGTGTGAGGTGTACGGTATGTGTCCAGTATTCGGCTTAACACACTCTTGTATCTAAAAACATTGTTTTGCAGTGAGCAAACCTGCGTCGCTCGATCTCACCTCCGTTCGGGAATGCTTGGCTCACATTGTGCCTCTCTGCCTGGACTCTGATCCCGACCTGATCCCCCTATCTTGTGGAGGTACTCAAGAACCCGCCGACACAGACCCTGCCGTTGCTCGTGACATGGATGATTTCAGCTTCTGGTCTGAACAGCAGGCCAAACGTATATGCTATGTCATTAAGCAGGCATTCGGGGTCGAATACGCTCCAGATGTGGTTATGGCTGATGCTAATCTGACTGCGCTTGCCAATCGGATATTGGTCTCAAAGCAATTGCTGGTTGTGTAGCCCTTGATTCATCATTTTCACTTTCTCTCTCTTACCGAGTACATTTTGATTACATATCCACGCACCGGGATGTTTTTCGTTACATAACGACCTGTTTATGATTATCGTAATGGCAAATTTGGGGTTGATTTGGGGAACTCGCAGGTATACTGTGTCTCCGATGGTCAGCATGCATTTGATCTACTCATGCACCTATGATATCTCCATCCACACATAATTATTGGCATAGCATCCCCTCGTCGAGTCGTCTAGTAGTGCCTAAGTTACATCAGTAGTCAATGAAAATCATTTTATCGTTTATCGCCAGGCTTTCTAAATTCTGTAACGTGGGAGTTGCAAGGGACGTGTCACTGATAGCTTCACCTTGCCTTCACCAACACGCCTCTGATCAGCCAGTCCACCAATACTGTCAGAAACATCATTATCTTTACTGTCATGGCAAAGAAGACGGATTATTATCTCTCTCAGTGTGCTACTGCTGCCAGCAAGGTAAGTTCATCAACCCCAACTAATTCACCAGTTTTATCGAAGATACATTGATCGATACTTTCAACAGTCATCCATGACATACCATCTTGGCGCTGTACTCGTGAAAGGAGGCAAAGTCATATCAACGGGTTACAATCACCATCGCACGCACTATGACGGAAACGACATTCTGAAGCACGGTCATCGCAAGCTCACTTCCATGCACGCGGAAATGCATGCTATCTTCAGCTTGACTGGCATGTCTCCTTCATTTAAGCAGCAAGTTCAACTCTCGCTGCAACGTACCGCTGCAGCCAAAAGAAGGCCGCGGTTTGAAACACGACCCACACAAGCTGGACGTAACGCATCCACACAGCAGCGCGTTTTATGAGACTAGAGCACAGTCTTCCCTTCGGAGCCTTGACTCTTGTTGCGCGATTGATGCTGAATTGTCTCCGCCTTGCGATATGCTGTTTGTAGAGCCACCGAGAGGGTGGGATGCACGCCGCAGGGACTCAAAGGTAAACGGTGCAGATATCTACGTTGCGCGCGTTATCAAAAATGGCTTGGGTGCCGCAAAACCTTGTTGGCGATGCATACACTGGTGTTGGTGGTTTGGTGTGAAGAGGATATTTCATTGGAATCCTGTCGTTGGAGACTTCGAAGTGTTGAAGGTGAATGAAGGATATAGAGATCACTACGAGACGCAAACCGATGTACGACTTTTCGCGCGCTTGGTGAGTCCTGTTTTATTGTTTGGTCCTTTCTGTTAACTCGTTCGATAGAAACTACTGAATGAATAGTGGAATTGCTCCCTTACATGAGTGATGATGAGCATTTGTCAACCAACATACTACAGGCCCATGCCTCGCACAGCCCCTACAACTGCTCGCCGTATCGCTTCTTTGCTACGGACGCTGCGAGTTACTAATATGGGGAAGAACAAGTTATGCACGAAATTCAGCCCGGTTGTCGATCATCGGATCATGACCCCTGCGGTTTACTGCATGCTTTACATCTTTTATCTGTCGACCTTTGACTAACTTGTAAATGCTGGGAATGTTACATGTCACCTTGCTTGGTTTCTATTACCCTCTCGACTTGCCGACAACTACCTGACATCGCTAGCTATTAGTGAGTATCAAGGGATATGAAACTTCAAGCTTCAGGCCTCATAAAGTGCCTAGACGCATGGCGGAAGAGACATAAGTACGAGAAGGTCATCTTCAAATGTTAACGACGACAGATTCTCGTTCATGTGCACTGCTCTCATCTATAAGGTACCCCTTTCATAAAATGCCAGATCTTGCTCGTCGAAATCAAGGGTCTTCCCAGTTCTCGGATGGCTGAAATACACGATCCTGGTTTTAATACGAGCTCACGGACCCATTCCCAAGACGATGTCCCATCCCCTAGTGCACCGTCAACGAATAAGCCGCAGCTGACCGGGCACAGTGCACTTGCACCAGGCGACAACTATAGTACTATCTCTCCATGGGAGAAAAAGCTCTTTGATGGCTCATTGTAGGTAGAAAACCGCGAGTACGAGCATCTAGAGATGAAATCGAGGGTACAGGGGCTAGCGCGCGCCTTGAACACCTTTAGGGTTTCATTATCCCTCCATGGCTTGGGCCGAGTTGTTGTTTCATGCCACGGTGATGGTCGCGTCATGTCTCCCGGGGTGTTTTTCATGGAATGTATCCCAGGCGAGAACCTCGCAACCATCCAAGATCCCCAATCAGTCCCTATCTCAGCGAAACAGGAGCTCGTAAAGGCCGTGAGCACGGTATCATGCATGACGATATGCGCCAGACAACACTCTCGTACTATTTAATGTCACCCTAAACGAGTGGTCCTCATCGACTTTGGGGCGTGCCAGTTTCGCCGCACTGATCAGTCTGACGGCAATTGGCAATTGAGAAATGACTGTCATAGGCGAGGACGATGGGCGAGAGTTGGCTCCTATACGCAAAAGCCTGGCACCTGGCGCGGGGGACTGTCGGTGCACCAAAAAACGATACTCGGGAGAGAGTAGGTTGGCTTCCTATGTTGTTGATTCTCGAGATAATCTGACGGCTTCGCATGCAGCGTCCAGCTATGGCTACGCGCAGGCTGCAGCCAAAGAATTACATGCTGATGATCCAGACGATGTATACTTCACCGACATGTACACGCGAACCCGACTTCTATTTGTATTTCACAGTCACCCCCCGAACGTGAGAAGTGGGACAAACCATCCCGATTCTGCACTGCGTTCGAAGGATATAGGGTGCTCTCTTGGCTAGATCGACACCTACTGCATCGACAAGAGCAATAGCGCTGAACTTAATGGTCCCGGTGGTATCGCAACGGCCATGTATGCATTGCATATTTATATTTAGCGCAATCCGCGTTCCTAGAGGACTGTGGTAACGATGACTGGCGGGTACGGAGGTGGGTGCTGCAGGAGCTGCTAGCCCCTCGGTGAATAGAGTTCCTCGGGAAAGACTGGCGGCCTTTGACATCGCCGATGACTACATATCACATTCATTCGTGCCCGGGACAAACCGAAGTGCGAAACCACTGGAATCGAAGACATATGAGAGAGAACCGACATCAAGATTCTCTCATTTCAAAGATTCCTTGGGGTTGGCGTGGAGACAGTACACCCGCGTTCACGAACCATGGTCTGCGGATCAAGACCATGCTGGCCAAGATGCATCCGCGGAACGTGTCGTCAGCGATCATCGAGGATGATGACATGTCCTAGCGGATTTCATTCCGAATCTCAAGGAACATCCCGTACCATTAAAGTCTAAAGAGGTTGTTGCCATATGCAAGAATTCACCGCGATCGCAAGATCGATTTAAAAAGTGGGCAATAGGAATCTTTGACCCATGAATCGAGCGAAATGGGCAGACACTGATCCCCGGCCGGGAATGTCGCTGCGTCTTGCTTGGCTGACCACAAGTAGGGCATCAACCAGACTCGTCTCGTGGGCAAAACTGGTCTCCATTGGGCAGACCTGGAACGAAGGAAGACAGTCGCTCCTCCTAAACTGTATATTCCCCAAAAGGTACATCTCGAGCGTCGAGGCAGGATGAAAGAAGCCCTGGCGGGGGGAGGAGAATCGCACAGAATCTGCATATCGAATCAGAATATCGAAAAAATAATCTTTAGTGAAAGCGCCGACTAATCGGATGTGACATTGTTGTGGTTGGACGGTAAATGCTTGATGCCAGATCTGTCTGCACCGGCGGAATCAAGTCAGAGTTTTGTTCTCCAAACGAACCAAGTAGACGCAAGATAGACTTGTCTGTCCATCGATAAGGGCGTTGGTCACTGTCGGTGATAGCCTAAAGAGGATTTGGTCTAATTTGGTTGGGAACGCGCCAAGAGCTAGACCGGCAAATGCCGATGCTGCTTGTATGAAGACCGTCAGGCATCTGAATTTCTGAACATCAACTATCAGATCGTTGGCCCAATTACGCGCTTTTCATGTAAATAACTCCAGATAGTTATGCACCGCAATTTTTACTAAAAAGTCCTCAACTTTACAGCATGGTCGCAAGCGAGAATGAGGAGACAGCGCAGGATGTCCTTACTTCCTCCCTCCCGTACTTGCGGTCTCCTCTATCTTCGATGCATTCCAAACTGCCACCTCTATCAGTGAATGACAAACCAAGCACACAAGTAAAGGACAAACAAACTATCGGGACACCTCTTTCGTCGGTAGTGGAGCTACGCGGGAATACGCTCCAGCTGAACGCTCATGGGCCTCTCCCATCCGTCACAGGACTGTCACCTGCTTCGGAATCTGTCCAAATTACTACAATTGAACACTCTCCTGCTGCCGTGCCGTCTGGAACGGACGTTACGATCCGACTCCAGACCGAGCTACTAGCTACCGCCGACGAACTGTACCGCAAGGATATAGATGGTCACGGTGAAGGACGCGCGGGGAAGGCTCCTGAGCGGATTTCAGTAATGCCGCTACCGCCATTTTCAAAGCGCTTCCCTAAGGCAAATACACAAGAGTTGACAGATGAGGATTATTGGTCTTCGTTTCCGCCACACATAAAAAATTTTGTACGCAGTACTACTCTTAGTCTCATGCGAGGCTTGTTGACTCGCACAAAGGCGCAAAAAATGTACAATATTGCGCAACAGATGGTACAGTCCGATGCCGTGCTGAAGACTGGATTCAGCGCGACTGAAGCTACCACGATAACCGCGAGGGCCAGCATGGACGTTCCAGGGTACCCTCCAGGAACGTATCCATCGTTACCTTTTGATCCCTCAATTTTCTCCGATCCCGAGTTCACGTTATCGGTAGACCGAGCAACAGCTGCTCTGGGGACTACTCTGCCATCACCTGGCCAATCGCACCCTCCTGAGTTCGGCCAAGAGGAGTTTATCGAGGATGACTACAGCGAAGATGTTGATGCTGTAGACGGCGACATTGAGGATCAAGACCTGGATGAGAACGATTCTGATCTGCAGCCACAACCAACATCAGTTCCGCATGCGCCACATTTCCATGGATCGCTGCCTGCGACCTTTGCGCAGGTAGTTCTGAGCTACGAGGAAACGGTTTTGCGAAGTGGGCCGCTTTCGACTGACTTCAGAACTAAGTTATCAATGCCTGCTATGCCAATGCTAGCAGCGCCTGTTGAGGAATTGGTATTTCATAAGAAAAACAAGAAAGTCTCATCTATGAAAGTGCCGGCGGTTAGCGCCGAAAGTCCGGTAGTGCCGGGACGGCGAGTGGGAACGGGAGGCACGGCACCGGGATCGGCGCTGGAAAAGGGTAGTGGAGGGACCGGTGGAGAATTGAGGAAGCGCTCACTGCCTCTCACCGCCAACGCCATGCCTGCAGCACGAGCAGCGACAAAAGAAAATATATCTTCCAATCCTCCACCGAGCTCCCGTGCACAGGGAAAACAGCCTATGTCGTATGCACCGCCGACAACGACAGCCACAGCGACGACGACGACTACCCCAACAACGGCCACGGCCACCGTCAATGGTCAGCAACCAGCAAGAACGGCTCGTGCGGCATCAAAGGCGCCGATTCCTGCTCACGCCTACCAGCACAATCATTCTCATCATCATCCATCGCCTCCATCATCTAATGCATCCGTGCCACAGAAACATCGTCCTCCGGCAACCGCTGCTCCAGGTAAATCCTCTCAAAACAACTCCAAGATCTGGAGTACTAGCTCGACAGAGGAGCGTGAGCGTATCAAAGAATTCTGGCTTGGTCTGGGTGAGGACGAGCGTCGCAATTTGGTCAAGATCGAGAAGGATACCGTCCTCCGGAAGATGAAAGAGCAGCAGAAGCACAGTTGCAGTTGTGCAGTTTGCGGCAGGAAGCGGTCCGTACTCATTCCTTGATCTCATGCATGAAAAAAATTTACTGACCTGCGCACTTGTCTTTGTGCCTTGTTCTTTCATCGGTGTTGGATATCTGGCGTCCGTGCGCATGTATCATCGGTGCCTATAGACATGCGATCGAGGAAGAGCTTGAGGTACTGTACGATGCTTATTACGAGGAGCTAGAACAGTACGCGAACTACCAGCAGCGCTATGTCTCCTCTGGTGGCACCATACCTCCCCCTCCTGGGCCAGGTCCGTTTCCCGGTAGCGTCGAACTCGATAAGAACGGCGCTGTCATCGATCATCCCCCGAACAAAGTTTCCCATAATCCCCCGCCATCTAATAGAACACCAGCCCTGACGAACGGCCGAAAACCTCCGAAACATGAAAGTGAGTTTGATGATGATGATGGGGATGAGGACGAATATGAGGAGGAGGAAGAGGAGGAGTATGAAGAAGACGAGGAAGAGGATGAGGAGGATGAAGATCCGGAAGAGGAGGAAGAAGAAGTAAAACCACGAGATCGACGTAATCCCGGTGTTCGCGGACGAAGGCTTGTGAATAACGCGAAGGTTAATGGTCGCGACGGTCTGTTTAACCTTGGGAGTAGCTTGACTGTAACTGGTGAGTTCGCTTTCCACTCTGCATCGTTTCTCCTAATCTCTCCTGTGTAGGTCCAGGTAACATTCTGACAGTTGCAGACGATCTCCTAAAGAATGATGGGCAAAAATTCTTAGAGATGATGGAGCAGCTCGCTGAGCGTCGGATGCAGCGAGAAGAGGAAGCGGCTGCCGATGTTGAAGATGACAGTGATGAAGAGGACGATGAGGAGGGTGACGACGACGATGATGATGACGATGAAGAAGAAGAGGACGATGATGATGACGATGAGGAAGTGAGTATCCTTTGCATTGAATCTTTCTTTTTTAACCTTGCTTAGGTGATGACCGAGGAGCAGAAGATGGAGGAGGGCAAACGGATGTTCTCCATTTTCGCTGCTCGGATGTTTGAACAGCGTGTCCTTCAAGCGTTTCGAGAAAAAGTTGCACAGGAACGTCAAATGCAGCTTTTGCGCGAACTTGAGGATGAGGACAAGCTCACAAGGGAGCGAGAGGCGAAGAAGCAAACTCAGAACCAGAAGAAGAAAGCTAAGAAAATGTGCGTCTCTGCATTGATTTACTGCCTCGTGCTCAAAACGAAGCGATTATTCATACAGACTTCAAAAACAAGCCCGTGACGAAGAGCGAGCTGCCAAAGCAGCTGAGAAAGCTGCAGAGGAGGCTGCTGTAAAGGCTAAACAGGCAGCTCAAGAGGATGCGCAGCGGAAGAAACGCGAAGAAGAACGTGCTCGTCGTGAAGCTACCCGGAAAGCTGCAGATGAGGAGAAACAGCGTAAAGAGGAGGAGCGTCGTAAGCGCGTTGCAGAGGAAAAGGAACGAGAGGCCGAGCGGGAACGTAAACGCAAGGAAAAGGAAGAGAGGGTCAAGCAGGAGCGCCGTGAGCGAGAAGAAAAGGAGCGCAAAGCCAAGGAGGAGAGGGATGCCAAGGCAACTGCTGAAAAAGCTGCCCGAGACGCCGCTCGAAAGGAGCAACAAGAGAAGGAAGAACGCGAGAGAAAGCTTGCCAAAGAAAGGGAGGAGAAGGAGAAGGCGGAAAAGGAAAAGGAACGGATTGCCCAGCAGCAACGAGCTGGCAAGCACACCCGTCCATCAACCTCTCCCCGTCCTCCGGGCTCTACGCAACGCACTCAGAGTAACAACGGCCCATCTAAGAAAATTCTCAGCAAGCCCATCCCCATCACCCCCACCTCGTCTGGAAGTACACCACGGCAGTCGCTGCAGCAGACCCCACAGCAGCCGCAGCGTCCCGTGTTGTCTAATTCTCAACCTGCAACTCCTGTAGCACCCTCCGTGCAAAATCATTTTCCTCCGCCAACCACACCTCATTATGCTGTCGCTCCTAGCATGATACCTCCGCTTCCCGGCGCGTTGTCCCCTCGTCTACCCTTTGCGCAACCTCCACCTCCATTTGGACTGTTCGGTCCAGGACCGTCAATGCCCCCTCCAGGACCTCCTCACCTCGGTCCATCTGCTCTTCCTCGCAATTTCGGCTCGCCTACTTCTTTCGAATCAGGCTTTAGTCGTCCTCTAGCTCCCACAATACCCATTGGACTGCCTTCGAAGGTTTCGCAGAACCTTCTTGGTTCACCAACCACACTGGCACCAGGGCCTTTGAAGCGAACGTCTATACCGGACCCGGGGCCTGTTGCACGGCCGGTTTCTATTGTTCCAATAGCACCGCCCTGCACCTATCGCGCCTCCCGCACCCATTGCAAGGCCAATGACAGGGGAGACATCTGGGTCAGGCTCAGGTTCTCCTAGTCGTCGTTCTCCAAGTCCGAAGGGCATCCTTGGATCTTCTGCTCTAGCAGCTGATGATGACGAGGTTGTTCCTCCGCCAGGACGGCGCATTGCGCCGGGTGCAGTGGGCCAATCGTGGGGTGCTAGTACCAGTCCACGGGCTGTCGTTGGAGATAACCGGCCTCCTTGGGGCGCACCCGCGCCCCCAGGGTTTGGCTCGCCTCGTCCTCCAATCGGACCTTCATTGTGGGGAAGTGTGAACCCCACGTCTGATTGGCAGGCACCTGGGACATTCTTTCCAAATTCTTTCGTGAATCATATTAACTCATCCCCGCCCCCTCACACAGGTTAACTTGGATATGACGGGCAGCTAGTCTTTCATTTTGATTCCTCTTGATACGCTCCCTAGTGCTCTTCTCTTTTGCTCTATTTGCATCGATGTTTGCGATCAAACAAGGAGAAATACATTATAAAAAGATGTCAGATTTGGAGTGATCGTCAAGTTACATGATGCATAAGTATTATAGCAACTTGCTCGACGCTGCCGGAGCGACTCTACTACGAATGAGCTTGATGACGTACAGGGGAAGCGCGCTGACTGCTACGATAACAGCTACTTTCCATGCAAAACGAGTGGACACGACGAAATCGAGGTCTACAGGGGACGATGAGTAATCCTTGAGATGGATGATAGGAACACGCACCGAAATACTCCGGTAAGAAAGCGATACTGATAACATAAAAGAAAAGGGTGACTACTTCCGAAATGACCATATAAATATGCCTGTCGCCAAAAATTAGCACGCGTCCATCCGGAGAATTACTGTAGTTCTTACCAGGTCGTGATTTCTAGTGCAACCATGATGAGTTCGTTGATGACCAAGGCCGTAAAAGAGATGGACACGATGTTTAAGAATTCGGTCTCGAATAAGAGGAGGGACATGATCATGATGGCTGCGCCTATAAATATGACGATCAGCTTAGGGAATCCAAGAATAAAATAAGTGGACTGACCTTGGTATAGACTAATCATCAACCATTGGAAGAACGTCTTGAATGATAGAGCACGTCCCTACGCCCAGCTGTCAATAAGCTATAAACCTATTCACACAATCACCAACCTTGGTCAGTTCCTTGTATAACTCCGGATATATCAACGCAAGATCCTCGTTCACATCACAATCCAGAACCAGCGAAAAGACAGGCGCCATGGTGTAAATCGTCGCATACCCTACCATCAACCACCCCTGGTACAGTGCAATCGGGGCAAAGTAGAAGATAGCTGAGAAAACGGCTTGCATGATCGAGATTATGAGGCCGCGGTGGATGACGAATTGAGCGAGTTTTGCAGAACGACGGTATGAGTTGCGGCCGTGCCACATGAGGAGCTTCGTGAGGTGGCTGAACTGAGTGACGGAGAAGTCGGCAGCGAGGGATGCTTGCTTTCCTTCTTTTCCAACGATACCGACGCCTGCACGCGTCAAGGTTTGAAAGTTCCGCTTGGAATCAGTGTTGGAGAACTCACCAACGTCAGCAGCTTGTATCATGCTGACATCATTACCACCGTCTCCGATACAGCAAACACGTTTCTTGGTGTGATGCCGGATTAATCTTGCGACATCTGCTTTCTGGGTGGGAGAGCATCGACAAGCAACAACGGCCGATAGCTTTGTTGTAATCTCAATGAACTCGTTCTTGTACAGGTTTAAACAGAGCTGAGTGGATATGATGAGTGCAGCACAAATACGTGTCTAAGAAAGCAGTACCTGCAACGACTCGCCATCAATTACTAGACAGCAATCCAGCTTCGACTGTAAGAACTCCAGCTCGTCCCTGACTTGATCAGAAGTCTTTACTACACACTTAAAGCATGAGTGGCACAACAGAAACACGCGGGTCAGAAAGCTCACACTTGGCTACCTCATGGATATACTGATTCCGCGCCACCAGTTTCGTCGAAATGGCAATACAACGCGCCGTCTCGATCTTATCGCCCGTAAGCATCCAAATCTTGATTCCCCCATTCCTGAGCAGTTCTAGCGTCCCTTTCACCTCGTCCTGCAGCTTATCCTCGACACCTGTCAGGCCAAGCAACTCCAAGTCATGCTCTAGGTGCTCTGCAACGACAGAAATCATCGCCTCGCCGCGTCCATCAAGCCGGATACTGGCAGCATGGTGCGCAGTCTTAAATGCCGCATACTGCTGCGAAGTCAGCCGCTTACGTGCAACGACGAGCGTACGCAAACCCTCGCGCGCCATATTCCCCGTCTCCTCTTCTAGCCAGTCATTCCGCTGCACGATACGAGCCATAACGACATCCGCGCCCTTTTGCAAGAAAAGCACCTCGCCGCTGTGCGCGTCTCGCACGACGATGCCCATACGCTTGGACTCGCTCGTGAATGGGAATATGTCGAGGATGTCATAAGTGAGACGTGCGCCAGTGGGCGTTTGGAGTTCCATGCGTGTGCGGTCGCGAAAGACGAGTGTGAGGCCGACGCTTTCTGTCCACTTGACGATTGCAACTTCGTCTGGGGAGGAGGCTTGGTAGGTCAAGGTGCCATCGTCATTGGTGACTGGAGTGACCTAGGTTTCGAGGGGTCAGCTGGAAAGAAGGAGGAAGGGAGATGGCGTACATTGTGGCAAAGTGCAAGACTAAGCACTACGTCTCGGAGCCTTGACGACATATCCCTCCGTCCTCTCATGGCAAGTTGTGCGCCCGTAGCTATTGAATTACTTCTTGCATGAGCTACATTTCGTGACTGTCAGTCTATCCGTGATGAATGGAATGGATGTGTGAAATACGAGCCTTGATCAGCACCAAATGCACTCGCAAGCTGGTGAGCAACTTCGTCCATGCTATCAAACCCGTAGGACATAGTTCCCATGTGCAGCTTCTTCATTTCCATCTCTAGAATATCCGTCAGTCATCCATGTGCACATAGCAAGAGATATAAAACAGAATGAGTAGAAGGAGGCAATAAGCAGAAAAAAAGAAGAAACAATTTTACGCACCATTCTGCGTAAGGGTCCCTGTTTTGTCGCTAAGAAGGTACTCTATGCGTCCCAACTCTTCAGGCAGAGTGCTCGTGCGGACGATCGTGCCAGGAATCTCGGAGTCGTTCATTATTTGCTGTGCGTAGACCGTCTTGCCCATGTCAAGGTTTACACGCAAGCTAAGTTTGTAGTGAGCATGATACATGAAAGAAGCGACAAAGGAAAGAAAAAACACTGGGTATATCCGTTCGTTTTCTGTGGAGGAAAGACATACCTTATGGGGATGATAGACGAAAACAATATGAGGAAACGGAATACATAGATATACCACTGGCCCCTGAACCCGTTCGACGCAACGAGTCCAAACGATAGCGCGAACGTCACCGCACAAAGAATCTATACGTAGACTGTCATGGATGTTCCTTAACACAAGTACATATGTACCTACCTTGGCAAGTCTATTAATCTCCAGATCCAGCAGGCCGACCTTGGTCTCGGGATGGCTCGTGTTCATGACAGCGCGCGTCTCAGACCCCGTGTATACGATGAATCCAATAGCAGATCCCGCAGCTAATACCGTGTTGCTCCATAAGACATTCTCCGCAGACAGGGGCTCAACAGTGGGGACCTGTACCATGGGCACATCATCAACAGAGTGCGTGCGAGGCGTATGTATCGTAAACGTCCCGATGAAAGTGTGAATATCCTTGATTGGAGCGTCGGCTGAGGTTCGAATGTTGAATGAACATCTGAAAGATGGTAGAAGCACACACCATAAACTTCCGCGTCCAAATCTAGTAGTTCCCTATCACTGACAAGCTTCTGTGTAGCGGGAACTACGACACGGAGCTTCCAGTCCGTCTCTCCGTCGAGCTGGTCAGTTCGGATGAAACACGTTCCAGAGGCATCACTCGTGCGCAAGAGGATCATGTCTGCCGGCACACGTTGATTCTTCTCCAGTACGACGAGGTCGCCCACCTTGAGGGAAGAGGAAGGGACGGAGCGTGTATGCGGACCGCTGTCGGAGGAGGGAATGAGGATGAGATATCTCTGGGAGTTTGCTTCGCGGTCGCGGAGATTGCGCTTGTAATCATCGTAGGCTTCTTTGCCCATTGTGACGCAGAGCACAAATGCGAGGGGTGCGACATATGTAACAATAAATCCTGGGCACAAATGAAGTGGTACAGAACCAGTAAGAGAGGAACGAGCGTACCGATCTTGAGTGCTGGAACAAACTGGGATAGAGCGACGAGAAGGAAGTAAAGGTTGAAAAAGAATTTGAACTGTTCGTAGATGACGATAGGAAAGAAAGTGAATATATTGTATTTCTGATTCCGTACGAGGTTGGGCGGGAACTTTGATTGCAATTTTTCTGGAAAGTTGAGTCAATAGCTTCGTAGGACATGCATGAATTCGGAGAAGACGTACCTGCTGGTCTGAATGGTATTGTCCTGGACTTGTCCTGTGTCTTATGTATACTCGACGGACGCTGTCCCGATGAACGCTATCTCCACGTAAGCCTTGTGGTGCTTTGCAGATAGATAGACAACTCACCCTTTTCGATTGTTCACCTACATTTTCTTCTTCAACCTCTTCCAGCGTACTGTCCCTGTTTCCAAGCAAAGTTGCCTCCTCATCAAAGTCGTCTGCGTCTATGTATCGTTCGCGCTGCTTGCCCTTTCCCTTTGCGGTCAAGTTTGCGTTGCGTGCCGCAGCAGTTCTCAGAACACTCGTGTGCATATCGGTATCCTGGGCGTCGTTCAGAGGAACGTACCCGGCTCGTGTCTTTCCTTTGCGTCCGAGAGAGTGCAACGGGATGTCAGACATCAACGTCGACCCGAGGCCAGACCCACTCAAAAGTCAGGGCTGCAAGCCAAATTGTAGATACCGCCTGATGAGTTGATGAAATGTGACGTCAAGAAGCAACTGGCAGGCTCGGAAATTAGGGCGCGAAGGAGAGTACTACTGCGCTTTTGCGTGAGATGTAGCGCCGCTTTCAGGTGCTCAGACTAATGAGCAAAGTAGCTGTCGATACGAACAACAGTGACAACGCGTGCACCAAGTAACCATGTGTATATAATGTACGTGTATACATGCTTCATCAGTTCTAGACTCTGCTTTTGTGCTTCTGCCCCAGTCTGGAAACTTCTGCGGAAAATTTAACGTTGGGTATCTTGGACAACGGACATCATATCCAAATGCAAAGTAAAGGATATTTTTCGCTAGCACATAATGTAAAGCGGTGGTCTATCAATATTATCATCTAGTTCAAAGGCCCACTTCATCTGCGAACGGTAATGCCTGCACACTCCCAATAGCTACAAACGTAGGTTTGGCTTTCGTGATCGCAGCGACAGACTGAATACGTGCTTCAATATCCTTCACACAGAATGAAAAAGAAAGTACACACCTTCGAGAATGCAGTAGCATCAACCTTGTCTATTGACGCTAGCGTAGCTTCAATTGAAGCGTCCGAGTTGACAAAAACCTATAATCATGAAAACGACCTCAGAAATATAAAACCATGACCAAATGCCAGCGACGCACCTTGGTACTGAGAGCGCCTAAAATCCCATCACGACCATCTAGAGAGCTGGCAGCAGCAAACTTGGCTTTAGCCACAGCCGTTTTAAGTGCATCACCCTTGAGGCCCGCCGACTCCTTCAATGCCTTGGTGGCAACCTTGGCAGCCTCTTTCACCCCCTCGGCGGTCGAGCCCTGGACAAGCAGACCGAAAAGTGTTGCGTCCGAATATGGCATAATAATAGGCTGCACTGACGTCCCCTGCGGAATAGCAGCAGAAATAGGTGAAAGACCCTGCGACCACTTGACGGATGGCTGAGGCGAGAGGTGCGCAGAAAGGATAGCAAGTGCAGGGTCCACAGGGCCAGCAGCACCAAAGCCAATAAACACAGTCTCAGGACCCCCATGTGACTCCACCCGCGTCTCACCACCAAAGTATGTCGATGGTTTACTCTCAGCAGCCACATTGCCTACAGACGCGCCCGCAAGCGTTCTCTCGACTAACTGTGTAAGCGCAGCTGAGTCGATGCCGGTACCCAAAATAGCGATGTTGCCCTTGCTGAATGCACGAGCTGCGAATTCCTTGACGTCATCGAGGGAGACATGACTGTGTGGGGACGCGAAGAGGGAGGAACCGAGACCAGAACGGAACGCGAGCGAGTGTGCAAGTTCGAGTGCGTGCGTTGCGGGGTTTCGCGAGGCAGCGGTGCTCTCGGCTTCGACTACAGGGAGGACGTACTCTTGGAACTCATGTCGCTGGAACTTGCTAGACGTGAGGAAGGAAGACATGACGTCGACAAAGAATGACCTATAAACATTACAGTCATATTAAAATCGGCGCATAAAAAGTTGCATGTAAGGAAACGGACTCATCACCGCGCAAGAACTCGGAAGTGAGTGCCAAATATTCACGGGACAGACTTGCAGAGAGGATGCCGCCGTACAACTCGCTTTCTCTGACCGTGCCCAATGCCGACCTTTTGGCAGTGCTCTGCAAAGACTGCTCGAGAACGTGTATTCAGAGTAGAACATAATACGCACCTTGAAAGCAAAGTTTTTCAGCGTATGCGCGACACCAGGTTTGGGCTCGTATCGGCTGCCGGCCTTAACGAGGAAGGTGACAGCAGTGGTGGGTTGACCGTTGTCGATGGCTGCGACCTTGACTCCGGCATTGTCGACGACAGTGGCGAAGCTGCGCGCGAAGGCCGACGCTCTTCTTGCAAGCATTTGTAGAGATGAGTGTGCTTGAATGGAACGGATAACTCTGCACTCAAGTTGCAGAGCGGAGTTGGCTCGACAAACGGTAGATTCCGTGTTCGTCCGAAACTTTGCTATGTCCGCACCGCGACCACAATCGGAAGAGGTAAACTCAGTACGCCGTAGTTGGGAACCACAAACACATCACAATGCATTACAATTCATGAAAGCAATCGACAACAGGTAGGTAGGAAAACATGAGTACGTTCGACAATCAAAGCACAACAAACAGGAAAGCAATCAAGAGAGCAGTTACCAGAAAGCACAAGACAGCATTTCACAAAAAAGCACGAGAAAGCGACAGTCATAGAAAAGCACAAGACAACATTTGAAAAACAAACACCCAAGATCCTCTACAACTTCCTCGCCCACGCGGTGTGGTAGACCCCAACCAGACCGGGGACGTGCTCTATATCCTCAATAAATCCAGTCACAAGGGTGTCAATCTCGTGCTGGGTCATCCTTGCTTCACGAAGCATAGGCTTTAAGCTCTCCGCGAAATCCTTCAGGGCGGCCAAGTACATCCTGCCGACACGCCTCATGACCGGGTTCAGGTGCCAGTCACCGATGGGGATATGGAACGTCTGGATAGTAGGCACAGTGAACTGATGGGATTGCTGAATGAAGCTGGGGATTCTATCGGCAATGGGGACCAAGTGGCGGAGCTCAAGGGAGCGGTTAACCACCTGAAAAAAGCTTCGCGCGCGAGGTGCCTGGCGAGCCAGGTCAAAGGAAGGCCCATGGGCAAAGTCGATGGAGCGCCCAATCTCGCCGGAAAAGAAGAGACCGCCGGGACGGAGCAACCGAGCAACTTCCCGGAGCAATTCTGGGTAATCCGTAACCTATTCATGATCAATAAATAAAAATAACGTGTAAATCAATGAACAACGTACAGCTAGACCAATATTACGAGCATGAATAAAGTCCATAGCTCCATTGTTCCATCTGAGACGTTTTGTGATATCATGGATCTCGAATTGCACATGTGGCAAGGGGCGCCTAGTGGCAATCGGAACTGGGCGGGGAGTCATTTAGAACTATTCATCTTACGCGGGCATAAGCAAGCTCACCGATATCGAGCCCGTAGATCTTGACACGGGGAAATAATCTCGCCATATCCATCGGCCTGCAGGAAGGTTAGCGTAAGAGAAGCACAGATCGGAAGCTGATCAATAGATCGCGCACCAGCGGCCAGTCCCGGTGCACAAATCGAGCACACGTTTTTGCCTGGTGCGAGCGTCGCTGAGTACCTCGGTTACTGGTCCAAGGTAGTGGGATTCGACGGTATCGCGCAAGATTCTATGAACACTGTTCAATCTCTAATGAAAAGTTAGCGATTTTAATTGTATGGGCTGCGTGGCACCCACTGCTTGCTCCGGCCCGTCGGCAGGCAATGGATAAGGCAAGCTACCATGAGAATGGAAGAGCCTTCCGTCCCTTTCGAAAAAGTGGCCCGGAAAGTCATATTCTTCGAGTTCGGTCACGTCAGAGGACGCGTCAGAGGCATCGTCTTCATCTGTGAATTGGAGGAATAGGTGAGGGAACGCCATCTGGGGGTATAAGCGTTGGACTAACCGTGCAGCATATTCTCAGTATACTCGACGGTCATGAACGGTATGGCGCAGCGATGAGGGACGACTGCGCGACAACTTGATATGATGTGATAGTTGTTGGCAAGACGCCGAAATTGGACCCCGCCTGCAATTCCTGAGTTTTATACCGATAGTAACTCAGCGAAACAGGGTAGAAGACTAAACACGAGGTCAAATCCAAGCGGCCCTTTTGAATCCAGGTTGAGATGGGAATGATCCACAATAACAACGTGTCAGCGTTGGTAAATGGGGAGTGTCAAAAGCTGTATTTGCGAGTTGGTCGGTGGGTTGAACTCAGGTTGAAGTCAGCGGCTGCCAGGAAGGGAAAAGAAGATTAGCCAGTTGATGGGGAGTAGAAAGGCCACGCAGGCACACTCGCTCGAGAGAGGAAAGCAAAAGACCGAAGAGCGGCATAGGTGATGCATAAGTATCAGCTGAGGAAAGATGCTAATTTTCGAGGGATGAAAAGAACGATAACCGTTACGTGATAGGCTGAACCGCCTTAGCTGACCATTACAACAACAAAATGACATACCATCTTCGGCGTAAATCTTCAATTGCAATCGATACAGTCACAACAAAAGCGCCTTAGGCCCGTGTTGGACTAGGCCTTCATTACTGAATATCTATCATTGGGCAAGTCAATGATGCGCTTCTCACTGTAAAAAAAGTTGCCTCATTAGTGAACGGCGCCTACTTTTTCGCTTATTTTTTTTTGGTAAATTTGCCGTCGTCTGAGTCGACGCCCAGGGCTACTTTAGCGCCACATGGGAAGCAAATTCACTCAGATTCAGCTTCCTCGGCGCTCATGCCGGCTTGGGGATATAATGATGACATGGCTACAGTCATTATAATAAAGCATCTTTTGGTGAGTCACGATAATATTTGTCTGGCAAGCTAAAAGCTGCTGACCGTGAGCATCCCCCACCGGGATGATTCAGTTCGTGGGATTTGCCACCTCCCCGAGTTGCCGCATTGCAGCATACAGCACACTTGCCAGCAAGTGGTTCGCGTTATCTGTCGCTCTCTTGGCGCGCAATATTTCTTGAAGACTCCCCCTAATTTGCCAACACTGGGAACTGGCCAAGCCCGTCTGATGGATGTCATGTGAATATTGTTGTTTTGTTGCGGGAGAAAGCTGATAATTTTTTGATTTACTTCCGCAGAAGCATCCCCGCGACGCGAGACATCAGTCACGTGCACGTACATGTGGTGTGACTCCTATAAAAGACGCGTATAAACATCCACGCCTGTCCACACAGGGAGTGTATTTCATGTCCTTTTCCGTCTGCTAAGCGCTAGCCATCCACCATACCATCATCGTCTGAATTCACTATGGACGACATCGATGCATTTTTCGCCGAACAAGAACAGCGCATGAACCTTCCTGACGAGGATGTGGATGAATACATTCGTGCACGATTGGAAGATTGCCATAGGAACAGGTACGCGCGCCATCCAACTGGTTGCCTTCTGCCAGTCCCCTGAGTAGGATAATCACAGAAGTCATGTTATCGATCACGTTATTCCCGCACAAGGTCACTCACGCAAAGTGGATACACACCCTGAACTATTTTTCACTTCTGACATGGAAAGGGAAGAGCGGCAGATCTCTGACAAAGAATTGCCCAGGCAGTGCGTCTCACTTGCTTTCTCACGTAGCTCTTGCAGATCTTAGATCATCTATTCCACAGGTTGAAGCGCAAATACGCAGAACCCGAACCTCCAGTCCAGGGGAAGAAGCCAAGGCCATACGAGATTCCTGACGTGACCACGTCAGGAGTACCTGTTCTACCTACTTTTTTCTCACGTGGTGACAATACTGAACATGCCGCAAAGTACGTTGTGTTGACCCTTATCTCAATTTCGGATTGATCAGATCCCTCCCTTAACTGACACATTTGCACACAGCGCTATAGCTTCAATTGAGTTACGAAGCAAAGGCTCCAGACAAATTCCGCGGCTCCCGGCCCACCGAAATGGGGATGCCCCAGTCAAAACTACATCAACTCCTCTTGGCCGGCATATTAACTGCGGGCCGGTCGACAGCCTCATCTGTTATGACCTCTTCCCGAATCCTGAGTCCCAATGATGAATCAAGCGCTCATGAATATGGGGCAGCCAAGTTACCAGTACTTGGATCTGGATCTCGTATCACGGAGCCTACGATACACCAAGGCAATGGTGATGCCAAACATTTGTCGCCAGCGAGACTGATGCGCCATGACTCTACTGCACGGACCCACAAATCAAGAATTGCTAAGTTGGTGGCGTATGATGCCATCAATCAACAGCCCACAGATGACAGCAGTCCAGGTTTGGAAGCTCGCATGCCATGTTTAGATCATAATGGAGAAGCCTCCGTTGGGAACGAGAGGTTGCAGTCTTGCGCGCCAGAACTTGGCATGCCCAGTCCACAGTCAGGGTTGCTAGAACCCTCAGCCACGAACACTAGCAACATCACAAGCCCCAGAAATTCCCCCCTTGGAGCATCACGCCGCTCGAGTACCTCAGCTTCATTATCATCAGATCCAGAGGGCAACGCATCCTCATCTAGAGCGGCAGTCGTTAAACCCCAAAAGTCCAGAAGACTGTAAGCAGCTCAAGGAAGAAAGCTGATGTTTCAAAGCAAAATAAAAACCAGAAAGGCAAAGTAAAGCCAGCGCTTGTCACTCCTCTCGAATATGCGCAGAAGTTGAATCTCGCCTTGCCAAAGAAGCGCAAGTCCGATTACCTCAAAGGCAGGCGAATTTTGTATGTCGGTGGGGACATGCAGTATGCAGGCGTCCAGACGCGTGGTCGCATGGACTACGTGAGTTTCTCATACTTTGCTCTCCCTGACCCTCCGTGTTTCCCGGTCCGCTGTTTATGCGCCTTCATTTTGTGGCGAAGAAATTCCGCCTTCAACGCTGACGTGCATTACGTATCATCTACGTGCTCATCGTCATCATTTAGTCAATGCCGTTGAACGATACGTTTCTAACACGAGGTTTTCAGATCATTAAGCATGGTGGCACCTTGATACCATCATACGATCCTTCTACCGTGACTCACATCGTGACGGATGCGACGACACGCCCGACACTGAAAGCCCTTGGACTCAAATCGTTGAAAGAGATCCCTGACAATATCCCAACGGTCACTTGGAGTTGGGTGATATCCGGGTACGGTCGTTTGGGTTACAACAAGCTTAAGGGCAAACGCGATGGGGAAATAAATGATACGAAAAGCAAAGCTAATGCCACAGATGACGACGAAGGTCTTCTTGATTTTGAATTTCTACACGCGGCATTCCCTCAACGCATCGATGCCGGTAGAAGCTGGCAGAAGAGAGGACAGGGAAAACTGGTTCAAGCAAAGGGTCAAGTAAGCGCCTCTGCGAACGACCTTGGTGGAGATTTCAGTCGCATTTCGTACGCCCATTCTCGGTTTCTCTTCGACTATATTTTTATGCGGTCGCGTTTCTTAGCTCTTTCACTGAAGACCATCAAACTGAAAATCAACAGAGCATAGCGCCAAAGCTAGTCGTTTTTCCTCCTGCACCCCTTACATTCATTCCCGCGGGGAAAGCTTCCAACACAGCTTATCATAATAATAACCAAAGCAGTCACATTCACAAGCCACAGTCCAATAAAGAAGACCCTCTGGCTGAGTTTTACGAGAAGGCGAGGGCTGAACGAGATCGAGCCGTGAGCCGTAACGTGAAACAAAAAATTCTCAACTCAATCATCTTCAGAGAAGTCTTGGACAGACCGAGACAGACGAGAGTGATCAAGAAGAAGAGTTTTCGAAACTACCACGGGTTCCTCGGCGCGTGAGTGGCTACATTTGAAGTCCCTGAACTAATCCTGAATATTGCGTCCCTGAAGGGTTTTACATGCGACCGGAAGGAACCTGAGCAGCGCGAATGCGTGAATCAAGATATCATTGAAAAGGTTTGCATCTACATTCCGCGTTTTCTGCAGCTGATAGAGCACACGAACAGTTAGAGGAGCTTATGGAGTTGCACAAGGCAAAACTAGGTGAAGATGATCGTTGGCGAGTGCACAGCTACTCGAAATGTACGCAATATCTGTGCCTCGGAATTATCAGTGCTGACGACCCTGGTAGGTATTCGTGCCTTGCGCAATTATCCAAAGAAAATCAAATCATTCAACGAGGCCCTGTCAATCAACGGCGTTGGTGAGAAGACTGCCCGAAAGGTGTGTATCCACTGAAGCACAGTAACGTCATACTCTCATAACACTTGTTTTGTTAGATCATGGAAATCATCGAAACTGGCGATTTGAGACGCATTGGCTACGAAAAAACGGATGATGTCGAAGCCATTAACTTATTTCAAGGGATATATGGAGTCGGTATGGAAAATGTCCACTCTTCGTTTGTCAACCTTCTGAGCCGTTAGCACAGGCCGACAGATAGCTCACATGTGGTACAATAACGGATGCCGGACGCTAGATGATATTCGAGCTCGGAAGGGTGGCATCAAGTTATCTCACGTTCAGGAAATCGGTTTACATTTCTACGATGGTTGGCCCTTCGTGATCACTCGTATCGGCACATCGCTGATTTTTTGTTGCCAGATATCAATGATAGAATGCCGCGCAGTGAAGCAGAGAGTATCTTCAACTTGATTAAACCCATTGGTAAAGTCTTACGTTGCGGGTTTTCACGAGCTATTGATCTTGATGTGACGCAAACAGCTCTCAAACTCGACGAGCACCTTTATATTGACATCATGGGTAGCTTCAGAAGGTTTGCGGTAATTTTGTTTTGCCTGCCTTAGCCTCACATTCCTCAATAGGGGCAAAGCTACTTGTGGCGACATTGATATCCTAGTGACTCGACCAACCTCAGATGGGATAACACATGCAGGTGAACGCCTTTGCCTTCTCATAACCTGATGTCGTTTTACCAGGAACATTTCCCTAGGTCTCCTTCCGGAGCTGCTCGCCCGTCTGCATGCTGCAAAGATCCTGACAGAGGATTTGGCATTGCCTGATGATTTTTCCGCTCTTGAATTATGTTATCGTGGATTGTGCAAGCGTCCCGAACCGGACGCAAAGCATCGGCGCATCGATATCTTATGTGTTTCTTGGGAGAACAGAGGAGCGGCCCTTCTTTACTACACGGTAAGTAACTCGTCTGTCTGGCTCAATATTATGACGTGTTCATTTAATTACAGGGTGACGACATCGTAAGCAATTTGAACAATTGCTGTGCGATAAATGAAGTAGACATATGTACCATTACAGTTCAATCGGGCGATGAGAATGAAGGCAAATGTTCTCGGGTATTCTCTCAACCAACGAGGTCTATATGCAGGCGTGGTTCGAGACCCCCGGAACAGACGTGTCAAGATTTCCGCAGGTGCGCCCTTCAGCTGCAGCCAAGTTTGCCTCATTTTCATTGTCTTTCAAGGTAACATTGTTGCGTCTGAGACGGAAGAGGAAATATTCAGAATTCTAGGTAAGAGTCAACTCATGCGGATATCGTACTGATGACAAACGAAGCCATAGGGGTGCCATGGCAGGAGCCTCATGAACGTGTACGGGGTTGAGGTGGTGCAGCTGAGCTCTTGAACTTCATGGAACTATTGTAAACATGCGTATTTATCTTTTCTACACCGGAAATTGGCTGGTACCATGTGCTGGACTTTGTATCAATCATGCTGGTGCAGAATTTTTGATCAATGGTGGTAGTCCGAGTGCGCGATTCGATAAATTTCTAATCATCCACTCTGAATACCACTAGATCATTAGGTTTGGTCTATGTCGGAACTGACATCAGGGGGGACGAAGTCGCCTGTCTCCTAAAAATCATGTTTGTTCAGAAGTGTCATGAGGAGAAGCGGGACTGGAGGCCAATATCCTCGCAGCGCGTCTGATGCAGCCAAAAATGTAAACAAGCAGATCCGATTCGACGGTGTGTTGTCACGGGTTTGGACGCCTAGATTGTTCCAATCATGATAATCTGGGCAGTAGTATCTGGCATCATACATGAGATGCCCGACCCTACGACTTTCGCGAACAACCAAGTATTGTCCGTGGCCTTTCCTCCCATTGGGTAGCCGGCAGCCCGTCGTGACTGTTCGGAGTGTATATAAGCTGTATTACGCAGGATGCCAGGTGAAATGTGTCAAACGAAGGGTCATCCGAGACAGTGGCATCGGTGAGGCCACGAAGGAGGATCTGGTAACCTACGAGGCTTGCAGAACGGCGCAATTCGCGCAGCTTCCCGGCGCCTGGGGTAGGATGGTCGTACCAACAGAGAGGTAGTAGTTAATGCAGGCCTTGGGAAACTCCAGAGCGCGGACAGGAAGTTGAATGCGTGACTGAACACGAGTACTGAACCTGCTGGACAAAGATAAGGAAATGGAGACCGAAATTTGACCGAAATTTGACCGGAAAGTCACAGAGTAACCCAGAACTCATCACACGGTCGACCCCGCCATGGCGAACTGTTTGGAAGCGAAACCCAAGCCAGAAGCATGCGTTGCAAAGTAGACCATGTCCGTCCTTAGCACCCGCTGAAGCCACACATCTTCTAGGATAAGGGTCTGTTAACTAGGGGAAGAAGGGCGCTAGGTGGTGGGGATGGTAGTGGTTCAAACATGCCAAATTTTTCGTCGACGTCAGGGGGATACCGCTACCCCAACTGCGCCAGGTCACTGTCTTGCTCTGTCACGGGAGGAATGATAGTAAATACTACTGAGCCCAGTGGGAATAAAAATTCCTAGGCACGAGTGCAACTACGTTGTGATCAGCCAGCTGCATACGGTAATTGTGACCCACTGGGTAGTTCACGGTTGGGGGAGGGCTACGTACTAGTGGGGATAGGAAGCTTCAGATCCCAGATCCGGTAGCTTCAGCACATCCGGACCCTAAAAGTTACTACTTCCCTAATCGCCGAACAGAGAATTTTGTGCAGAGATTGGCACAAAATAATTATTTAATTATGTACTCAACGCAGTGCTCATTCACTGGACGCGTCTGACGCCTTTTGCCTAGTTTTCATCGCCTCTGTCTGGATGTTTTGATCGAGAACCTGTTCGATTTGAAGTCTTCTGCGACATTCACGAAAATTCGAAAGGAGAACACTGGATGTATGGATGCTGTTATGAAGATACAGCTTGGAACAGGGCACCACATACTCTGTTGAAACGTTGAATTCAGGCTTCGAGTCCCTAGGGTTACGATATCATGCTGTGCAGCAACAGCATACTCACGTACAAGGCCGATATTGGTGGGGTTGTCTAACGTTCAAATTTGGGCAGAGAAAATACATTGTTCATGCAACACGTACGTGTTAACTTGATACTCTTCCATCAATGACGCTCGTCTATATACAAAGTGGCACGAATTGGCCTTCGGGGTAGCGATAATACCATTTGTGAATGATCATAAGTCATCATCGTTACTATGAGTGAGAAGTACTTGAGACATATCCAAAGTTCGTACAAGAGCAACACTCACTCAGGATAGCCATCATTGAAAACGCCAAAGTCACCATGCATCTCCTGTTCGAGAGAGATAGATCAAGTCAAGTCCAATGAAAAAAACCGAGAACGTACTGCATCATAGATCTCGTCCTCTTCGCCCTCATCGTCGAGGGGGTCCCAAGGTGGGTCGACATCCTCCCACCTACAAGGAGGTCATCACACTGCTGAACCACGAGAGGATTTCAACTCACCTATCGATTGCATCATCAGTTTGCTCATCTCCGCGTTGACTGGGAAGCAACCAAAACCTGTGACGAGGCTTTTTTAGTCTGTACAAAGGCATATATTTTGTGGTCGAGTCGCTTCCTTCGCGGTAAAGACCACAAAAAGTTTCTGAAGACCAGGTGAAACTGGCCGCTCCTCCAGCATTGACAGCCGGTGTAACAGGTCCTGTGGCTTTAAGTGTCACGGAAAAATTTTCCGCCGCTGTGCCAAGTGTGAACAGCGTAGAAGAATTTACACATGCCGGACTTACTTACTCTGTTTAGACATGTACATCATATATGCTGCGCAAGAGATCACTTCAGTGACGACGCACTTCCCTTTGAGGACATCAGGCCTAGACTTGAGCAGCTCGACGATGCGCTCATCCTTGGGAAGGCTGATGTATCTTGGCTTGTACATAACCAGCGCAGCTGCTGGTTTTCTACCATCGAACTGAAAATTGACTTTGAGGGCAACATTCCCTCCACCCGGCACGTCGCTGCGACGCAGTCAGATATATTCCCAAACACTGCATATTGTAACACCTACGCTTCAGCAGATACGTTGAGTTCCTTTGTAGTGACACCCCACGACTTGACGATGTATTTGTCATCCCCTCCCTGTTCTGTGGGGCATAGTGCCGGATCCTTCATGTCAATACCGATCCTGCTCGTTGTTGTGTAAAGGCTCCCTTCCCAGTCGAATTCTCCAGTCTCGTTGTTGATGATTCCATAGTCTCCCACCTGTGCTTGTCAGGTCAATTGAAACCGAGTGGTGTCTTTACATACATTGATCGGTGTTGGTGGATCCCAGTTGACCCACTTGGACGTAACGCCCTGAATGAGGTCGATGAACTTCCGTGACTCGTACTTCATCGCAACGATGTTGCTAGAAGGAGGGGAAATCCTTGAGGACCATGGGCAGTATAGACTTCCTTATATACCGTTAACTAGTGCCAAGATATGATCGATAGGTGATCTTCAAAGGCTCGGTCGGGTCATAATCACCTATCCAGGGCAGGCCCCACAGGATGTTGATAAAAGTTACCGCGAGGCAGAAGCCGCAGCAAGAACATGAGGAAGAGGCCCGGGCAGTGCGATGCGCGTTTAAACTTAAAGCTGCATCCTCGAGGTTTCCATAACAGACGTCCGTACATCCAGTGTTCTCCTTTCGAATTTCCGTGAATATTGTAGAAGGCTTTAAATTGAACAGGTTTCGATCAAAACATCCAGACCGAGACGATGGAAAATAGGCGAAAGGCGTCGGACACGTCGAGTGATTCGGAGTGAATAAGGTGACCCGATGAGAAGAAGGATACCTATAATTAAGGTTGATTTTTCCTGTGCATGGTTCAAAGCTTCAGCCGCTATCTTCCTCTTTTGGTCTTACTAAATTTTACTCAGGGCCCTTGGTCAACTTAGAAAGTTGTACCACAACGGCTTCTGACGGCGGCACAGGCCCGACTCCCACGATTAGTGGGAGAAGACTTTTGTCGTTGACTCGGAGTACTGAGACACAAACCGCAGTCAGTCAATGAAAATTGTTCATGTCCATCTGGTGAAGAAATTAGATATACAACATCCCAAAACACACTACACAGGATAATGGACATTAGGATCATGACCAGACTGGCGTGTACTAATCCCTAATCAACATCGTGAAAACACCAAATGTTCCTTAGCAAAAAGACTAATGGCAGTGGCATATCGGTCTAGTTGACACGTTTGATTGAAATGCGTGCATCGTCATCGCATAGTACATTCTTTATCGCATGTAATACGCACCGTCTCGTTACCTCAGTCATTGTATCCAACCACTGAGGTATGCTTTCTGGCCTCTTATCGTCCGGTTGTTTATCACTATATTCTCTCTGGCGTGTTTCGTGTCTCAGGTACTCATAATGATCAGTTATTGTCTCCAACCACTGAGCATGTTTTGTGTCTCAGCTTCTAACACATCTCATGAGGAATCGTTGGTAATCGGTGTTTGTTTTTAAAAATAGCCAATCAACGAGAGTCTGATACGGAAATCATACTCGCTAGCACGATTTCCAGATGGTACTGTAGGACCTTCATAAGAGAACACATCATAAACCTTGTCTATGACTTCTGCAGCGCCACTGATGTATAGGACATGAGCAACCGCAGAATGGAGCGCAATGAACGTAGGGTTGGGAAACGGAATACCATCTCGAGAGTGATCCCGGAATTGCACTTCCGTGAAAATCTCCTTGTGCAAAGGGACATGGCGTAGCCAGTGCACTTTGTATTTGTGCAAGACGTCCTTTCAAGGGTATAAGTACCTGAAATTTCACGACAAAAACCTAACCATACTGTGGGGTGTAGAGTCTGTAGACACCATGTGTAGCTGTCGAATCCACGATGCAGTGCTATATCAAGTGACCTTCCATTCTCTGGGTTATCGATGATACCGGCTGGGTCGTCCATAATCTCATCAGGGAGCTTTGTATAATGCTTGATTATGTCAATCGTTTCCGCGATGTACTGCGGAACAATCAGCTGGACGGGTATATTAACTTGATAATTGAAGAACATACGTGGCTTCTGAACAATCGATCTCCGGAGGATGTGAACAGCTTCGAGGTACCCTTCACCAGCCTCAGTGTCGCGGGGATGTGGACCGTTAGCTATATTCAAAGTCCCGGTGACCACACACTTGTCGCCATCCCGTTCGACGATCTAGATGGCCTTTAGATGAACATCCTGCAAAGAGGGCGAGACACTGCAGCACACCAAATCTTGGAATATGGAACGTTGCGATGTCGCAGGCACGGTGTCAGCAACGACTTCCGAAGTGTGGAGTATAGGAGTGGAGAGTGGCCGGCTCTGTAGGCTTTTTTGACTGTCCTACCATGAGCAGCAGCTTCGAACAAAAAGGATAACATACAAGGCCAGATAAAGAACAATAACCAGCCTTGCGCCAATCTCATTAACTCAGAGGCAGGGGGGTTCAGGTTGGACTCTTTTCCCTTTTAATCGGTCACTATGATGGCAGGTGCTGTGTAGCGTACACCGCTTGACAAACCAGCTTCCTCTGCGCCGTCCCTATCATTCCGTCCAATATACCAAATGTCTTGACCCCATGCACTGAGATTAACGTAGGTTTCGTTTCCCGAAGAACGGCCTTTGTACGACGCTTCAACTGGTTGTTCGTCTTCGGTTCAGTGTCGCTCATCAGTATTAGAAGATCGGTTTTGAACGCATCGTCATCTAATAGGGTAAGGGTGTTCGCGCTGGATGCATCATTGTCGAGAGACATACCATCCCTGCCCGCTAGTTCGTGAGTCACATAGATGTCACACGTAGTCACGGAGAGTCACACTTGCCGAATTTACAGTCCGCCCTGCAGACGTCAGATTTGTGAAACATCAACAATGTTAATGCTAGTTCACGCATTACATGTGCTTTTACTGAAGACTCGGCTGATAACAATGCCACTGCATGGTCAACATGATAAAAATTTCCAAAGTGCCAAGGTTGGACACTATCTCTCGCTAGTGAACGAAAGAACAAACTCAGCCAGTCGTTGGAAAATACGAACCTCTCTCGCTGCCCAGATGAACCACGATATGAACATGATAACAACCACGCACCCGCCGACAATTGATGCCAGCATGGCCGTCGTCGTAGACTTGAACACGTTGTACAGAAGGCCGATTGCGAAGTAGATCATCCTGGTGAAGGACATGAATCAATTGCCCTGGTTAGATAGAATCGATCCGCGTACCCCCACATAAGCATTGCATATGGTAGACTGTGAACGGTAGCGAGGGCTCTCACTCCAAAAAATGTGCCTGTCAAATTTAATAGAAATTCGGCCTACGCAGACTAGTTAGCGCGACAGAAGTGGACGCAAGGGCGACGACTTGCCGCTTTGTCGGCTGATTCAAAACCGTATCTCTGGTTCTGACGTGCCAGCAGGACTGAGGCGATCAAGGAACCGGTGATGAAGATAATCGAGAGATAGGTAGCAATGATCCCGACCGAGTGTGACGGACCGATGTTCACGTTTGGCACTGCGAGGAAGCTGACATCTACGGCTAACATGACGGTTGACTGGGAGGAATCAAGTTATGGAGTATAATGGTGACTTGATGATGACACGCACGTAGATGGTGATCCCAGTCCACTCCGTCACGAGATTCCTGTTGAAGTCCTTCCATCGCGGCGTGTTGATGCACTCATCCACCCATACCCTTCGAATATCTTTCAAGTGCGCTTGCGGTGCCCAAAAAAGCATGACTTCCAGGACCAGAGAAAGAGGGCTGATCAGTGGATGAAAGCCAGTATCCTCCTCATACACGGATCTGTCAGCATCAAGTCGAGCACAAGGTAGGCCGCAGAAGTTGAAAAACTTGGCTCTATCTTCAGAATGAATGAGTAACCTGAACCCGACGGTGAAATGAAGAACGTACAGAAATAATGCATGAACTTGGCTATTGATAAAATAATGAACAATCAAGGGAGGTTGTACCACGCGTATAGGCTTTTCTCACCAATGATGCAAGTGGAATGAGGAAAATCATTGTCATCAGCGTTCTCTGGAAATGTGTGATTTTAATACGAATGGTTCTGAAGGAGCCTTCGCACCTCGGAGGTGGTTGATTAGCTCCAGGATCCTGGAGAGTTCATCAGCATCAAAAGGCGACAAGGACATGTCCGAAGTGATAATCTCTGGAATGCCGGGTTAAAAAACAACTGAAGGTTGATGATAGGCGATCACTACCTGCACTCGCATGCATGACAACCTCCCTCAGTTCCTTGAGAAGCTTGACTCGATCCATCTGGTGGTTCGGGTAGCGTTCGCAATGCGTCCTGTACATCCTGGGCGTTGATGGTTATACAGTATCTTGAAGCACATTGGAATCAAAATGATGGGAGAAGTCACTGAAACTTACATAATTGCAAGTGACAAACCAGTACTCGGACTCCAAGGCAAATCCTGTTTGCCAAGTTCATATTAGGTTGAGTAAAGTTCAACATAACGCACGGATATGGCTCAGATTATCGACGCCCCGAAGCCCGCTGAAAATTTTCGTTGTTGCTTCAGGGCTATCGTGCAGCCAAAAGAGAATTCTAGCTGCGTGGTCGACGAAGTAGTAATGACAGGTCATTTCGCCTTCAATCGGCCATAATTGCACGACGAGCTCAATGTCATCGGCTTCGAGGCTCGCCAATTTCGCGCGTGCCATGTCGTATAGCCCATCCACGCATCTGCCAAGTAAGTCGAACGTAGTTTCGTCCGTGATGGCTTCAGTGAACGTTTTCTGGGAACACAATATGTTCAATGGACCATGAGATACCTGTATTTCCCTCATGATTGGATGCTTACTCGACTCATATTGTATAAATACAGTGCGCCTTCGGGATGTATACAAGACCGCCAATCACTGTTCAACCATGGACATGATCTGCATGGTCTGCATGGTTTGTCATCCCATTCAAATATTGCCTGGCTAACACACTCACTCGTTTGGGAAGCGCCTCGTGAGTGCTGGAATGCGATCGCGCTCACGAGTTTTATCTCTGGAATGATTCCTCAAGACCATCTACTATTATGAGGGAGCTGCACATACACAAGAGGACGATTTTCGTATCGCAAAACATCATTCGCAGCGAATGGTACAAAAGGGGGAGTGATACTGGAAGTATTGGAAGGAATAGCATTACCGACTCCTGGTGGCGAAGACGTATGAGACGGAACAATTTGCTTGGGAACGTATGGAGCAGGCATGGCATACGGAAGTATCGAAGACGACAACACATCTTGAGTGCCGCTTGCCGTATTAGTTGAAGTTATTTGGTGGTGAAGCGGCAATGGCAAGGTAGCCTGCGGACATCGTGCATTGGAAGCCCCAGCGGCACAGCATGGATCTGCAGTGGAAGACTTTGAGTCAGTACTGTGTCCAGGTAAAGCGTGAACCTTGGCGACACAGCGCCGCAAGCAAAATACGAGAACGCGCAGTCGCTGGGCAGATGACTGTGCGAGCGCCGCCAACACTCGCCATAGACATTTTAAGAGCTTTTGAATTAGCCCCGTGTTCAACATGTTTCGTCGTCGTCGCTAGGGCCCAGCGCTCAATATTCAATCCTGAAATTTGAAAGTTCGTGTTCTTTCTTGGGATCCAACTAAAACGGGACTCGTACCTCAATGGCGGGTATTTCGGCTCTTGCCGGTCCAGTGGAACTTGGACACCCGTTGAGTGCGACAAGGTACGACTCATCATGCACATGCATCGGCCCATGACAGAAAGTGACTTGTTCAACAACTTCGCCTCACAATCGATAAGGTCCTGGTACTTAGAGATGTACAGAGTATGTACAAACTGCGCCACGTTGAGGATGTGGCTGTGGACGCTCCCTGGCACAGCTTTCCAACATGTCGAAGTCGAGAAGGTGCTGCAAGCTGAATCCTGCAGTTCGCTATGGCCGCATAGTCTCTTTTGCATGTCACGGGACACAAAAACATGATGAACCCTTCAAGTCGGCGTTTTTCATGCGCGATCAACCGCTTTCACTCCTCGATATCATACAAATGGATCTGTCTCGGCATGAATTTGCATCTGCCTGCGAAAGCGCAGTTGGTACCCCATATACCCCTGACGAAGTGGTACACCTGGCAGCTGGCTTACAGTTTGCTGGGGTGACGAGTGTAGTTGGGACATTGTGGAAAGTCAACGATACAACTGTGGAGCGCTTAGTCGAGGTGTTCTACAAGATTTTTTGTGGGAATGGCACGATGAACTCGAAAAGAACTGCCCGATCGCTGCATCGAGCAGTCCAGTCGTTGGCTTGTGACAAGGACATGCTTTTGGATCAGCACATCGTGTTCATGCATATTGGCGTATGATCAACTTCGTGCGTCCTCCCTTATTGACTGCTTGAAATGATCTGACGGCTTCGTGTGTAGCATCCTGCTGTCACTACACGCAGCCTGTTGCAAGAAAAAAATTCAGATTTTAGGACTATACCTAATCTCGAGTTCTACTTAAATTTCCCAATCTGTTGCCTCGGGGTCCGCTCCTAACGTGTGGGTAAGAACAAAGTTCAAACGTTTGAATACAGATCCGGAAACATCTGACTATCACTGGTAGTGTTTCCGTGCGCCAAAGATAGCCTAAGATGGTGCAATGCAGATGTGGGTCATTTCGCGAATTCGAAAGACGTTGCCGCCTGGCAAGTAAGGGCTTAGTGACGTGCTCGCATGGACGCCGATGATGATTCATGACTGGATAGGTGGCTAGATTAGGCATGTAGGACAATGGCACGCAGCGAGCTCAATCGTCGAGACAGCGGGGTACGACAGCGGATATTTCTGCTCGTTTGTGATCAGAGATGAATCCCGGTCCCCAAGATCCCGGCAATTCATCAATCGTGGAGGAAGACGAGTCGAAAAAGCACCTAGTATCGAGAATAATTGTCTGAGAGATCTTACATCACAGTAAGAGCGCTCATGGAAGTTCCCTTCCATCGTATGGCGCCAAAATTCAGTGGGGGAGGAGCGAGCCTAAATCTTGTATCGTAGTATGACTCATTTGCAAAGTTAGCGCTCAACTCACCAGCACATATAGGCGGGGGTATCTCGGCACTTGCCGGCTCAGTCTACTAATTACGTGGAACCTCAGGTAGTCTTACTGTCAGTTCGAGAAACAAAATTCATAGTCCTCAGTTGCTCGATGCTCTTTGCCTGTATTTGCTTCTGATATTCGGTCCTCCTCGTCATGCCTTGTCTTTCGCTTAGAAGGGCGGTTTCGTTCTTCTTTCTCTTTGCTGCTATTTTCGAGAGTTCATTAGCATCGATACTGGCAGTTGACTATGGGTCAGACTGGATTAAGGCCTCGCTCATGAAGCCTGGTGTGCCCTTCGACGTGCTACTAAATAAGGACTCCAAGCGGAAGATACAATCATCAGTCGCATGGAAGAAAGACGAAAGATTATTTGGGTCTGACGCAGCGAACATCGTGAGTACTGTTCCCCACAACACTCTGCCCTTGGTCTGACTGGACACAGGCGTCCCGTTTCCCTCAAGACTCATTCTCATCCCTAAAATACCTACAAGGCGCACCATCCGACTCTGATATCGTCACTTATTTCACCTCCATATCCACTGCTCAGATTTCTGAGACTGACCGCAAAACCGTTGCGCTGAAACAAAGTGATGGCACGGAATGGAGTACGGAGGAACTTGTCGCGATGCAGTTATCATATATCAAGAAACTTGCTGAGGATTTAGCGGGCGAGCCGGTAAACGAGGTCATCCTCACCGTTCCACCGTACTTCTCCCAGTTCGAACGCGACTCAATTACAGACGCGATAGAGATTGCAGGACTCAGAACACTGGCATTGGTCAATGACGGTACGGCTGTAGCAGTTAACTATGCTATGACAAGGACCTTTTCGACCACTCCCGAATACCATGTCATCTACGACGCCGGCGCGTCTTCGACACGTGCCACTGTGGTTTCGTTCGCTGCAGCCGAGGATCCCAAGACGAAGGCATCACACACGCAGATCAACGTTCTGGGCGTCGGGCATGACCGAAATACGGGCGGAACAGAGCTAGACTTGAGGTTGCGGGATATTTTGATAGACAGTTTTATGTCAAAGCACCGGCGGGATATTCGAAAGGACAAGCGTGGTATGGCTAAACTTTGGAAGGAGGCTGGGCGCGTCAAGGCTATCCTCAGTGCCAACTCGGATGCGATATCAACAGTAAGCAAGCTGCCTAAACATAATGTGTGGTTTCCATGCTCACAGTGTTCAGGTAGAGAGTGTTGCATTTGACATTGACTTTAAAACCAAGGTTACTCGCTCGGAATTCGAGAACGCTTGTAAAGACCTCCACTCGCGCTTTGCAAGACCCATCTATGATGCGCTTGCGAATGCTGAGCTTTCATTGGTATGCATGCTCGTGGGTTATCTTGCAAACATTGTCTGACACAATTACAGGCAAATATCACATCCGTTATCTTGACTGGCGGAAATTCACGCACGCCCATGGTTCAGGCCGCTGTAAAAACAGCTGTTGGCGAGTGAGTATTCCATTTTTCTTTTTGGACAAATGGAGTTTACGTGTTTTGTTAGAGATCGCATTGCACTCAATGTCAATGCCGACGAATCTGCCGTGCTTGGCGCAGCGCTTTATGGAGCCTCCCTCTCCCGTCAATTCAAGACCAAAGACATCCGTGTAACTGATATCCTAATACACGATATCCAGGCATCCTACCTCGCGTCTAATCCAGGCACACGAACGATTCACACGGCAGTCTTACCTGCTGGGTCGAAGCATGGCGCAAGAAAGACTCTGACATTCAAGCGTAAAGAAGATTTCTCTGTGGTGCTGAACTATCCCAATGAAGTCATGTCGTGCGTGTTCCGTACATACAATATTCATATTCTATTAACCTTAGTCCTAGTGGCTTCCCCCGCGAGATCCTCGAAGCGAAGATTATTGGCATTCCCGAGGCCATTGATAATCTCACTGAACGCGGCGCAATCGATCCAGTGATCAAGGCCACTGTCGTGCTTTCCGAATCCGGTTTTGTGTCTATCGGAGACACCATAGCCTATGGCGAGATTAAAGACGATTCCATCTCTGGTACGTATTTTCTATTATTCCTGTTCTTGATCATGAAGCTCGAATAGGGAAACTGAAAGGCCTATTTGGAGGTGGAAGTGACCAGGTATCATTAGACACTGATGTTGATGAAGGAGCCCTAAAGGACGAGAAGATGGACAAGGACAAGAATGATAGGGCCAAGAAGCCGCTTGGGAAGGACCGAGGTACTATTCCGCTTGAGATCGAAATTGTGTACAATTTCCAGGGTCCACTGAGTCTTATGGCAAAACGGGCTGCTCGTGAACGGTACGTTTGCATTGTCTGTGCTCATAAGACTGATCGAAGTCATGCTGCGACAGTCTCAGGGCATTAGACAACATGGAGATGTCGAGGCAACTTCGGGAAGAAGCGCATAATACTCTTGAAGGATACTTATATAAGCTACGGGATCTCTTGAATGATGGTCCGGAAACGCCATTCACGAAATGCTCTCAGCCATCTGAGAGGCAAACACTTTCGAACAAACTCTCGGAGACTATTGCATGGTTACACGAGGAAGGAGACACTGCTGATACATTGCAGCTGTGGGAGAAGCGATCAGCTCTCGAGTAAGAGTCCTTTATGGTGGGAAGGACTATTCAATTGCTTACCGTTTCTGGATAGGACTGTGGAGAAACCAATCGTACACCGCTACAAGGAGATCGAGTCTTTCCCACAGGCACTGAATAATTCACAAAAGTGGAACTGGAGTACTAGATTATTCCTTACCCAAGCCAGGGAGAACATCACGGCGGACGCCATTGCAGGTGTTCCTTCGAAGTGGACGTCCGAGGAGCTTAATGCGCTCGAGAAAGCACTCAAGGAGCATGAAAGTTGGCTTCATGATGGCGTTGAGCGGCAAAAGAAGACAAAGATGAATGAAGACCCAGCGATAAACACTAAGGAGATGCAGCAGCGAGCGAAGACGTTGGAGCAGCACCTGGAAAGATTGGTGAGGAGAAAGGTACCCAAAGTCAAAAAGACGCCCGCGAAGCCTGGTGACGCTAATGGGTCGTCATCTACTGAACCAACGCAGACCCCTGGAGATAGACAGCCAGGACACAATGAATTGTAGATGATACTCATACTAATTATTGATGGAATAGATGGAGTTTGCGTCACATCTGCTGATCTCTATGTATGTGTGCAGTTGTGCTCAAGCGGGCATTCTGCTGCGGGTATGTGTGTTTGTCGGTGCTTGCCAAGGGCCGAAGTGGCCTATGATACAACCGTCTGGTGGTACAGCTTTTATCAATTTGTGAATATCTCAGTTCCTCCTTCCACTGAGAGTGATAATCATCGTTTGCCTATCTATCGGAATCCGACTCCTTTATTCAAACTTGGTCGTCTGTGCCGTGTTCAGAACTCGATATCGGCTGTGACCCATGTCCAAGCGGAGCTACGATAGCAGTGCTCACGAGAAACGCATCTCCAAGTATCGTGTCAACGACGACTGATTTGTTTGAGTACGTATGCTAATCAGTCAACATCGGCCACTTCATGTAATTGACTGTCTTCGGATCTGCGACATAGATATGTCCTTCGTGTAGCGTGCGTACCCTTGCCCCGCGTACCAGTACCAATCTCACGTATTTTATGTCATCTGCAGTATCCTCAGCTATGTCATCCAGCCGAAAGTATCGAATCACCACGCTAACACCTCCGAGGTAAAGGAGAAGGAACATCACTCGAAATTTTCAGGAGCCATATCCAACTCCATTGTATCCATAGGTGATATATTCAAGGACCTCAGGGATGGGTCGAAGAGTGTCAAGTTTCCAGAGAAACTCCTCAAAGTCTTGGAGCAGAGACTGCAGAATATAGCAATGGGGAAAGATGCTGCGTCCGTGGCATAACTGTGCTGTGCTCTAGGACTATATACTGACGTTAAGGTCGCAGGTATTCTGACCAATTAACAAGGCGAACAATGGCCGTCTTCTATGGACAGTTCATGGGGGACCCTTTCAGAAAGCAGATGAAGGAGAACAGGAGCATAGAGGAGTTGATCTTGATGTTTGCCTCACAAGCCACCAGCGTGCTCAGGAAGGAGCCCACACTCGCTGATGATGGATGGAAGGTTGAGGTGAACAACCAAATTGCACAGTTCGTGAGGATGCTTCGGGATTGCTTGAAGACTCTCAGCCATGTTTCGCCCGAGCTCAATTCACGCTTGGATATGTATCACGCCAAACTTGCACCGTCGCAGTCTTCGAATGATTCGGGGTACGACTCTGCATCCGCGTCGCGGGATTCTATCAGCACACAGCCAAGCATCAGCCAAAGCGTTTCAGATATGCCTTTTGTGATGATCGTGGCACGCCTGTTCAAGATTCCTGAGAGCGCCATGCAGAGCGAGGTGGATCGGATGCGGAAAACATGTACAGAGAAGGTAAGTGATATCCTCCCAGCATATTTTGCTACTGAACATCAGTAGGCTGCTGTTACAGACCTCAAGGTGAGACGCCATGTAAAAGAAGAGATATGTATTGACCGTGCACGTATCGCAGACTTGCCTGAAGAATATCAATTCTGGCGCCCCATTCCCCGGTAGAAGGGAAGACTTTAGTAGTGATACTGCGTGGAATCATTGGCGCACTCAGGAAACCTCCATTCTCTCCCAGCTCATGGTAGCGATGATGTCGCTTAATCCCGAACTTGCTAAGTCCATGCCTTCAGACAATGGTTCCGTCTATCCCACATCGGGGGCTCGTCCAAGCTCTACTCGTATCGACTCTCCTGGTGGAGCGAAGCGACACACTTCGATTGGGAGCCGACACTCGTTCTTCGGAGCTGCAGATGAAAGTGAGGAGAACGACGGCGACGAGGGGGACGATGACGAAGAGATTCGTGTTGGCCACAATTTTACGTTTATTCCGCCAAATCCCAAGAAATTCTACAGGCGTCTCATCGAATACTGTCTCGTCACGGATCTAGAGTTTATGTTCAGCCCCGAAGTGGACGACGCTGATGAAGTTCCCTTGAGTATCCTCAGCCCTCCCCATGTGGAACTTATAAACGAGTGTGCGATGCGTTGGCGCATAAACCATACATATCGTGTGACGTGTTTTTTGGATCAGATCAAACAGCTATATGAGCGTAGCGACGTTCCCATGGAGTGCATACCAGAGGCCCTGCAAGGCATCACGAAGTTATTGCAAGATCTCGAGATTGACAAGTGGCCCATCCATGATGTGCGTGGTTAATCCGCATGATTTATCTAACCCATCGCTCAGTTTCTTCATAGTCAGAATTATTGGCATCCATTTATGGTGGACTTTACAACATCTTCCTCTCTTCTCTATATCACGCCAGTGGATGCTTTGCCGAACCTAAAAGTCAGCGTGGTTCAGCCATATCTCACTATTCTCGACCACGTACGGGAGAGTGGACTCATCGAGCGTTTTGAGGCAGATATCAGTGCCCGTTTGGCAGACTTGACGACTCGCATACAAGATGTCTCAGTCCAGTATTATCAAGAGAAGATGCATACTTTGCAAGCAACTCCCGGAGTCAACCGGGCCTTACCATTGCTGCTGATGACGGACGAACTGGAGAAGGCAGCCAAACAGCTGGACAAGCGATTTCCTGATCCCCTTGTCGGGTACGACCTTGCACGAAGCTTGACTTCGCGATACTGATGTTATGTGCTTAGAGTGGTAGATCTAGTTTCTCTTGTGGTGGAAGCCCAGGTTCCACTGTTTATCAGCGAACTTCAGAACTCCTCGAAGCGTTTGTATGAATCGTCGATGAATGGTCCAACTCCAGACGTGCCTATACAAGACATATTCTCACTCTACCGACGAACGCAAGCGTTACTGTCAATGTACAAGGCATTTGCTCCTCAGTGAGTGTTTTCACGGGTTTATTGCGAAAAGCTCAATGTTTGCAAGGGGACAACTGGAGTTTGATCTTGGGCAGTTTTTCATGCCGTACGTTCATCAATGGCTCGTCGACACAGACAATAAGACCGGCCAATGGGTGCAAGCTGTAAGTCTCATTCACAGTCGCTGGGATTAAGCTGAACGAGAGTTATCAGGCAATAGCGGCGGACAAGGTTTGTGCTGTGTTTGTATTGTCCTATTTTCCACTTAAAGCTGTTTTAGTTCGAGGCAGAGAATACAGAAGGGCACAGTGCATCTATCGTCGATCTCTTTGACTCCCTCCGTAGTCCAATATCTTTCTTGCAGGACCTCGAGTGGTCAGATGAATATCAGGAGGCGAGATTCCTTACCAGTCTCTCCAAGGTGCTGATTCAGTACATTTTGGTCACATAGCGTTTGTTGACGGCGTTATTCCTAGACGATATCCAAGGCAATCGAGCAATACTGTCGCTCTGTTGAAGAGCTTTTCATGACAGAAATGTTTCCGCGCCCAGCGGACTATTTGCAGCCGCAGAAGTCCTCCGCTTGGCTCGAGAAAGCCAAGTTGCTTACAACGACAGGCGAGAAGAAAGTCGAACCATTCAACTTCCGCCCAGAGTCTTGCGTCAAGCTGAACAACGTCGAAGCTGCGCGGAAGCTCCTTGATAACCTGTATAACCAGATACAGGTGGACAAGGTCGCTGACACGATTGCTAATCACGGGCCGCCTGTTCCCGACAAAAACGAGCGGGCGCGATTCCTGTTTGCTGTGAAGATTGTTATGGCGGAGGATTTGATACCACTTGATAGTAGTCCGTCCTCATTACTGGACACCTTCGTGACGCTCAGCGATGAGGCTGGGAATCGCCTTGTGAAGACGAGAACGATTTATGAGAGCTTGAGCCCGCGTTGTAAGTCTCCGTCAAAACTCTTGGACATGACTCGCTTATATGGCAAAAAGGGGAAGAGACTCATGACATATCGGTCGACAAGCCTTTATGGTTAATGTGCAGTATACGTGATCGCGCGCTTGTGGGTCAACATGACGTTGTTGGTCGGTCCTTCATATGCCTCAATCCTAAGGAATTTGGCGATTTCTTGACCCACGATGTATGGCTGAACCTCGAGAACACCAACCATGGTCACCAAGGGAGGATACTTCTTCGAATAAGTATGGAAGGGGAGAAAGATGACGTGCAGTTCTACTTTGGCCGGGCTTTTCGATTCCTGAAGCGAAGTGAGGGAGACATGATGCGGATATTTATCGACAAAGTAAGCCGTCGAATATGATGCCTGGGTTCTTATTCTAAGTCTCGTTTGTTGCTAGATGTCACCATATATACGGCAGTCACTGTCCCGACCTATCCTCAAAACCTTGATCAAAGCCGGATCTCTAGGGCTGGATTACAACAGGGCACTTGGGAATGTCACAGCGCTCTATCGCTCAGCACTGGGCTCCAACGCTAGTGAGGTGCAGATACCTCTTCCTCAGAACGAGAAATCTCGTGTTCGGCCCGAGGAGCTCACCGACGTGGAGATTGAGCGCGCGATCATTCCTCTGTTCGATTATTTCGACGCCAACCTTCATATTCTCAACACCTATCTTAGCGAGACTGCAAAAGATATGGTGATGATGAGGGTCTGGAAGGAGATCTTAGTCGTAATAGAGGGTCTGCTCATACCGCCATTGTCCAAGCTCTCGAGTGACATGAAACCACTCAGTGACAAGGAGGTAGACATTGTTTTCAAGTGGTTGAAGGTGCGTGTAATACTCTCGTGCGCGTACATTCTTGATGGCTTCAAACTAGTTCCTCCGTGATTATTTCTATGCGGAAGGCGAAGGCATTCCGCTGGAAAAGCTACAGAACCAGAAATATCGGGATGTTGTCTCCATTCGCTTGTACTATGATTGGCATACGTACGCAATCTCGTTTCGTGTACTGGTAACGGCGCTTCATTTTCCTTGCAGGGATACTCTTATGGAAGAGTGCGTGCGTGCCATGCAACAAAGCTTGCGTGAAGCGGTTCCTGTCAAGAAGCGCGTGAAGAGCGTCTATAACCAGCGGAATCTGGGGACCATCAAGGAGCGCAAGAAGGTAAAGAAAGAGGAGAAAGAAGTCTCGAACGGTGAAACTATTATGAGAATCCTTCGCATGAGGTATGCGTTACACATCCCTGTGAGCGTCAATCCTAACCGAGACACACAGACCAAACACACAAGAGTTCATTACTCAGCAGCTTGAAATGATGACAACCGTGCAAGCTGAGCGCGAACGCGCACAAGTTGATAAACAGCAGCGAAGATCTCAACGACCGCGGCAGGCGGAAAGTCCTGAAGTTCCGCCACTGCCCTCCGCTGCCTCGTAGCCTTTGTACATCACAAACCGTATACCCTACAGGCCCTTTGTGTCATCTGTTGACGTATCTCAGGATGGGACGACGTGCCTACCTGTGTTTCCATCTTGAACTGAATTATTACGAACTCTCTAGTACAGTGGACAATTGCAATAACTGACGTACGAGAGGCTGCGGAAACTAGATTTGGATTTAAAAAGTGCAATTTCAAGACGTACAACGTAATGCACATCCCGTCTATACGCATCGAGATCAATGCGATGTGGGTCCTTTTGGTGACTGACAATTACGCATTGATAGTGTTTAGTCATTGAATACATGGCTGTTTCGAAGATACAACCAACATTGTTCTTTTCGAATGTCATAGTCGCGGTCACGGCGAGGTAATGTGTCAAATAATCAAAGTACAGCTGGGGATTCCTCAGTGACTTGTATTTGTTCAATGTACCTAAAATGATGTCCAGTGCTCCTGGGAGTAAGTATCACACTTGAATTTCACTCACCATCGCGGGTAGTACAATCGCGGCGCTTCAACATTATAAATCTACCTTATATAGCGAATGTTATACTTCATCACAGCCTTGGTGTGTTGTTTGTGTTTGCAGAAGTTGCGACTTGTGCATGTGAAAAGTCACCCACACGGTGTCCACAGCGACGGCGACCCTTGTGAGGACAATGGCTCTTTATTTTCTAGATCAGTTACTCTCCTGTGTTCGAATTCTATCAAAAGCAGGCCGGTGGCCAGTGAAAGTTTCAGGTTAATTCACTCCGCGTCCTTCTATTCACTTCAGCTGCCATTGAAAGCATTATCGTTCCCTTTTTTCTTTATCTGTTGCTGGTCATCTTCTACTTTTGTAGCTTTTAAATCTTCTCTAGTGATTGGCGGTTTAGTATCACTTTAGTTTTCTGTTGCGTCTACATTGCCCGCGATGCTACCCGCCAAAGCTTGTGAGTCGCTGCCATCCAGGAATGTGCTTGCCAGTTAACAGCATGGTGGCCGTTAGATATCTTCATCAGTCTTAATGCTGTCCGCACTCTTAGCATTATCGCCCTTCTTTTAGTTTTTTCCAGCAGCATCCTGGTGATGGTTGATGACATCGAGGCAGTCAATGCATTTGTCAATGGCGGGAGCAACTCAAACTCCACAACTAACTATGCCTACATCCAGTAAGTTCTTTGGGTGTATCATCGCGAGTGTTCTCAATTTGCTGGCTAGAAATAGTACAGTTCCTAATCAGCCAGCTGGCGTGTTTTGGGCAGTATTGAATCGGTTGTTGATCATTGCACAAGCCGTCGTCTTGATTCTCTCAGAACTAGGTATGATATTGGAAACAATGTGTGAGTATGCGTCATCTCAACCTCTCAAGGCTGGCCCGCCGCGTTCTTTGATCACTACTTCCCCGTTCTCGGGAGCAACTTTGGAGTAGGTGCTCTGGGAGTGATGCAATGTCTGTAAGTTGACAAGCCTCTCCAATCGGTTTCTTACCAACTAATCCGGTACATCAACAGCATCGGAGCTTCTGTTCTTTCTCACTTTGTCAAAGTCTTCCCCCTTGTCTCTGGTTTCCTCCTCTTTTCCATTGGCTGTCTCAACATGCTAATCGGCCTTATCTTCCGAGAACACGTCAAGGCTACGCGTTCTATATTGTCTTTCCGGGATCGAGCAGAGGATGTGCTATCGTCTCTCGATAAAACCAAAGAAACAGCATTCAGCAAATATAGGATGGATCGAGACGCAGAGATGGGTGCGTGACAATATTCGAGTTTGCCCAGGCGTCACTGACTTTTACTCGTTGTAGGCCTGAGCGTCAAAGAACCGGATGTTGTGCACACTGACACTTAGCTGTGTTATCCATGCCATCATCCCCCAATTCCCGCCAGTACTATTTAATACAAGTGATCAATGTCCGAAATGCTCTTGGGTACTAAAAATGTATTTCTTTATCTATCCTTACGGTTTGCACTGAACTGTGAATATACTCAACCCACTATGTCATCGAAGAAGCAAGAAGTTCTCAGGAGAGATATCGCGCAGGGAAGGTGCAAGCGCTCATGGTACTTATTTTTTGAGCATCCCAAATGCGGAAGAGGCAGAGCTGCAAGCGCTTGCGTGTTTGTTTGTGGCCAACAAATAACGACCGGATCACTCACCGCATGATCTTGATACATCAACATCAACGGTACACTAAGGTCCCAAGGCTTAGCATCTGTCGTCCGCTCTTTCACTAAAAGGAAGACTGTCAGCTGCAAAGTTTCGGGACATTGTGTCCGCTGTGCAGGTCAGAGACCCGAGCCCCCCTTCCGACATCAATACAGCTTGTCCTAGACTCATTATGCCATACTACCAACGTATTCATGAAGTAGATCTGAGAATCCCTCGCAATATCTCATCAATATTCATACAGTAGACTTCGATTTTGACAATATTTGACGTAGTCTACCCGTTGCGTTTTTACGAGTCCGTTGAATAATTTATTACAGAAGTCTGTGCCCGAGGGGATGTATGCTACGCTCTTGCAAATCGAAGAGAAAGCCTCCCGGCCGGGTGGTATCGGTATGCACACTGAGGGCCGCTCACTTGAAGTTCGTGTCATGCATCCAGTATTTTGTAGCAGATTGATCCATTAGTACGAATCGCTGATGGTAACCTAGACACGCTGCGAAAAAAAAGAATTGCTCTCTTGGTAAATTTATACTCTTTCAAGATCATCCTGAGGTGCTCCCGAGTTCAAGATATAGGATACCCTAGTAGCTGTTCTCATGGTGGCGGCATAATTCCGCGATGCAACTTCACCTTGTCATCTGGGCCTCATACCGCCGTCAAAGATAGAGCAGACACGAAGCATTCCATTTTTTCACATACGTTGAGCTGGAAAAATACTACTGAAACACTAATGTAATACAATCACACGTAATGTACAAAGAAACTGGACGCCCACATATTGGCGATGGAGAAGGGGGGGTATGCTTGCACAGGTATAGAGAGCGGTCAGCATGTCCGCAAAATGGTCATGAACGTCGTTGCAGAACGACAACGTGAAAAGCAGCAAAGGGCAACGTCGTAACGCCACGAAGACCTCGGGGATACGTGGCAGTGGTTTAACCAAAACCAATTTGATCCCAGCATGAACACTTCCGATAGGTCCAACATTTGGATGCGAATCAGTCTTCCTCCGGAACTTCGTAAATACTGGACAATGAAAGTCGGCGACGTGGAGTCATGAGACTCGCGCTGCTCCTACGACGGCGGTGGCTGCGTTTGGAGGGAAGGGGTATGGAGCTTGACAGTGAGTGAATGTTGTTTGACGGATGCGAGGTGGAGACCGAGGAAATAGACAAGTCGTCGGATAAGGACGACATGGAAGATGACGGAGATGAACTATAAATGATGTAGGGTTCTTCCTCTTCCTCGCCCGATGATAAAGAGAGCGATGAGGCAGAAGTAGTCAAACGGGTAATATCACTATTTTCTGGCATCTGTGATGATGCTGCAAGACTACCGGAACAGCCAAAGGTCATCTGAAAATCGCGTTAGTGACATAATCCATGATAATTTGCAGTGATGACAACCAACCACATCCTGCCGTGCACTGGTCGCTCGAATCCACTCAGCAACGCGACGCGCCCATTCTCTCTTTTTCAAAAACTCAATCCGTTCCTTCCTCTGCTGCGCGGTTTCGATGAAATGTTGCTGTCTCCCGCGCACATCATACGGAGGGGAATAAACAGGGGTCGTAGCTGAATGTGATGAAGCGACTAGGAGATCGTTCACAGGGTATCCTGCATCATATAATGGGGACATCGTAGAAATCTAGAGTGGGTCGGTCTAGATAGTGATGGTAATCTGAAAAGGGTGGAAAGTTGTGTACGAGGGTTGTCTCTGATTATATATGACGGCATGAATCGTGGTCTAGAATGTTTTCCAGAAGCGGTTCAACCTGTCTCGGATTAGTCAACGTAAATTTCATTTATGAATCCGATTCATTTTTGTGTAGGAATTATCCGAATCGGATCCGGCGTTCAATTATATAGTCGATCCGAACGTCTTGGAAAATGGACTAAGGCCTATGTTACTAGCTAGTAGCTGAAGCGAGCTCAAGAAGCTGAAAGTTGCATGGCCTTACGCGGATCACAAAATCTGGACCGGCAGGCGCCGGGAAAAATGAAGAGGGACTCCATCTGCAAAATTAATGCCGCCGGCTCTTGCCAGCATCCCCCTTAATAGTCCTGACATGAACGGTCCGACATGCATCGTGTGCACGACACTGCTTACAAGTTCAGGCTCACCGTAATCGCAGACACAGTCATCTGACTATATTTTGATTCATGCTTTCGCGTCCGCGGTGATACGGCGAAACCCATTTTATAGATATCAGTCTGTGTTTCGGATCGGGCGAGAAACTGATCGGTGCCAGTACTAACAATATGCAATCAGGTGTGCCCCTCGTACCTTTCTTCTGCTCTGCTTTTAAGCCCTTCAGCCATAGCTATAAATCCCTTCTTCAGTCCATTCCTGACAAAGGCCCTGATCAAATACGCGAGGAGCCCACCAAATACCCCAATCGTCTCATAACGTGTTTTGCCTCCCTCGACTTCTACGAGCGCCTGCCACCGTTCCGCGGTGAGTAACCAGTGTGGCATTTCGATATTCGCCCATGCTGTACGATAATTTTCATGATCCAACGTGGAAATCCGCTCAAAGGAAGAGCTGGGCAACCACTTGGTGTTGAAGGACGGAGGAATATGCACCGGGTGGATATAGAGGTAACACCCTTCACGTGGAGTCTCGTCGGGCAGGTAATTCTTCCGTGCATCTGTGATGCACTGGTCTCGCCTTGTCAAGTCATTCGCATCAACTGGTATGCAAAGGATATGGACAGCATAGCTTACACGAACGGATTCCTAAATGCCAGTTGGGTGATAGCATGGAGAGTTAGATCTGCCAGTCATCGTCAAGTGCGCAGCATTTACCATTCCTTATATGACTTCCAGTCCATTAATACTTCCCACACTACTTCGCGAGGCGCATTTATGAGACATGAAGACGAAACTGAGAAGACTCCTTTCGAGGAAAGTGGGGGAAGACCAGAAGCTGTAGACGCCATAAGATTTCAAGTAAGTTGGTAGCAAGTACAAAGTTCCGGTAACTGTCGGCTGTGAATTATATAAGCACAGATGATATACCATATTAAGTCGGCGACCCCTCTTACATACAACTTCTCCTATCTCTTAATCCTTCCAATATGTCTCTCGACGATAATACATACAGCGCGAGCACCCTTACCCTATTAGATGAATATGCGTTCAAGAGCGATCCTCTCGCAATGATAAACAACACTGAGCTAGGGACAAACATCGAGTTGAAGCCTCATGCAAAGGCTATTCTTTTGGACGTGGGATCTGTGATAACCTCAATTGGCCCTGTAGCACGGAGTCAGAACATCTGACCTATTGGACGCAATAATGCAGGGCTTAGAGACAGCTGGTTTGCCAAATGGTGTACGTTACATAGCGGCTGCCATCGTAGTGGCCTATCAGAAGGGAGAAGTGTCCAACTCCTCTGTACCCGAGTTAATGAAGTTGGAGCATGATTGGTTTTTCTTCTTTCTCTGGCCTTGTATGTTGTCTTCTTTGTTCACAAGCTGTTTCTCATGGTGCGAAAGTCAGGAGAGCCTTCATACCTGGCGGCTCTCCACAATCCGAGTCCTCTGAGTCCACTCCCGCTCTCCGTGCTTCCGAAGTCGTTGCTGATACTGTGCCCACAACATCGTGAGGCTCCAAATTCCGGAATTTTGTATGCTGCAGTGTCTCGCCTTGTTCTTTGCAGGATCTTCATCTGAAGACCGTCTAGATTAGCGAACGAGATGACAAGTGTGTGGTCACTGTAACCTTCAATATACAGAAGGGTCCATATCCCCCCAGTACTTAGGGCCGTGAAGGGCTCCTCCATGCTGCTCACATCCTCTGAAGATGTATTGTTCACGAGCATTCCGGATGCAATGTATGTTTTCAGCTGTCAAACTGCTGTACTCATCCAGCTGATTTTTCTGCAGCGAATCGCGGGCATGATCGACATCATTAAGCATTTTACCAAGCTCCTTGAGAAGATCATGGACGACCTAGCTGGTATCGCCGATAATGCAGAAAATGGAATATTACTTGATACGACAATGCATGATACATTCAACAGCTATATGTGGTGCCCACACCTCACAGTATGGCTATGTTTTGTCGTGAAATTCCAGATACTCATGCCTTTGAAAGGATGTCTTGCACAAATATACAGTGCACTGGTTCCGTCCCGACTCTCGTCCCTATGGGTATGGGGAATTTCCAGGATTACTCTCAAACTGGCATTCCGCTTCCCAGCCCCACGTACATTGCGCTCCATTGTGCAGTTCCCCATGTCCTACACCTCAGTGGGGCTGCAGAAGTCATCAACACGGTTTATGATATGTCCTTCAATGAATGTTCTACGGCGCCATCTGAAAATCGTTTTAGCAAGTTTTTCTCATCAGACTCTCGTTGATCGAACTGAAGACAAACAAACACCAATTAGCAACCAACCTCATGAGATACACGCACGTTGGTGAGACTGTTCCTCGGGGCGGGCGAGTGTTTTCAATCAAACACGTCAACCAGACCGATATATCACCGTGCCACTGTCATGAGTCTTTTTGTCAATGAAAGGTATACGCCAAGCTAATCACGATCACAATGTCCACTGCCCTGTGTAATGTGTTTTGGAGGGGCTTAGATGTTCAAGTCATATATCTAATCTCTTCACCAGTTCTGACTGATGAGTGAACATGACAAATTTACTCAACCGAAAGCGGACTATTATTGTTACGTCAGCATTTTTTTTGATCCAGACAGTTGCGAATGATCATAATAGTCACTCATAGCGTTTGTGGAGGGCTAGTAAGATCTGGTTAAGACAACTCGGACGTGTTGTAATATGCCGTCTGCGCTTGCGAGTCAGTTGGTCGCGTCTGCATCTCTAAATGCATCCCTTCTCGACGCTCACACCAACAAACGGAGACGAACAGAGTCGTATCTTTTCACTGGTCGAGATGCCGATATCCATGACCTCGACTCGATCCATGCACTTGCTAGCAATGCCTTCGCGCAATTATCCTCATTGTCTCCTGCTTTCACTGCGCGAACCATAAAATTGGCTTCAGATGGGTCTTCCTTGTCTGTGGACTTTGACCAAACTTTATTTTCCGAGGCTGCAAGGAATGTCGACCGCACCATGCAATCTCGGGAAGTGAACGCGAACCTCGATCGCACGCTGAATGCATTTCTGTCACTGTTAGGACCGTGGCTCATGGAGGCACCCACAAGCAAAGTATTAGAGTGGCTGGTCAGGAGATTTCGGTATGTGTTTGTACCATCTTCTGAGCTTCTGCAATTGACAATGTCCTTGAAGCATCAATGAATTCAATGTCGATGCAGTTCTTTCCCTCTTTTTCCCTTATCATGAATCCCCGCACTTTGTCAAAATGCTCTCAATCTTACACATATCGTGCGTTTCGTTTCGCTTCGCTCGTGCCAGTTTCATTTTTGACATCCATCCTCAGCTCTTCCTCCATCTTTTCATTTCTGCTACCATTTAAATCAGCAGCAACGCCTCTTGCACGGAGTTCGATGGTCAAAGCCATGGCTGCCAACCAGGCGGTGGCAAGATTTATTGCATCATTATTTCCAACTGCGATGAGAGGTAAGAATGTGTCCGAACTCACTCTTAGCCCCAACATAACGCTTTCAGGCTCATGTTCTCATCGTACACTCGTGGCTTTCAATGCAGCCACAATGCACGACTATATCGCATCTTCGCCGACTCTAGATGAAGGCGTTGTTGCGTTTTTGCTGTCGGCTCTCCTCGCGCCGTTTCAGACTAGTCACAGTGATGCCAACGCAACTGCAAGTCTCCCCAGTACGACGCCTTAGTATTACTAACATGATGCCTTCCCTTAGCTTGGCAGCTACGTACTGCTTTCCACACTCTCGCATAAAGTTTCACTGTCATCTGCTGCCGTGGCAGCTATCGTTGGAGCAATGGCCACTTCGGCTGCTTCAAAGGGCAAACGGAATACAAAGGACAACAGATCTAGCGAACAATTTATCAAAGTCGCAATTGCAGTATGCTCACCTCAAGAAGAGCTTGAAGCTTTTCACGCCAGCACAGGAAATTCATGTCTAAAGATTCCGTAAGTCAACTTTGGGAATGGTGTTTATTTGATGTTGAGATTGTGGTCGCAGCACATTTACGGAAGAACTTCGAAGTGCAGTTCAGTTTGTTGGAGCGGAAAAGTTTATCTTGCCGCTCCTTAAATGTCTCAAACCCCGGTGTGTTCAGGCTAGCTCAACCACTGAGGACAAGGTCTAATTATCTCCCAGACTCGAGGAGCCAGCTGTATCTTCTCTTTACGCTGCGATTCTTAGTGCCACGGGTACCCCTCTGAGATTGCTTGAGCGTTTGGTGTCCTCGCTCATACGATTGATTCTCGCTGGCAGCAACGAAGAGTCTGTCGCAACTTCAACAACTAATGCTGCGCGTGCACTCTTGTCTCTCGTCCATCAACGTCACGTTGATATTCTTCGTGATGCCGTGGGCGAAATCATCGATGAAGGAGAGAGCGAGTATAAAGGCGACGATCAGCGAACAAAAAAGAAAGAGCGGAAGAAGAAAGCGGATGAGTTGATGATCTCGTTTTCAGTGGTAAGTTTCCGTAGCGTGTCATTACATATATTAGGTTAAGCACCTTTTCAGAGTCATCCGTGGGCTCAAAGTACCAACGTCAATGAGATTGTTGTTGCTTCAACAAGCTCCACCAAGGAGGCACGCGTCGGAGCTGTCGAGCAGCTGTACAAAATTTTACAAGGGGGGTTGACGCTCGAGGCATCTGATAGGGTAGTGCTATCGACGTCGCTGTCCCTAATTTTTTTTTACTAACATCAGTATTTTAAGGCCTCAATACAATCAGCTCTGCTCGCTCGTGTCTATGATACGCACGCTGGAGTTCTCCACGCGCTGTACTCTTCGCCTGAAGTATTCCTCTCGACGGTAACTTCAAGCATCACCCCTCAAAAACTCCTGGATACCGTCGTCTCGCAGATTGTTCCCGACCCACCAGCTCGCACTGTTCTTATTGCGCACGTTGCTTTTCTCGCCGGTCATTTTAGTCAGACCTACCCGGAGTTATCACAAGCCGTACAAGAACGTGTGCTATTTCCGTACCTGCTTGCCAGCAAATCAAAGTTCAGGACTGCGCGAAGAGTGTGGAAGGCACTGAAGGAGGTCGGGGGTACTACGACTGGATGGTTGAGAGGTTGTGTGGACATCTGGGAAAAGGCTGACCTTTTACGTGGCAAGAAGGATGAGGAGAGCGACGAGGCAGACGTGGATATGGAAAAAATTTGCCAGGCCAATCTCGATGTGGCAGCCAAAATTGCAGGTGCGTGTTCATTTTCCTGTGATGTCATCATTTGCTTATTTTTTTCGCAGAGAACATCCTTACTTCCAATGACAGTTCAAGCGATATTTCCCTCATTCTCTTCAAGCTACATGACCTCCTTCCACACGGTCGCGCCCTTGCCTACCTAGTCGTCCGCGTTTTGCTACTCAACACGTCATGTGGACAGCAGGTCGACATAGCCTTGCAGGCTCTGGCCGCGATGAAGTTGCAATCTGTTGACGGTTTCGGTGATCTCGCAGATAGCTGCACGAACTTACAAGAGGCATGACTATCTTCGTCCCCTTCTTCAATGTGCTGAATATGTGACAGGGACTCAATGATGGTACGCTGGGCATGAAAGTCGCGACAAAGCCTGGAGGAAGAATCACCGTGATGTTTCTTCAGGCGTCCATATTGGCGCTGATCCCAGCTGTTCGGCTAGTTGACACACGTACACCTACTTGGATTACAACTTCATCATTGGTGCGTTTTCAAGCCCGACTGTTTACCAGTTGCTCACTTACATACTAGAATGATTTGCCATCTGAAAAGAAGAGCATTGAAGGCCGCTACGTTACTCTCATGCAGGACCTATACGTTATCGCTGTCGCTTCTGGAAGTGCCACTCCATCGCAGTTGTCTACCCATCTCATCCAGGCACTCTTTCTAAACCTGAGAGATACTTCTCTTATGTTCTTACTTGGCGTCCTTCTTTCGCGATCTCCAGCCCTGGAGCGCGTGCGAACACGTGCGATCTTGCATGCTTTAGCGTTCTTACGCGGGCACAACTCTCACAATGCCGTCGACTTTCAGACAGTATTGCCTTCGTTCATAGCGGTGCTCATGGATGCGCGGACAGACAAGCAAGGACGTGCTTTGATATTCGAGTGTATCTCGGTGTTGGCGTCTACCTCGGAGAGGAAACATGTCTATGGGCTGGACACTATATACGGAGCAGAGTCTAGTAAGTTTCCTATACCTGTCATACTACCCGACCTCACGGGCATTTCACTACTTAGCGCACCTTCAATACCTTGACGCAAAGGATCTCGAGACTTGTTTGAAGGCCCTCCTCGAATGCCGCACTCTCCTTGCGCAAGACGGTAATTATATCAAAGTATTCCACCAACAACACTTTGCCGCTGCCAGTGCAAAGTATGTTTGCCTCGTAACCATGTATTCATTTTTTATTTATTTTTTCTTGACTCAGATACAGGCGCCGAGTGATCTGTTACTTGCTGTCGCACGCAGTCACTCATCCAGTGCCCGAAGCTCGCATATCCATCATGTCGTCTGTCGAGGACGTGTCAGACACTGCAAGATCGCACATGGTGATATCTGCCATGGAGACATTGGCCAAGGATCCAGCTCCCATCTCAAAATTATTCGGCGTCAACTTCCACCGGTACACCGCTCTCGTAGCATCTACATTCCTCAGCGTCCCTGTTGGAGATTTGAATGGAGGCCCTGAAAATTCAGTTTGGCAGGTGTTCGGTTTGGCGTTGCAAACATACTTCAAGCCAAGTAAGAATTTTTCTCTTTTTCACATGGCGGTAGCTTAATGCCTTGTAGATGCAATCGCTGCAGTTAGGAAACTTTTTTCAGGCGCGTTAGAAGAGAGACTTTTTGCGCATCTCGACATGACACGGCAGGCTCAAATTTGCGACATCCTTTTGTCAGCAGGATCGCTGGGCAATGAAGTGGTATGGTGACGTGCCAACTGTAACCGGAATTAGGGCTAACTGCAATAATAGTATGTGTGCGCGAAGGAGCTTCTGAGCAACCTTCTCCAGGACGTCCATCTGATTAATCATCTGCTCGTGGTTTATCAACCTAATGGAGCTCAGCCGGATACTCCTGCTAGTAAACGTGCTAAGCTCGATAAGTATGCGTCCTTACTTTGTCTTTGCGTCCTGTCCTCATATTTCCTCCGATACAGCTCGTCTCACGGAAATGTCGAGGAAAAAATGTCGATATTTACTTTCCTTGCTGAAGTTCTCGGAACGAAGGAACTTCCTGGGTCACTTGACCTTCTAACACAGCTCCTTGACACTCTTGGCAAAATTATCCATTACGACTCGCCGATTCCATCCGATACGAGCTATCCTTGCCAGATGTTAATGGCTGCTGTGGAACAAGCAGCGAGCAAAATCACGGTATTTAATTATATTGCGCGTACAATGGCAACTCTCTGACTGCGATGAGAAGGAGCCTCTTGCTAGACCCATACGATTAGACATTCTTGTCGAAATCATCAGAGGTTTGGTTTACTTTCTGATTTTTTGTGCTGACTGAAACCTTGTCACAGTATCGGAAAACCCGCAGACGTTCCATCAGGCACTCCTCCTCATGGCAAGTCTGGCTCGACTCACGCCCGATTCAGTGCTTCATAACATCATGCCCATCTTCACATTTATGGGCACCAATGTGTTCCATCGTGACGACTCGTACAGCTTCAAGGTGGTGCAAAACGTAAGCATATCTGTGGCTCGTGGGATGTATTGTTTGATTTATATTCACCTACAGACTATCGAGAACATTGTTCCTGTCATGGTGTCATCGCTCAAATCCCGACACCCTCCTGGACTCGAACTTTACATTGGTGCTACGGAGTTCTTGCGGATCTTCACGGACGCGTCCAACCATATCCCACGTCATCGTCGACAAAAGTATGTCCATCAAGGATCTGACGCTCGTGACTTAGTGCTGATATACGAGCTAGCTTTTTCATACATCTCGCCGATGTGCTTGGGCCTCAAGAATTCTTGGCCCCAATTTGCATGTCGCTGGTGGACAGGGTGGCTAATCGGGTGAGTCGGCAACATGAGGATGAGGCTTCAACCTCGTTAGGACTCCCGATATTACTGCTACGCCATTTCCCCCGAGAGCTACATCTTCATGTAAGTTTTCCGTGGAGAGTCTGGATGCGGCTGACGCCCCACAGGTTCTTAAAGAAGTGTTGCGGGAAGCGAAAAGGCTTATTCGCAATATCGCATTTCCTGACGAGGCAGGTGCTACCTTTTTGGATTATGTTCAGTACGAGAACCGATCACTTTTCTCTCACTTTCGTACTCATACATCCATTGCAGCGATGATGAGCACTCTGCGAGATCGTCCTCTATCATCAAGCGACGTGCTCAGGCGCTGATTATGTTTGTCGGCTATGCCATCACACCCACGCCTTCCACCGATATATCAACGGGCGACAACGCGACAACGGAACTTGTCTCTCTTTTGGTCGATCTTGGCACAATGGAAGGCGACAGCAACATTTCAGACATCGTGTCGGTCACACAACAGACCACATCAAAAGTGATGAATGCCATCGGGGCAGCAGACTTCCTGAACGGAGCTTTAGTCATGCTGCAATCAGATGAGACTAGGGTAGGATTACATTTTCCGTAGGAGATTCTTTCTCATCTCGTTTCCAGATCAAAGCTGGTGCTCTTGAAATCCTCGCAGAGAGGATACCCAAAGTTACAGAAGCAGTCCGTCGCGAACAACAGAAGACTGCTATATCGATTATCGATTGCATTCGGGATGTCGTTTCTCGCCAGTCAGCCGGTGTACTAGTCAATTCAGCACTCAATGCTTTGAGAGCGATCGGCTCCTCCATTTGTCCTGGGAGGAGTCAGCATTGGTATCTACTGTCCCTTCTGTCATCAAAATTATCAAAGCACGTGCATCGTTGCAATCTGCTGTAGCTGTGTTACCGTGTTACGTGTATGGGGCCTTTCTTCCCTTGTGTTTCACGTTACTGAAGAATTCGTAGATCCTCTCTTGGACCTCGGCTTATACCTCACTTCCGAGAGATTGCACAAGAGTGTACATCAGTCCTCCAAGAAGGATTGAGTGGCAAAATGGGTGAGCGGCTTGTCTCCCATGCAAACTCGCGTCACAGCTGTTGACTGTTCTGCTCGAATAGCGCAATCTTCAGTGGATAGTACAATTTCTACCCTACAGGGCTTGGTATCGACGCTTCCTGCTTTCTACGGTGCTGCAGAACTCAGAGGCATCGTCAAACTTCATCTGGAATACTCTGTCACTTTGAGTGGTCCCATGACAGGGTTTAATGAAAGCTATTGCAAAGAAGATCCCAGCAACATGCTACTACCGGTACTCTGCGATCTGTGGCCCAATTTGGAAAAATCTCAGAAAAAGGCATGCACCTCGTGAAATGAACATGATTTGGAATATTAATGTTCTGTGACAGGAACATGTTGATAGACTCGTCGCATTTTTTGTCTTTTTCAAACGCAGTCTTCGGGTAGCTCGACGTCCTGACATCCAGGAACATATCCGTTCAATTTTTTCAGTATTCCTCGACGGCTTTGGCGTGAATATGAAGTCTACGACTGGTTCCAGAGATGTGAGTCTCTTTGTTGTGACTTGCGGTGAGACTAACCGGTGCCAGGGAGAACCTCATATTATTTCGGCATTCTTGGAACTTGTTGTGAAGCTTAACGAGACGGCCTTCAGACCGTTTTTCCGTCGTTTGTATGACTGGGCATTCGCAGCTGAGAGTGGTGAGTTACTCCCTATCAGAATCGTCTTTCTCTTTCTGAGCATCGTACAGAAAACATTGAGCGTAAGGTCACGTTTTGTCACATGTACTCTGCCTTGTTGGACTATTTCAAGGTGCGCTCGAAACACATCTTTCAAATATGCCATTATTAATCTAGTGCAGGGCTTGATGAACCCTTACATGACGATGCTTCTGCAGGCTTTGTGCGACATATTGGAGTCTTTGGCCACAGGGTCCATTCAAAATCCGTCTCTATGGTTGTCAACAGTCGAGACCCTCACAAAGAGTTTCGAAAATGACGACGGTGGTGAGAACACACAACTCACATCACGCCGCACCACTCACTCGTGATTTTTCCAGTGTTCTGGCGTGACGACAAACTGACCTCTGTAGCGAAGCCTCTGACAGCGCAAGTTTCGAGTTGCATCAGATTGAATATCACAGACGGGAAACAAGCACTAACGAACTGCTTGATTGCCATGACGAGCGTGGCCGTGGATGATTCCTTACTCAAGTCCATCAACCTTGACCTGCTCATGCACACTCGCGCAGAGGATGCTCGTGAGCGCATATTCGCTCTATCCTGCTCAGAAGCCCTCTGGCGCGAACAGGGTGGGAAGCTCATTGGTTCGTACTCGTGTCATTCATGCCATCAAGGAGGATAATGCTAACACCATGATAGGTTTCGTAGCAGAAACCGCTACATTCATTAGTGAGTGTGCTGAGGACGAGAACGACAGTGTCGTCCGTGAGACACATAAACTTAAGAATGCAGTTGAAGGCGTGGCCGGGAGTATCAGTGGATTATGAGCATGTTTAAAAGGGTGTAAGCTTGATAGATGGTAGCTAGATGAAATACTAGTCATGTTTTTCATCTAGTGCATCAGTAACATAGCCGGCCAATGAAAATCGTTCGTCGTTCATCATCGTTAATCGGTGATCTAGGGAGGAATACATTTAGGCTCGAGGCTCCGAAACACAAGATAAATTTGTGATGACGAATATTTTAGCCCTACTAGAGTGTGAACAAAATATCATTTAAGACAAGAAAAATGCCAAAAATTTTGGTCCTTCCTGTCCTTTCAAGTTCTTATCAAACCTTGGCACCTTCGACACCATGTGTCGTCTTTATCGAAGTTGTTGTCACCGGTTACATCTTTCCGTCTCGGACACTCACACATTTGATGTTTTTAATGTTATCCTCTACCTCAGCGTTGTTGATCACGTCCGCTCAGACTGATGATACATCCAGCGCGAGCACTCTTGCCCTGTTAGATGATTATGCATTCAAAAGCAACCCTCTCACCATGATGGGCGACACTGGGCCGGAGACGAACGACCAGTTGATCTCGAAGAATCGCCTTGGCACGACGTGTGTCGTTCAAAGGCCATTCTTCAGAATATGGAATCTACGCTAGCCTCAGTGCACGGGGTCGGTGCATCTACCCAACGATAGAGGACTCAAAAGAAAGTTGGTTTGTCAAGCAGTATACGCTACGCAGCGGCTGCCATCATAGTGGCCTATCAAACGGGAAAAGCGTCCAACTCCTCTACGTCCGAGTAAACCAACTTCAAAACAACAGCCAATTTTGCGCTAATTTGGCACAAGATTGGTTGTTGTGCTTTCTCTGGCCTTGTAAGTCATCTGCTTTATTCGCAAGCTGCTGCTCATGGTAGGAAAGTTAAGAAAGCCTTTAGACCCGGCCACTCTCTACAATCGGATATCTCTCTTTGTCCCCTGGCCATACTGATCGATCCATGTCTCTTGCCTCAGCCTTCAAAACTCATTCCAGCAGCGGGGCATGATGCATGATGTCTGACCTCAATGAGGTTATTGAGCTCTACCGTGCGGCGCTATTGCTCCGTCCCCCTGGTCATGTCCACTAATTCATGTCTCTCAATAACCTTGCCATCAGCCTTACAGAGAGATTCGAGCGGCAGGGTATGCCGTCTGACTTGAATGAGGCTATCGAGCCGCACTGGCACTGTCTTCCTGGTTATGTAAATCAATCCCTGTCTCAAACTGCACCTTGGAAGTGCTGACCGGTGCTAGGTGCAGCGCTGCTGGTCACATGCACACACCAGCAGTTGCCAGTTTGGGAGTTTTCAAGTCTCTATGGTTGTCAACAGTCGAGGCCCTCACAAAGAGTTTCGAAAATAACGACAGTGATGAGAACGCGACTTACATTACGCCGCACTACTGACTTGCGAATTTTCCAGTGTTCTGGCCTGACAACAAACTGACCTCGGTAGCGAAGCCTATGGTAGCGCAAGTTTCGAGTTGCATTAGATTGAATATCACAGACGGGAAACAAGCGCTAATGAATTACTTGATTGCTATTTACTTGATCGAACCAAGTCGAAGTACTAACGAAGGTCGCAAAGGCAGTAACAGTGCTGGACCAACGTGATCAGCCTTAGTAACTTTGATGCGCCTCAAGCGCTCATGCGAGCCATGTTTCTCACCAGCAATGCGTTCAACCTTTTTTCAATTCCTTCATCCAAGATGGGATCCTTGCCCTCTTTCCCTTAGATGTTATTTCTCAAAAAACTGGAAGGGAGGATGAGCATCTAGATAGGCAAACAGCGCAATTCTAGAAAGCGCCTGCACTGGAGTTTTATCCTCTTCCCCAGGACGTCTGATTTTGGGATTAGCTTGTTTGTGTGAGACAATATATGATACGATATCGGGATTGATACGACGCAAAGATATCGTTCATGTGGAAGTGTTGTCAAGGTATGAAGTGAAAATGTCCCGTGAAGCTTCGCAGCTACAATATCTCCAGCGTCCTAACGTCCATCATGTCATCAACAGAAGTCGTGTCCCTGACTTGTGCGATGATATTGTTATCCGAGGCAATTCTCTTATACTCCCCACCACGCTGTTGCGCTAGCAAAAGTGCACCAAAAGGACGAGAAAGGCGAACGAGCAACCTCAACCCTCTGGTGACCAGTTCATCATCTCCAGGCTCGTCAGGCCAATCGTCCACGCTTTGCGACTCGTCTGTAAAGTCGAGATCATACCGATTCCACGGACGGACGAACAAGAATGTCTGCCGAGTACGTCTTGCAGGCGAGAATTGAACAAGCTTGTCTCCCGTTGTGACCAGCAGGTCTTGTAGTCCGTCTGCCTTGACTTCATATGTGAAACATTTGTCCCCGTCTCCGCCAGTACTCCGCCTGACTTCTGTGAGAGGAAATGTGATACAGGGCAGTTGCAGTCTGGAGTTTGCGAAACGAGGAACGCCAAGGTGCTCAAGAATGGTATACAATTTCGAAGCCGACTCCACAGCCACAATATTGTTTCGTAGTGCGGAGACCGAATTATGTATGTCGTGTTCAGATAGAGATGGTAGCATGCACGGTAGAGCCTTGTATGAGGAAATCTCGGCTGGGAGACAACTGTTGAACTTGGACGCTTGTCCTACCCAGTCTAGGGCTGTGATGTCGCCTGAGTGAGCTATAATCTCCTGTAAGAGACGTCCGAGCGCATTCTGTCTTTTTTCTCCGTAGATCACAGGAAGGTGGACGCCGAAGATGCCAAACAGCGAATACGCGATGTCTTCCTGCAACGTAGTGACACGCGTTGATGCCCATCGAAGTTTCTCTCGGGCATTTCTCATCCCCGGGCGGAAGGCCACGAGCGCCCGCGCATTTATGCCAGTTGAACGCTCCAACTCCTGCGTAATAGCGACAGACTCCTTGTGGTTGCGTGAGCGGTCGTCGAGATATAGGGTCCAATCTGCTTGGTAGAAGAGAACAATTTTAGGAGCGAGGAACTCCTGAACGGTCCATCCTCGAGTGTTCCAAATGCTATTTGCGAGCGCGCCAGACTCTGACGAAGGAGGAACATCTGATAGGTAGACGATGGTGAGCGCTGAGTAGTGATACCAGACGAACATGGAATTGACTGATTCTTGTAGCTCGACGTTGTTATACTGGTCGATGCAGCATGTATCGCTCCATGCCCAGCGATACCCCGCGTCGCGAACGACTTTGCAGAAATTCTGCAACTTCACAATGGTTCCGACCGGATTCAAGCCGTATATGTTCCTGGCCTGAATATCGTGCAGTAGCGGCTCCTTGGATCCCCACCTGTGGGACAACATGACCCAACTGAAGCACTTGATGACCGCTTCTTGATGAGATCCGTTTGGAGGGGCGCATGCATCATTAATGAATACAAAAGTTCTTTGCACTCTGTACTCTCCGTGAAGCCGTTGACCTGGGCATTTCGATCACATACATGCCCAGTGGTGGTGTCGATTAGACGAAGTGGAGCGTTTTCCAGTTGAGCATGAATGGCTCGTCGAATAGCATCCTCTACTTCAGATGGACTGACGTATTTCTGGCGTAGTTCTGCAGAAAATGGAATTCATCTTTAAGTCGGCACTTGAGTTGCTTGGGGCTTACGTCGTATCCGCGGGTCGGATGCATCATCCAACCTGGAGAGCATAATTGTGAAGGCGTCGAATGCATCATCATAGTGCTGTGCTCCATGAAGAGCTGCATGCTTCAGTTCGTACCCGATATAAGATGAAGGGTTGAGCTCAATGACCTACGAACATCGTCACAAATGTTAAAACGACGACGTATATCATCCGCACCTTGTTCGCGTCCGAAAGGGCTTCCGCATAGAGGTTGTGGCCCAACTTCACTTTACTGCGGTGCGCAAAGTAGAAATCATATGAGGGATCCGTCCCGAATGCTGCAGAAAGTGTGTTCTCGATGGATCAGAGCTGAAGATTCCCATGATGGTCTCCACCTGCAAGCAGTTCTCCGTTGGGAGAGATGGCGACGAAGATGACTGATGTGGCGTGTTCGAATGCCTGTCCTATTTGCTGGTGTGACTTTGTGCTCCACAGGCGCACAGTGTTGTCGAATGAGGCGGATGCAATGAAGGAACCATCAGAAGAGATGACCAGCGAGTAGATTTCCTTAGTGTGACCAGTGCAAGGTTGACCGATCTGGGTCCCATTCAACGAGTCCCAAAACTTGATTGTCTTGTTGTGTGATGCAGAGACAAGTTGCTGGCCGTCGGGCGTCCACAGAACACTTGCAACGAAATCTTGGTGAGCTTGGATCTTGAGAAGAAGCTCGGCGTTATCGGTGCTCCAAACCCGAATGCTGCGCCGTGTTCCGTGTGCTAATTTTAGCCCATCGGGGCTGAAGGCGACACAGAAGACTGGACCGCCGCCTTGGAGTGTTGAGAGAACAGCGCCAGTCTCCGCATCCCATATAATAACCGTTCTATCAAATGACCCGCTTGCGAGTCTCTGTCCGTCAGGAGAGAAACACACCGACCAAACCCGCCCTGTATGTTTCACCAATGATTTGAATACCATCTGCTCGCTAGAGTCGATGTCCCAGATGATGATGGCTCCATTATCTCCTCCACCACTCGCAATTCGCCTATCATCTGGCGATACAGCAACTGAAACCACATGGTCGCTATGTTCCTCAAATGGCCCTCCCACTAATTTTTTTCTCCACATCCCAGATTCGCAGGGTTTTATCCTCTGAAGCAGTGACGATCCGATGTCCATCTTTAAGGAACGCGACTGCCGACACTTTCTTCGTGTGCACTCGCATGGTTTGTGGTGGCGCCGGCGTCGCACGCGTTTTCACAGTAAGATATGCTTTTTTTGCTACATTGAGCAATCCTGACATGTTGCTAGACGGAAGATGGACGGTCAGTGGGGTTTGAAGTTTACGAGGAGCGCACTCTGCTGCCGTCGTTAATCTTATGTGTCGTGAGTGGAGCTTGATTTATAACCCAATCCATGTAGGCTCTATATATCGTTTGCTTCATACTATGTTGCTACTCATTTCGCTCCTTCCATCAGTGCCTGTCCATAAACGCCCGCCATAATCAATTCCTTTGTTCTGTTTACAGTGCTGATTATATCCCTATATTCTCCAGAAGAATTATAATGGAAGAAACACGCTTGCCATACCCCGAAATCGTAGTTTCTATCAAGTGGTACCACTTCGTCCCTCGGGCAGACTACTCAGAGGGCTCTGCCGGACGCAATCAATATCATAAGTTCGTTCCAGGCACATCTCACGATGGACATCTGGAACTACACAGGCAGTCGAAAATGCTGCGGACGAGAGCGGTGCGTCAGGTTATCATTTTTCGAGCGTCGCAACCTCTTAAAAGCTGTATTCATAAACACAAACACATACATTTCCAGTATTGGTGCGAGTAACTCGCCTTAACGATCGCTCGTCCACTGGTTCCAATTGGGTATGAGCTTTTTTTTATAATAGTCGCGATCTGAATGCTGGGCTGTCCGGACTATACAGTCTGATACCGTCCATCTGACCAGGCTGGTGGTCAGGACTCGTTACATAGCTTTGACATAGATGCTATACTGTCCCCTATGGTCTATTTATGACTGCCCGCCATTTCGTGATTTTCGTCTACAGCATTCATCTATGTGCTTCAAAGGCTCGTGGTCATGAACACAATGAATTATGTAAGCACAAATGATTGTTGGCAACCCCTCTTGCAATACTCAATTCTTTCAATATCATGTTTCTCGACCACGATACATCCAGCGCGAGCGCCCTTACTCTATTAGATGACCTATGCGTTCAAAGCGATCTTCTTACCATGATGAATGAGACTGGACCGGGGACTAGTCCGACGGACGACGAGTTGAATTTCAAAAGAAGTACGTGACGCAAGGGCTGCCATCAATGATCATGGTGGCCTATCAAAAGGGAAAAGCGTTCAACACCTCTGCATCCGAGTTAATGAACTTAAGAATAACATCCCTGTGTATTGCTGGGTGCAATTCTCGGCGCACCTAACGGGCCCACCGGAGCTGACTTGGTCTCAGGCCACAATATTCTACCCCCCGAAAAAAGATAGCTTACAACGCTAGAGGAATAACTACAACATTGGCTGTTCTTCATCTGGCCTTGTAAACTATACTGCGGGACTCAACTGACGCCCACTAAAACCCAGGATTCGAACCCGCGACCTTCTGATTAAGGCCAGCAACTGCCAACCTTCAAAGCAGTTCCACGGATTGGTGGCATATCCACTAAGCAATGCGCCCCCCACTAGCCTGGTAAGCTATCTGCTTATTCGCCAGCTGCTGCTCATGGTAGGTAAGTCAAGAAAGCCTTTAGACCCGGCGACTCTCCACAATTGGACATCTCCACTCCCACTCTCCGCACTTCCAAAATCGTTGCTGACACTATGCCTGTGACGGCTTGGGGCTACTGGGCTCATTTATGCGCACAAGCAATTTCTGTCAGTATTTTTACTTTTCGTGCAATGAAAATTGCATAGAAACGTCGTGGAATAAATTTGACCTGGCAAGCAAGACAATAACGGTAGCAGTCAGAACTTATGGACGAGTCGATTTGAGGGTCGGACTATCTTTCTAGAGCATCAGGGTTATCTTCCCATATCACAAGGTCCATTGTAACTACGACGCAATGCACATAATTAAATCGACAGCAAGATTGATTGATGCATTAACTTTAAATTATAATGAGATGTGAAACCTATACCACATCACACGAGTCCAGCTAATCATATGATGGAGGACGACGGATAACAACACGGCGATTTCGATGTGGTCAGCCACTTCACCAAAGAATCATCCTCAACCTCAGCCTCTGGCACTTCTTCTCGACTCCGCTTGCTAATAGTACCAAAGTTAGACACCCCTGCACCGGAGGTAGTTGTACCCTGAGCATGGGATGGAGTGCCGCCCCGACCAGGAGTAATAGAAAGTCCGCCACGCGGTGCAGCTCTGACAACCCTGGACCTCATGCTGAGGATCCCACGTGATACTGATGCTGCACTAGTAGCAGTTGCAACTTGACGCGTCGCGGCTGAGCTGGCAGGATTCGTACGTAGCGCATCCGTCGCGACTGCATCCGATTGCGAGAAATATGAAGCTTGGGGCTCTGCACCACGAGTGAGGATGGAAGCCTTGGTGCAAGTGGCTTGCATTGACTTATCGGAAGTAGCGGCAGCCCCTGCTTTAGTAACCACAGTAGCAGCGTCGGCTGCTGCCTTGAGAGAAGCTTGCATTGATTTTTCGGAAGCAGCGGCAGTAGCCTCCGCTTTAGCAGCCATAGTTGCAGCATCGACTGCTACTTTGAGAGATGACTCGTGCAAAGCAGTGACTTGGGCATGCATAACAGTGACCTGGGCGTGCATTGTTGATGGTTCTTCGGTAGTCAGAGAGGTATTGGTACTACCGGCCTTCTCGATAGCAGCAGCGTCCCTATCCCTGTCA